TCTAAATTTACCGGGTGGCAGTAAATACAAAATTTAAAACGTGACAACTAGCCTACTTGAAATATTATAAATTTTGTATTTACTGCCATCCGCTAAAATTTTTTTGGTCTCCCTTTGAGTACATGTATATACTTTTTTAATAATTTTTTTCTTAATGGAGTTTTGCAAAGGATTTTCAAAATTTTAAATGCACGAAAGTAAAGCAATTACAAAAAATAACGATTTTACAATTTTCAAATCACTTTGCTATGATTTCATTCGTATTACTTGTAATACCAGGTGGTCAATTTATTCTGTGACCTGTGTGTTCCCCTCCATTCTTGGTCATTCAAAGGCATATTAGCATACAGTTTTAAATGCCGAGGAGGCTCCTTTTTGTGCCTTCCCTCGTAAATCTGGGTTTGTTGATGCACAACACTAAATGACTTTGTTTGCAAGGATGGCCAAGTCAATTCAAAATTGCATCCGAACAATCGCAATATGTTTATTTATTTCAATATCAAAGAGTTATCGTGCATGACTTGGTAATATTTGGCGGATTTTTGTTCCAAAAATGCATTAAATAGACTTCAATATTGCAATATTTGCTGGTAAAGCACTTGTGTGAATTTTACACGTGTTTTAACCTCTTTTGCATATATTTTAGTACTGTTAAAGCGTAGTTCTTTTGTTATTTGCATACAATGACAGTGCTTCTATGAAATTATAAAGTTTCCCGATATCTTTTTTATCCCAATGAAGGAATGAACCCGTAAATTTCAAATTCCTTTTCCCTCCATAAAAACTGCCCTGTTCTATCATTGTTTTGTGAAATAGAAAAGTTGAGTTAGTGACTGTTACCTATCGTATATCCACTGGTCCTTAAAAACAGATCAATAGAAATTTTCTTCAACTTTGTAACATCATATCTTTCATGATTTTTAGGTTATGAAAAAAAAAATCCCGAGAAAGAGCATTTTAAACGAAATCGACCAGCTTAAATAGATTCTCTCTTGGTCAATCAATTCCATTTGTCTTTTACTCAGTTATGTGTTTTTGCAAAAGGCGATATTCTTTTTTTTTTTTAAATACATATAAATTTATTTCTCATTTCTATCAAACCTAATTAGTGTCTTTATGATATATAATCTCGCTTTCTTAAAATGGAAGATAAGAAAAAAAAACCCACAACAAATCCTATTAATTCGTGAAGAGAACGAATGTATTTACAGAATTGAATTTCCTTAAGGTGCAAACAATTTAGTGAAGTTTTCACGTCTGAACATAACTCCTATTTAAGACTCGTTCCACTGTAATTAGAGAGGACTGAAGTCTTCAGTAACATTGCACAAGGATATAAAACAGTAGTTAAAAGAACTATAGAGAGCAAATCATCCTCCCGCATGTAGCCATATGGTGTATCGAATGAAATGTCACCAAAACGTTAAATGTACTCGGTGCTCACAATATCAAACTTGCGAGTGTTTAACAAAATGCCCGTATAATTAGAATTCTATATATTTTTTTTAAAAGTCAGTCAAAAAAGTAAAACCCATAGGATGGGAGGATAAAAAGCCACGCGAACAGGCGCGGGATCGCCTACCCGCAACTTGACGCCAAAACGCATATTCTGGACGAAGACTTATTTGATCATCCCAATAAAGTATTGCCAGCAATACTGAGAAATTATGATAAATGTGTATAGAGGCTTTTTGAGATTTTTAATCCCATTGTCACAAAACTTAAAATAACATCTGTACAGATAAGATTGATACCCTCCGCGTGTGCTGGGTTGTATGAGGGGGAAGATTCTCCCTTCATGCTGACCCTTCACCCTATCTAACCTAAGTTAAGTAAATATATTGGAATCGAAGGCACTCGACCCAAGCAGGTTTTCTCACGTGCTGGGTACAAGAAAATTACAGGTTGCCGATGACCAAAGGCCGTGATGAATAGAAGACTCTGGCCAAAAAAAGCAGAAATGCCTGAAGCCCCGGGGCTGTCTGCACAGTAATTCATAGATAAATTCTATGAGGATCAAATGTCTTCTATAACAGTTATAAAACAATAGAAATCAGACGGCCCTAATTGATTCGTTTAATATGCGCTAGCTCTTGTTCCTGTTGGCAATAAATTCCCGGCACGTGTTTGATAATCAGGTGCAATTTATATTCTGCTGAAATATCACTATAGTGTAAAGGAATATATCACCAAAAATAGACACTATACGTAACACACGGTCCATTCATGATTAAAAAAAAAACAAAACAAAACAAAGACTAACAAAAATAACCATAAAACAACAAACAAAGTAACAAAAAACAAACAAAACAAAACAAAACACACGCAACAAAGAAACAAAAGAATTGAAAACGAAACTTCAAATAAAAGGAAAAGAAAGATACCCCCCTCCCCAAACCAAAAAAAGGGGGAACAAATAAAAGATTTGTTTTAAATAATTTCAAAGTAAGCCTTGGGGGGGGGGGGGGACTAAAGTACATGATAATTCGCATAAACGGTGCAATTACTTTGTACTCCAATGTATATCCACCTTCATACAGTAACCCCCCCCCCTAAAAAACCCCACAAAATTAATTAGATTTCATAACTATATAAATAAAAAGAATTTAAACAAAGTTTGTTTTTAAATGTTTGTATTTAGTCTCTGGTGTTTTGAGGGGTCCGTGTTTTAGCCTGTTCACGCTGAAGTGTCGTTTTCAGGATTTATGAGATTGATCACAGTTCTTTTTCATTTATTTCGAACACACACGAAAAAAAGTACAGGATGTCACGTGACTTTCTCATGATTTTTTTTCCATCAGGAAATGCAGTCTACATATAAAGTTATACAAATAATGTAGCCTTATATTTCCATATGTAGCCGTTCAAACTAAACCTGTCCGTGTGATAGACCATCCCTCTCTGTTGTTTCCTAAGCATCTGCGAATAACCGAAGACCACCACCTCATCCCGCGGGCCACTCAAATCACATTATGTTGTATCTAAATCCAATTTCTTCGCTGATGACTGACCTCTGGTACGTATTGTTCTTTTTCAGATTGGCGTCCAAATCTGTCCACAAGATCCATTTGGTGGTCGTAGTTCTTCACCCGAGGAAACTCATGTTGCGATTTTCCAAGGGGATCGGAGCGTGTCACTTGGTTTCCCGAAAAATAAGTGTCAACTGAGCAACGAGGATTCCCACAAATATAATCTATTTACGTTTGGTAATATGGAAATAATGAGCGAGCATTGAACAAACCATAATGCTATCCCGAAAATGTTGATCGTTGCTGATAATTAAGTAATATTGTCTAGAGTAACATAAAATCATGGAATTATGTACTATAATGTTTGTTGCTAGATACTGTTTATACACTTATTAAATATAATATGTTAATTTGATAAGAAATTACATTTTTAGACATTGCTTTTGATTATATATGGAGAATTTGTAAAACCATTAAATTCATAGCATAAACATGTAAAACTGCATATATTTGAGATTAAATTGCAAGACAACTGTACATGTGCATCAAAAGAAAATACATTTGAGGGAAAAAATGTATAAGTAGAAATATTTAATTATTCAATTAAAAAAAATGATTTCCAGCTAGTAAATCAGACATGTCAAGAAACTACACTTTTTTTTACATTTTGGGAAATAAAATTTTGGATTTAGAAAACCGAATAAAGACACCCACGTTGAAAAAGATAATATTGAGAGGAATTAAAACCACAATAGACGTCAATATTTCATCGACGTGGTCCACTCAAAGTTCGGCCACGGAGACCCAAGAGAAAATAGAACCGTCAATGGCCCACTTCATGTACCTTTATTAATAACCATTTAAGGATTGTGAACATGGCATGTAAAAGTTGTGAAATAAAATTCATGTTGACAGATGCAAGGATAATTAAATATTTGCAGATATTGCGATCCTCCTCTTTTGGTACAGAGCTTGACCTAATGATACTTGCGGTATCGGAAGCACAGGTGCGCTCGTTTTATCGTGGGATGGACTTACAGAAATACGCCGTCTGCGATTGGACGAAATCTCTTAAACTGATCGATAGCACCGATTATAAGAATATTTCACGTTTTGACAAAATGGTAGTTAAAAAGATATATTTATATTTGGTTAAAAGCAAATCCAGTCGGTAAGTTATTTTTTATTATAATGAACTTTCACAACAAAGTAAAAATCCTCGAGGTTTTACAAGAATTTATTGGATAATATGAACAAAAGATATCGCATAAATTTTCGGTTAAATTTCGTTTTCGCGTTCACTATTATGTATTGATGGACATGTAAATAAACATAGAAAACAAAGTATTGAAATCGATGTAAGCTGGCCAGCTGGGATTCGGAAAACCTCGGGACAATAGGAAGATGTTCTTCCCGCTCCATCTTTCTGTCACTTTAAAGGTTACACTCGAAACCAAACCTGCTATCATTTTACCGAAATCTTTTTACATTTTGATTGAGTTTATGCAAATGTCTAATTCAGAGTGGTTTTTCATTATCTAGAAATTATGAAATATACGAGACGAAATATTCAGTTTGTATCTCATTATTTAGTTTTCGAGGTTAATAGGGGTACTTGTTAACACGATACTGACAGGGGACACGCGAAGGCGCGCGCGCAAGGTTAGTTTTACTATTTGTAATGCTTTATTTTGTATACTTCTTAAAATCAGCAAAATTTTCCATCATAATATGCATTTTTTGAATACATTTTGCAGACCTTTACGTGATTTAAAACTAGAATAATCTGGGAGGAAAAATCAAACTATGGAATTACTATTTGAAGGATTTTTTTAGTATTAATTATATTATTTATTATTGATGAAAATATACTCATCAATTTAACTAGCATGTTTTTAATTAGTATTAATCATCATTTACAAGTTCTCTGTCTCGAAATTTTAAAATACACATGCACGTATAAATAATTTATAATTGGAAGAAAGATTCATCGAAAAGAGCGCGTTTCAGAAAATTAATTCAAACGATTGCCTTTAGCCTCTGTCGCTGTACGAGTGTATATTCAATTGTTGTCAATTTTATGCTTTAAAAAACTTAAAACCTTGTGAAGAAAGTAATAAAATATCCGGCCGTAAAATTTTGTGATCACTTAGGACCCAGTCTGTCACGTTTATGGACAATGAGGATTAAAATTGATCGTTTAATTGTGGTAGACTCAGTTTTGGGGGTCGCGCGACTGGCAATGAAATGTTACAGCAACAAAAAAGTTTCATCAAATTATTTGTTCTACAAATAACACCTTCCTGATGATGGACTCGGTGCGAGATGGACCTCCCGAAAGCTGTGCTTCACTAATGACCTCGTCAAAGTTACGCATGCACGTGTACAATAGAAAAGAAAATATGAAATCATATCATTGTGTATTGTTCTCTGGACGTAATCTTTGGGTGTGAAAGCGTGTATCCATGTCATAAAAAAGAAAAATAAATTTGTCACCGTGTAAACAATTTCCCTCGACTCCCGACATATTAAATTTATCAATATCATAAATTTATATGAAATCATTCAGCGTCGGAATTTTTAATGACGGGGAGGCGATGAGGTAACCTGAAATTACAGAGAACGTAATTTGAATTATAATGTGGCGATGTAATGTTTAATGGCGGTTTTATGGTGGGCGCTGATTCAGTTTTGTGTGTTGTCTACAGGATGACACTGACGGAGGAACCCAGCTACCAGACTCCGCTCCACGACAGTGGCCCGGAGAAAACTCACAAGTGGGACATCAACGATAACACACTACCCATGGTGAGTGTCACTGGGGTGGACCTTTATTTACTAGATTTTTTTTTTATTTTTATGCGAAAAATACACAATTTATTGCTTTATTTAAACATTTAAAGATTTACTGTTCAAAAATGAAACATTTTAAATTTTAGATTAACTTTCTTGTGAATATTTAAACTTTTTTCAAATAAGATAATGTATAAATAAAATATATATGTATGAAAGTGAAGTACATTTTTTTCTGCATCTAGGGAACAAAACTATGTCAAAAGTTTTTATTAGTTTTTATTTTTACTTTTGTTGTAGAATTATGTATTACTTCACTCATAGGGGGACTGAACACTCAATCACTGAGGAATAAAACACGACTGAACACTTTTTTTAATTGTACAGTATAAAGGCTCAATTTATACGAAAATTTTCAAAAAAAATATGTAACTAGATTTATTGAATCCAATGCTCACAATATATGTTACATGATAACTGTAAAAAAAAAAATTTAAAAAAATTATAATTTGCTGAATTAAAATAGCAATATTTTTATCGAAATCGATAGTTACTTTGCGTAATTAATGTGATTTTGGCAAATGTGAATTTAACGTCTTAAAAAATTACCATTAATTATGAAAGTGAACCAAAAATTAAATGATTAACTAAAACGTTGTTTTAGATTTTGGAGATTAAAAACACTTTTTCCTTCTTCATAATATTTACACCTTCATGCATAAGGCACATGTGTTGTTTTCCGAGTCACACATTATAAAGATGTTTCTTCTTTGTTTTATTTTGTTAGACCCCCCCCCCCCTTCAAAGTGCAAAGAGTTATTAAGACCAATGAATACTAATGATAATTCAAATGAATAAAATAACATTGTTTTCAATGCTGAAGCAGAAAATGATATCTACTCCACCCCACATCCCCCAACCCACTCCAAAAGGGGGAGAGGTATGGAATTTGGGTTGCGATTTGCAAACCACTGCATGGTGATCGTGTGAATTAACGAGTTAATAGACTGCTAGATTTATCAGAGTAAAATATAAACTAAATAGATATCAAACCCTTTCCATCCTTAATCAGGTATGCCAGGTAGACGATTTCCAGGAATGGCCGGATGGGAACAATCGCTTTGTGTACAGCAGTAACTGTGAGGACGCCCGCAGACACATCAGTGGATGGGCAATGCGAAATACTAACAATCACAATGCACATATACTGAAAAAATCCTGTCTAGGGGTGTTCGTATGTTCCCATGACTGCACACTACCCAGTGGAGAGAAAGTTCACCTACGACCCGCCATTTGTGACAAAGCAAGGAGAAAACAGATAGGTTTGAGCTTACTTTTAACAACTATTCCGTCAGTATCGTAACTTGTGGCCATTTATAATTTTCATGTATAACCCATAAATAAAAAGTACAATATGACAGTCTATTGGAGTGTATAGGAAAAGAAAATGGGCGCATTTGGTGCGAAATCTACAGGAATCATGTGTACGAATCATTTGAATTTGTCCAGTTTGATTTGGTCGGCTGTTCACAGCTAACTGAATAGACTTTACGAAACTACCCACGTAGGAAAATGTTACATTACATTGAAATACATTGTCAAAAATTGTAAAATTTAAGTCTGCTTATCTTAATACTTCATAATATCACTTCACCTGATTAGTAAAAGGCTAAAAATACATTTAATAAGGTATAGTTGTATGCAAATGCATTACCATAAAAATGAGTGATAAGAATGCTTTTGCTGTCGGTGCAGCACATCAAAATTTAACTTCATCTCAAATTTTAAGTATTCAATGAATAAAACAAAAAGTGAAAAATGACTTGATTGTTTAAAAAAATTAATGCTCCATGCTAGGAAAAAATTAAATATATATGTACACCTCTTGTTTATATAAACATATCTTACAAATATACCTTTAAAATTTCAGGTAAACCTTGCCCTGGTCCTAACTGTCGAGGTCGTCTCGAGTTGATGACGTGCAAGGGACATTGTGGTTACCCTGTGACGCACTTCTGGCGTCATATCAACAACGCCATCTTCTTCCAAGCAAAGGGTGTCCACGATCATCCAAGACCGGAAATCAAGTCCTCCGCAGAGGCTAGGCGGCATCACAAACTAAAACACAAATCTTCCATGGTGAGTTAAAAGGTGTGAATAATACGTCTATAAAGTAAATGTACATTTGAATTTTTTCTTCTTTTTTATTTATTGGTTACTTTGAAGAAGAAAAATATAAATTTATTTCTAGTCAGAAACATCGAACAAGAAACGGAAGCGTGATATTCAATGGCCACCAAATAAAGAACGCTCAACAAAAGTTTTCCCTGGTGAGTACAATTTTTTTAATCTAAAAGCTCGAGGAAAAATGTAAAGAAATCAACAGAAAAGGAAAATTATTTATTTCTATTTTTTTTTCTTATTTAGGATTTGATATACTTTGTTCCTGTCCACCCTTTGAATGCACGTGCTCTCATGTCCGAATGCAGTATAAAGAAACCAGAGCTGACAACGAACGAGCGAACTTTCCCGTGTGCCCTTCATCGTACACTCCGCAAATCTATGAAGCATCACCATCACCTTGGCAGAGGTCGTCCGTTGATTGCAATTACATGCAAACTGCTGTCAACCGTCCACATTGCGAGGAGCCCACTTTTCCAGGAATACTGAACGAGGAGATACCTTCCTTGTCTTCTTACAGTTCCACTTTCAGCAACACTCAGCGACATATCGACGCATCTTATCCAAGATTTGAGATGTATCGAGGCTGTGAAAGAGGTTTTCCATATACGGACATACCCAATCAACGTTTCGCAAACACAACCGAGCGTTATCATCGAACATCGAAAAGTAGCTACGACGCTCGAGAGATCTACAGTAGCGCGTATTTGGAGAGACCTAAATCTTACTCCGATTCACATTCTGTTAGGATTAAAACAGAAAATCAAGATTCAGATTTTGGTAACATTTCTTCTCTTTCCAACCAATGTGCTCTCTCGGATCGAGCAGAAATCGAGCCACATCGAATGTCTCGTGATGATAATGCTCAGGATTTTGCTCAGTTGCAAGAAATTGAGTCGAATCCCCTTTACAGTATGAATGACGTCACAGACTCGGACATAATTCAAACATTTTTTTCTCGAATGCCCTCGGATCAGCAGGATGAGGGGTCTTTTATTCAGTCATCTTTGACTCAAACAAATACCGGTCCTAAATACATAGAACTCAAACCTTTAAAGAAATCAAAGCAAGAAATGCACTCGCTCGCCATTTCGACGTCACCTCAGATTTTTCAGCATCGAAGCGTCCATGACGTAACCAGTGAGGGGTGTTCGACAGGCTATTTTCGACCCCAGACCGGATGCAGTAATGTCATTAATGATCCATATCATCACAACGATTCCCATCAGTATGCCCAGAACAAGCAACAATGTAATCATAGCATAAATATTACACTGACTTATAACTGAATCATCGTGTATTTTTGATGCTTTAATACGTTTGATGGTTACAATTCTCGACTAAATAATTGTTGAAATATCCACTGTTAACTAAGTATTTTATTTGGGGGGGGGGGGGTTAAAACAAGAGTTAGATTTGAGAATCATTAATATTATGCACATCATAGTAGTCAAATATTTGAATATTTTGTGTTCTTCGATCTATTATACGTCTCTTGTTCTTCAAGTACACAATCTCTATCAACTGTCATTATTCATGAGCTCTGCCACGTGATCAGTGGCAATTGAGTGACGTCTGATGAGTGAAGTAATTAATTGTAAATTATTGCAATGACATCAGCTTCGTTGATATTACGGCAGGTTTGATCAATGGTTCTTAAATTAATCTCCACGTATCAAAATGTCATTATGCTCCGACTGTACACAATGTCCGATTTTGTTTAAGTAATGATTAATATTGGCATTGGCTCAATACTAGGACAGGTCTGTTGAATGAAATTTAAAGTGCCTTGTTAGAAGTGCAACGATTGGAAGTCATTATGCAAATAAGAATGTTTTCTTTTTATTAAAGGTGTGCAAAATAAATACCGTATTGTCTTTTTCTAGTACTTATTTGATGGTGTAAATCATTTTATATAAACACAATGATAATAGATCCTGATGAAGAATAATAGAAAATTAGGTAAATCTGCAAAAAATTATGCAAATAGAAAATTCTTTATTGTAACTTGGCAATGAACCAAAAATATGTTAATATATGAAATATGTTAATATCAGTAGCAGAAGGTGACACATGTTAGTTATAGATTAACTGATATATGTACATGCACAGTATATGGATTATCTACCTCTTATTATCAACATCTGCTGTGATGGCCGAGTGGTTTAAGGCGTTGGACTTGAAATCCAATGGGGTCTCCCCGCGCAGGTTCGAACCCTGCTCGCAGCGGAAAGTTGTTTTTAGGCAACTTGAGCGAGTACTAAATAAAAGTACGAATACTTTTCACCTATTCCCCCCAAAAATCCATAGGTGGAGTATATTCCACTTTTGGGAAACAAAATTGAAAGGGGGTATAGACAATTTTGCATTGCATTTTTATCTTAATTTCAACCAACATGAAAATTCTGTTACTACATTCTTCGTTACCACAAAACACGTGTTCGAGCTCCGGTATTGTTTGTTTTTTACCGAATGCGTTGGATTTGCTACTGAGCACTGCACACATCCCTGAACACGAACTGACAATATTGGTGTGTTGGTTTTGTTTTCTTACATTTCTATTTAGACCTTTCTTGATTACGCTTTTCATATCTTTTATCAATAGATCGGTCACGGTAGCCGTAGTGATAGGGCGTCCACTTGGTGATCTGGAGGCCCGTGTTCGATTCTCGCTCGCCGCGCCGCGTCAAACCTTGGAGGTAAAAATAGGTAGTGACTATTCGTTCGCCAAGTGCCCGAAATGAGAAGTGACAGTCACTGGTCTTTCGCATGAGATATTAAACCCAAAGTTTCGTGTCACGGTAGGCGTTGGCACGATAAAGAACCCTCACAGGCACGATAAAGAACCCTCACAGGCACGATAAAGAATCCTCACTGGTCAATTACCCTAAATGCAGAGTATAGGTCTAAATCTGAATTTTAAAATTCTCGAATGGGACGTTAAACACCATATAAATAATCTTTATCAATACACCAAAGCTTTTCCAATTTCTTAGGATAAATTTTAGTTCGTGACAGTGCAAGGATGTATGACTATCAAACACGCCCCAATACTAAGTTTCTGAACAATAAGATTTAAAATGAACATGCAACTTGGCCGAATATGAAATCCCATTTGTCAGTGAAACAATTGTGATAAGGTTTACGTTTTGTTTAGACAGAAAGGCGTAATGCAGTATATCATATGATTTTGGAGGACATAAAATATGATACCCTGAATGGTAAGAAAACGAATTTCAATCCAGATACATCAGAAAATATTTTCAGACATGAATTCACCTGCATATGTATGGCATTGAAAGCGTATAAATCATACATGTAACACATCCCGTAGACCTATGAGTTGTGAGCAATAATTAATTAGATGCGCGCATAGACAGTAAGTTTAAAAAAAACATATTCTTCAGAAAACAATGTTTCTACACTTCAATGGCCAGTATGACAGGTTTAATTTGGTGGACCAATCAAGGAATCTGAGCATATTGACCTCCAACAAACGGGAAATAACTCTTGCTAAATTCGTGTGCATCGGAAACTATCTATAATGAGGCACTGTGTAGTGTCAGTTACATTTATATATCATTAACATAAAAATATCCAATTTCTTGGAAGACAATTACTGATTTGACCAGGATTATTGGTATAAAACCTCACAGCACAGTACTTCTACACATGTAATATGTATTTATCAAGAATAAGTATATTTAAGTCATAAGTTAATCCATATTCACTTATACATAAATATGAAGATCTGCTAATTAATGTTTAGAGTAAAACCATGATATCAATAGATGCAGGACAATATTTATTGTATAATTACAGATTTTTCATTGATTTTTTTTTCACAAAACATAACATTGGTTTACAAATGCATAACAATATCATTTGATGATTCAAAGTAATTCCTTCATTTTCAAGACATAATATAAATACATGTATACAAAATTCTTGTAAATAAAAAATAAGCAATATAGGAATAAAAAAAAATGCTTTACTAGTAAATTCATGCATTCTTAATGTAATAGATAAATCTACTTAGAGTGAGTCTCAAATATCACTTTACATCAGCTGAAAAAAAGAGAGAACAGGATATTAAATGGAGCAATCATTCTCTTTATAACATTTTCTTCCATACGTTTTCTTATATATTAGACAACTATTAACAAAAGTGACTTTCTACACTACAAATTATGTTAATCTCAGTAGATGTCAAACTCCTTACTTAAAAAAAATATTCAATTTAAAAATATAAAGTTGCAGTACATTGTATTAAATTGTCTTTGGAAAATACTAGTGGATACAATACAACATGCTTATAGCGAATTGCCAGACACAAAAATTTTTGATAAGCTATAGAAATAATTTGTTATATCCATTCATAATATGTTTTAAAAGCTACAGGAAATGAAAATTACTGTAAGCATGAATTCATTATAAGCATTATTTCTCTGTGTTTCACTGTATTTCATTAACCTAAATGGACTTTTATAGAGTTTATTCTAAATAAATACCTGAGTGTTTGACATTTCCATTGGGAATCTGAACTAAAGGCACTCTATCATACGTTCTCCTATACATGCTGTCAACCTCTGTAAGGTACCAGGTCCCAGGAAACAACTCTTTGGTGGATCCAATGGGAGCGTAGGGAGCTGCAATGAGTAATAGACTGTTATATTGAAGTTATCATTCTTTTTAATTTTTATCATCATGTGGGGTTGCTTCAAGGGTAAACACCTAAGGCCATCTTCTAAAAAAAAAAAACGTTTACTTGCCCTCTCCTGACTAAGGATAAAAAAATTGGGTAGGTAGGTAAGGAGAGTTTTTTTTTCAAATACACTTGCGAATATGAAGTTAAAATAGTTATTCATGGGATGAGAAGATCTTGGAATGAATAAAAAAAATTGCTTCCTGGAGGTTGAAAAAAGTTTTGAGTTGGGATGTTTTAAGTCAGTCTGTCGGGAGAGGGCAAACAAACAATTTTTCAAAGATGGCCTAATGTATGGCTACTCATGAGAATGTTAATTATATCAATTTTGCAAAGAGAATGCACTCAAAATGAATGTTTTATATCAAGCAACAATTCTTAATCTAATCTCAATGCCACATTTCTACAAGAATTTTTGAAAATTTTGTAACTATACATATTCTCTGTTTTTCAATAAAAATATAAAAATAAACAATTATGCCCTAAAAAGCTGATACACATCAAGTTTGTGTTAGATATTGGTTTATATCTAGCTCAATATGTAAACATCACCTTACTAACCATCCTTAATAAAACAAACAAACAAAAGATGAAAGATATGAAACATACAAAAACTTAAACAACACTGCACAAACCTTTATTATGGGTTTCTTCTCTAAGTTTCATGGTTTTATCAAATTCTTCTGGAGACACTTTTACTCTGTCATGTAAATCTTTTTTAACATAAGAGAGATTTTCTAAGAGTTTATGAAATTTTGGTCCCAAGTCTTTGGTTATTCTCAGAGAGAACATGGCGGATGCCAATCCTGAGCCATAAGAAAATAACACAACTCTATGTCCAACTAGTTCTGCTGGTGAAACACTGCAAAAGAAAACATGCATAGAATGACAGGGCTAAAAAAATAACCATATAACAATTAGAAAAGTACTGTTTAGTTTCAAGACAAGGAGAAATAAATCTACCACTAAGGGAAAAAAAAATGTTTACCTTAATAGGTAGGAAACTAGTCCCCCATACAAGGAGGGTGTGTACATGTTCCCCACTTGATTAGCTAGGAGTAAGGAAGGTTTGGTTTTATTTGTAAATATTGAGTTACTGGCTGCCATGAAGGCTTTCTCAGCATCACGGTCAAAGTAACTGTCCTCTAACTTCAGGTTCCTTTTAAAATATAATAATGATGATAATAAAATGAAACATAGAATTAAAATTTACTTTTCAGTCTTCAAAAAATATACAGCCAACATTGTGTACAGTGATCTGTATGTACCAAGCATCCTTTTTTATAAACTATACAAATGTCTTAAAACAAAGCCCTGGCAAAATAAACATGATTATATTTTTTTTTTACCTGAAAGACTCCAACCCAGCATATCTTCCAGAGAAATCTGGAGAAGGCTCTTTAAGGAAATCATTGAGGAAAACTCTTGCAAACGATTTCTGCACCAGTTTACAATATGGTGAATGAAAGACAAAGGCATCAGCAGAATCTATTAGACTAGCATTTTCCCCTACAAAACAAATGAAGTTTAATAATTAGTCTTTGTTGAATGTTAAATGTATCTGAAAACATTTCATTCAATCTCCACTTTTTTTAAGCAAGCACTTATAACTTTGAAGAAAGCTTATACTGGTAAGTCCCCAGTTACTTTTCAATTAAAAGATCAGTCTATGCAACTGAAAGAAATTGGAATTCAGTTTTTTCTTTATAAAAATCAAGGAAAATGAACTATGATAAATCAAAAGGTAATTCATAACATACATTGATGTCTGTATTTAATATTATCATACTGAAAATTATCATACTAAAAGGGAGCACAGAGAAAAATCATTTCAATGACCAAAGTTCAAGTGCATGAATCAAAGGGCACAAAATCTTCCAAGTGTCTACATCTTACAGTTACATGAAAACTTGAAGCAGAAGTGGAGACCCTTAGCCTTGAGACAACTACAAATGACTGAAGTAATACCAATAATTCCGGTCTGTATTGCTTTTTCAGTATAAGCCTGGTAACACTTGTCCAGGGCATGCAGGTAGCACTTCACAGATAACTTGCCATCCACCACTGGATACTCGGAGTCCATGTTGGGTTTGTAAAAATCATACGCATGCTGCATATAAATGCTTCTCACTCCTGTAAACAGCAAATAAAGGTCCTTCATAACTTAAGAAAATTGTCATAGCATTCTGTGTACCTTATTTTTATAGAATTTCGATGTTCCAAACATCACTATTTTTGTATGCATAGCTATGAAGGAGGAAATACATGTATTGGTACAAGTATCAATTTTGACAGCAATTATTCTAATTGTTTATCATTATCTTTCATGTACATTATCTTGGTCATGCATATTTGTACATGTACTAAAATTATGGTACATTAATACATAACATGTATATCTATTTCCATGCATTCCCAAATGCTATTTTGTTCTTTATTATGATGAGAAAAATAAATGTTTACAAGCAAAGGATAATTAACACAATCCTCAAAGCAACATTCATACCCATCACATGAAAATAAACCATGCTATTAAAAATATTCAGAAAATGATTACTTTCTAATTGTCTAGTTTTTAAACAAAACATGCATAAATAGTGTTAAGAAAATAGGATATTCATGAGAAAGTACAATTATGTACCAAGAACTGACTGATATTTCAGGTCAATCACATTGTAATCTACAAAGCCTGATGAAGAGTAAACACTTATTTATCTGCCTTGTCAGTTCAACTGAGGCAGATGTGAAATTTTCATATGCATGATAATTGTTCTTTGATTTACAGAAAACTGCTCTTTATCATTAAAATGTATTTAGCTTACATATTTGTATATATTACTCAAATTACCAAGATATTACAAGAACTAATACTATTTGGCAAAAAAAAAAAAACAAAACAAAAAACAAAAACAAAAAATTCTTTTGATACATGTAAGCATTTTAAAAGAAAGATTAACAATACCTAAATTGCATGTTTTGCATATAAATAATCAAATAAATTAAGACAACAAATAAATAAATTTGGTATAAATTTCATTTTAGCTACTTGAAATCAAGGTCAGGGCTCTCAATATGAACTTTCAACCATGGATAACACTGCATATTGCTATGTCCCATTTACCTTTGATCTTTGTAATCTCTTTACGATATTAACATCTAATGACCTTAAAAGGGTTCATCAATTATCAATAAAATAGTACATTTTTTTCTTTTATCTATAGCCCTACATCGTCCATCTATTAACCATAAAAAAAATCATGCAGACAATGTCAATGACTAGATAACTCCAATATGTATTTCAAAGTGAAATAATTATAGGCCATTTTTAACCACTGCATTGTCATAAGGCATGTAATATGCATGATTGGTAACTGATAAGATGGTTTTCCTAAACTAACAACTTAGTCAAACTTGTTAAGCTTCATGGAAATCTTCAAGTGAACTGCTGACTGACATGGCTTTTAAGTTTAATCTAGTACACTGAAGTGTTCACTTATTATTTCAAAGTACCTTCATTTGGCAATGGAAAAGTAAATAATACTACATATAGTAAGTATGAACTAACACGACCTTTACAGTGGTGGAAGGAATGTGTCATCTTGACCGATATATAATAAATGTCCAAGTAAACAAGATGTCATCTTCTTACATCATAAATCATGGGATTACCATATTTATTTATAATAAATGTAAAGCATTTTGTGTCAATCTGACAAATAAGTATACAACAACATTTTTTAAATTTATCTATTTAATATTTATTTTATTTACTTATTTTCATCTTATTTACTTATTTTGCAAACTTATTGTAGATTTCCCAACATTTCATAAAAGGGCCAGTTTCAGATTTTTAATAACTTTTTTTTTATTGGTCTGCCATTGTCCTTTTATAAAATATCTTTGCTAGCAATCAGAAGCCTTTGTTCAGGACCATCGTCTTTGATGCGATTCATAAAACAATTTTATCTGGAACACTCTTTGGGTGGTGTCTAGTGCCCTTTGACTGGTATGTACATCCCTTTATCCAATTTGTCCTTTTTAAATACATTGCCCATTTCATGATCTATAATTTTGCTTTTATTATGATCAATATACTCTAAGTATAATTACATTTATACACTTTGCTCACTTACAATATTTTCTATTGAATATCTTTAATAAGATATGTCCCAAATTTTTTTGACATATAAGTGATAGGTGTACTCCACATTTTTACCAATAATTGGTGAAATTCATTAGGTTAATTAATAAAAATAAATCATAATTTTTTCCTATTCCTATAGTTGTGCAATAAATTTGAATTTAGATGGACACCCAAAGTATTCATTAATTAACTAGACCCAGATGGTTAAGATGAAGCAACATGAAACTGAATCATATAAAATGCCTACATGTAACCCATAAATTAAAAAATTATTAGTTTAAAAAGAGACCTTCTTTTTTTTAGAATTAGGCTACATAGGACTTACAGGATTGACCTAGTATTCTAATTATATAGATAGAATGACCAAAGCTACTGAAGAGAGAAATCATCTCTCTTATACCTATTACAGAAGGATGTGAAAATCTGGACTTTGAGCTCTGTGTCCTTGTATCAATCCCACTTGATAAATAAATCTCCTTTGTTTGATATGTAAATAACTAGGTTATGCATGTTCATGTTTGGAAAACAGGTGATTAAAATGTTAATAATAATTGATTCGGATGTGACTTCTATGCATTTATGAATACATTTCAATTACATGTTTAATAATTAGTTTTATTATTCCCTGCATGTAAACCAGTACATTTCATGTATATAAGCAACCTATAATTAAACATGTTAGAATCAGAATTATTACTTAATTTGCAATCATATCCAGCTACAGATATTCTTTTTCTACTCCTTCATGTACATCATAATTACGGGTGACCTAGAGCACCACTCAAGAGATGAACATTTCTAACCATAACTATTTCTACTTTTTAAATCATCCACATGGACTTCATAGAAGAATTGTACAAACCTCTATCAAAGACAAGTGGGGCATCCTTCCCAATCAGCATGGCTACTGCCCCAGCACCACCTGTACAGCGGGCATTGCCAGTGGCATACACTGCAATATCACCAGCTACAACCAAAGCATACCTCCCTGGAAACAAAAACAATACTTTCAAATTTAAAAAACCATACTTTCAAATTTAATTTTTTTTTCTTTTTAAGCCAAAATGCACAACTTAAATAACTCTTTAATTTTTTTCCCTATACTCTCATCAAAGAGATTGTTTTAAAAAACAAGAGGCCCTAGGACCTTTATGGTCACCTGAGTATAATACAACACAGTAAAGGATCCATAGAAGTATAATATAAAAACAAAATGAACTGAGGCCAATTAAAAAAATATGTGTGGTTCCGGTTACCCGACCGTCCCTATTTTATACCCCCGACCCTAAACTTTTTTTTTGGCAATTTTCAGATTTTTTCCGGAATTTTCCCCGATTTCCATCAATGGCTCCGGTTTAAGTTTTAGCAATGATGGCCTCCTTGCACATCATAGTGCAAGTGTTTAATAGTGTTAAATCCAAAGCAAGCTAGCACGTAGGTGTGACCGTGTCCCCTTCCAATATTGACTAGTACAGTGTATATTATCACACCACATCTAAATGTCATTTGCAAAGCAGTAATAGGTACTATTTAGAAAATTAAGAAAATCATTTTGTTAAACAAAAAAAAAAAAAAAAAAATCATTTTGTTAAAAAAAAAAATAAAAACTAAAAAATCCCTACCTACCTACCCTAATTTTTTTGGAGGTGTAACCGGAACCACACATATTTTTTTGTTTGGCCTGACAGATGAAGCTATATTGCTCAAAAGCAAGAGAAATAGGATGATCAGGTATCAACAAAATAGTCTAGTACTCTGTAACAAATCTTAAAGTAGATCCATTTACTTGCCTGCACTTGCTCCCCTTTGTCATTATCATGCAGACTAAACAAAACAATAGTCTTTAAGCACTATTATTGAACCCATCTCATTCCCTCTCACATTGGCCATGAAATTCACAATTTTAGAAGAGTAACCCTTGTTCATCATAACTATTCACTTGATTTGTTTGCTCAATACCCAGGAGCAGAGATGAAGATTTTCAAAGAAATAATGCATTTTCATTAGATAATCAATTGAGCCTGATCCCAACATAAGAACTCTTGACCCAGGACCATGAAATTTACCATTTAAGAAGAGGCACCACTGCTCATCATAACTATGCACTTCATTTTTTTTTTTGGCTTGGTATCCAGGAGAAGAGAAGATTTTCAAAGAAATAATGCATTTTCACTATATAATCAATAGAGCACCCCCAAATCCAGAACTCCGACCTTGGGGCAACAATTTCACAATTATGAAAAAAGCACCTTTGCTCATCATAACTATGCCCCTAGTTTACCTGCTAAATATACAGGGGGAGAGAGGAAAGATCTTTATCCATTTTCACTATATGGTCATTAGAGCCCCATCCTAACTCCAGAACCCCTGACCTGGGGCCATGAATTTCACAATTTTGGTAGAGGGCTTAAAGCTTATTAGAATAATGCTAAAAGCTTGACTGTTGGATGTGCAGGAGTAAAGAAGGAGATTTTTAAAGATAGCACTAATTTTGATGGTTTTAGCCCCACCCCCACCCATCAGGCCAGGGGGGGGAGGGGGGGGGGGGAAAGACCATGAAATTCAAAATTTTTGTTCCCCTTTACTCATAAGAGACTTGATGCCAAAATTGGTTCAGTGGCTCCAGAGAAGAAGTTGAAAATGTTCAAAAATTTATAACCAATGCACGTCGGACAACCAAAATGCACGTCGGACAACCAAAATGCATGCCGACAGACAAAAAGAGAATTGCAATAGAACACCTGAGTCACTCAGGTGACCTAAAAAAGACATTTTACCATCCCAGGAACTGGATTCAATCCAATTTATTGCATTAAATAGTGCAGAAGTTCCTCCAAAACAGGCATTTGTTGTGTCTAACCCTTCCACACTGTGATTACCACTGCTTTCAAACAGCTGCATTAATACAGTCTTTGTGCTCTTTGATTTATCAATAATAGTTTCTGTTCCTACTTCCAATCGTCCTATGTCATTATATGAGAGCTGATTTTTCTCTACAAGTTTTTGAACAACAGTTAAACAAAGTGAATTAATATCTTCTCTATCTGAACAAAATCCCATTTTTGACTGTCCTAAACCAATGGTGTATTTTCCTGTCGATACATTATCAAAAACTTCAAGTTCAGCCTGGTCTACATATTGTGATGGAAAATAGACTTCCATGGCAATGATTCCTACATCTGTTGGCCATGGCTCCTGTGAAACTGTACCAGGCATGGTGCTGGATCTAAAAAATATAATGTTATGAACTATGTATACTGTGAGGTCAATATCAAACATAAAAAAACAGGGACTTCCTTGAAGTTACCAAATAAATGAACTTAAGTAGGGCTGTCATTGATGAGTTCAATCAATTTATTGATACATCATCAGATTTTAAATGCTTTGAAACAACGTTGATGCATTTTCTGAGAATTCTAGATAATCTTTCAGTGTAAAAGGATAACAGTAGTCAAAAATGCATACTAAGCAGCAAGTTTAAGGAACAGTGGTTTTTAAAACATGAGTGTGTTATCCTCACATTTGCACTAATCAGGAGAGCATATGCATATATTAATGGAAGACTGTAAAGACAAAGTTGTGTTTCTTGCAAATTCAGTTGAACTTCTTAGTGTTGCATGATACATTCACTCATTGTATTTTACCAGACTAAATTTATTTCACAAACAATAATTTTTTTCACAGGATGTGCCATGGAGTTTGAAATATCTTTGCTAAAAATTCTTTTGATATAATGGTATTAAAATCCACAGTCATTGCAATTTTTAATCAGTCATTTCATGATATTCAACCGTCATTTCAACAAAAAACGATCATTTCACCGTTTCGTGTCGCACAAATTTTCTTACGTAAGTCTTGTTATTTAGGAGCTTTCTACCTCAACAACATTTCACATTGGAAACAGTTTAACATTCTCAGTGTTTTGATTATAAGAGTAAATTAAAGGTAAACATGGTAAAACACACGTTTTAATAATATAACAATATAGCCAATGCATTACATTATACATACCGATAACCTCTAAGTTTATCTAATGCAACATTGATGATTCCGACCACGTGCGACTTGTTCACGATTTACAAACAGTGCATACTGATATAAATAGTGCTGATCACTTTCTTAAATATATGAGATTACATTATTCGCGTTTATATATGCAAACAATTTTAAAAACACCAGAGTCATTAATATTTTTAGATAAGTTCGTAAGGTCGTTGATCGTCTACAAAACAGGAAGTTGGTTAATTTCGACAGGTGCTTGATAAGGCATTCGACATATTATTCGTTAAGCGCTTCTTTTAAAACTCATTACAAACATTTTCGCCCCATGTTTTATGCGCCCAAAGACACTGAAAAATGATTCTTATCTATTTAAATGCTGTAAAAAAAATTGTTACTTTGCACTGAAAGATCTCTCCAAAAAATTAATGATACTTTGCGCGCTATAATTCTTTTAAATTGCGTTTAAAAATGTAACATTTTGTACAAAATAACTCATCTAGCCAATTTTCAAGTTCTTTTTTAGCAAATCAAAATACAATATCGGTAAAATATTTTCCTTTCCTATTTCACAGGAACCCGATACATCAAAAGAATGTTAAAATTTCATGTGACAGATCAATGAAAATTCAAATTTTCATTTTCAAATGCGCCCAGATTCCTGCCGAATGCCAATAAAAAGCGCCCTCGTTCTTTTAAAACAAATTTAGGATGCAGAAGTTTCTCTTCTTTCACAAAATACATGTAATACAATGGAATGCACACCATCCTCATTTGGTTTATCGTGTTTACTTATCTTAATCAGTATATAGTGTTATCGTGTTGTCAAACATTGGAGGCTGATTAAACACAAACAAAAACAACTTATCTTATCATCAGATTTATCAGATTTATTTTACTGATCAGAAAAGTTGCATATGCTGTCATTTTCTTTTGTCATATATTTAATCTGTCAGACTACTACAGGATTTTTTTTAAAATTTATTTTAAATAACCTGGAAAAAAGTTCTGTGTTTTTTATCTTATGTCTGAATTTGCAAAGGGTGGGACGTTTTCCATGTACTGTAAAAATAAGTTTTAAAAAATCCAATCCAAAAGCTGTCCGAGAAGTGGCTCCAGTTGAAATTTTTAATAAATTTCTTTTCTTCGGCCTTCGAATGGGTCTACTTTATCACGGTAGCACGGGGTGGGGGTGGGGGGTAGTGTCACAAATGTCATTTATAGCCTTCTTTACAATGTAATATCATTAATTTTGAAAATACTTGAAGGGGGAAGGGGTGTAAACGCCTGAGCATCAACAATAGTGGGTTCTTAATACTAGTACGAAATGATCCGAATTTGATAAATCTAAAGAACTATATACGGTAAGGGCGTATTCCTGCCTCCATAATGGTCAAATTTTGAAAATCTCTTGAAATGAGAAAAAGTGCATATATTGTATAAAATAATCCAAATTAAGACAATGTATTATGAAATTGGAAAAATTAGTTGGCTTTTCTTGTCTCTGTGACGTCACAAACTATTTGGATTTCCATTATTTTTAAAATAGAGGCCAAAATGCACAGAGTTTGTTCAATTTTGACTATAGTATTTATAGAGCGCAAGCTTGCTCAGGTACCATATTCACATATATCATTGATATTATCATTCTACACATTATATCAGAAGATCTAGTCTGAGCAGACCTGCGCTCGATAATTTCCAATCAAAATACCGACGTAAAATACGCTATTTTCTCTCAAAATCATTGCAATTTGGAATTTACGTCATTTTATTGACGTCATATCTAACTGATGATGTCATAGTTGATAAAAATATTTAATGTTTTGAAGTCTGCAAATATCCACCTGGTTTAGAACATAATTAAAGATTTCTCCATCAAAGTTTTATTTTGGGGGCAGATACTGGCCACTACAGAATATAGTCCTTTCTTCACATAGCGGATTGTTGTTGAGGCATGTTAAACATAATGTTCACCTCAAGCAAATATCTGCATTTCATTAAATACTAAGAACTTTTATTACTCGAATAAATCGCATACATTGTAGACTTTTATTTGTGTTTTTATCTTTTTGAAAAAAAAGTTCATAGTCATTTCTTCTTTTTCCGAAACATACTTTTGACGGAGAGGAAGATGTTGATGTAGCCGGACGATTTTGTTTCCGTCTGGAATAACCCCTCTCCCCCCAAAAAAAATTTAGAGTGCAACTTTTGAACGTGATAATTCAACATGCATTCAGATGATGAGCTGCAAAAAGTATGTCAATCGGATAAGGTCAACATGATGGTCACGTGTACAATATTACACCTATCCTATCATGCCCAATCCTCATCAAAAATAAATAAAAAATAAAAAATGGGGTCGAAATTTATAAATTGTTTTTCTACATAATCATGTTTACGTAAACGAATTTTACTCTATTGCGATCCTGACAAACAGTTTTGATAAACATCCAAGAATAGTGCTGAGTACTTAGCTAGATGTGCTTCAGCACCATTGTGGTTGTATGCGCAGATGCTGGAGTTTGGACCCTGACACATCAATCAGCTGATATACTTATAAACACGGTAGATTCTGTTGTATCAAACATAGCTTGATGTCGCTCGAAGCGACAACATGGATTATCGCTTAATTCTTCTTTTGTCCCTGGTAGCGGGGTCGCAAGCTGGTAAGTATTTTGTAATAATCCTTTTTTTTCTTTGATCTTTTCAATTATGTTAAAAAATTTAAATTCTTTTTTAAACATATATTAAAAGAGATATATATACAAAGTTGTCTTTACATTGCATGATGCTTACAATAAGTTGGTGTTAGAAAATTTGAAATTCAAAAGATTGTACGTTTCTGAATGCTATCATGGATGACTTAAAAAGTGACATCCTAAAATCTAAATACCAACTACTTTGGAGAAATACACTAAATGACTGCAATGAGTGGATTAATTACGATTAATTTGTGAATTAAGGAAGAAAATACATGGGTTACTTCAGAGAAGTGCAAAATGAACATTTATATTCATTATCTTAAGGAGGCTTTCTTTGTTTTCGCACAGGACCAGTGCAGAATCTCAGATCTGATTTGTTAGGGCAAACGTCGTGTGCTAAACAATGTACAGGTAAGGTTTCTTATGATGTAAAAATAAACTATGAATTTACTAACAAAATATAAATGCATTCATTTACATATACTATCAACAGTTTGGTAATTGATCATTCAATTCAAGTACAACTTTTTTTGAAAATTATGTGCATTACCCTCAAAAAGAAAAAAAAAAAGAATGATTTAAATCACTATTCAACTCTTTAGGAAACTTTTTATCAATATTCGCCTAAAAGAAAGGGTGATAAGATAATTCGAATTCTAGTGATAAAATTTACTGTCACTTGGAATTCAATCAAATATGCAAATGAGTGATTACTCGACCTGACTGAAATTCGATTGGGGAAAAAAGTCACATGATCACAGTACACTAGATTGTTCATTTTAAGGTCATGGGATACCCAAAATTCAGAGAAAGTGGGGATTTGATCATACCTGCTTTTTTTTTTTTAATTTTAAGGTTCAAATTAATTTGTTAGGTTGTAGATTAGAGTAAAGGAGATGGGTGAACAAGCCTGTTCGACAAACCAGAAAGTGAAATATTATATATCAATTATAATATTTTGCTATTTCAGTTAAGATAAGATAAACTTTATTTAAAGTCAGTATGGCAATTAAAAGACAACACAAGTTTCAATGAGCTTTTGACTGACATTAACATTAATGTATATTTTCGCATAAAATCTCCAAAATTTGCCACAATCTCACAATGTTAAAATTATTCGTCCATGTCTATAAAATAGCATGCACATACACACACACAAAAGCCCAAAGAGGGCAAAAATTATTATTTCTTCATATAATAACACAATTGTTCTATATAAGTGAGTCTTAGCTCCATTTTTTAAGTATGTCTTCAAAGTATGTTTTTAAAAATATACATATTTTGTTCAACAAAAACAGGGAGCAAGGTCTCTGTCTACTTTAAAAATACACTTTAAGCCCAGTTACATACATGTATTCAAGGTGTATGGTGTAGTGGTTTACGTGAGAATCTCTAGAGAAAAACGATTAACAATAATAATTTGAAAAAAAAAAAAAAAAAACAATTATGCACGATTTTTATTGCTTCAGTTCAATTTCTAGAAATCAAAATTTTTCACCATAAATTAATTTTCTGGCAAGAGAATTTTTCCGTAGAAAAGTTTTGTTTATATTATTATTATTTCATACCTTTCAATAATTAGAACTTTGCTCTAAATATTTAGTTCACTAAGTTTACAAAAATGAATTTGCTTTTTATACATTTGAAGCTATAGGCATTTTGCACGTCCTGTTTGCCCGCCTTCTTTTATATTTATTTTGGGGGATTTCATTTTTTTCATGTTTTTGCATTGAATTTCAATCGACATTTACAAAAATATAGATTTGGGGAGAAAGAAAAAAAATAAGGCTGGTTTGATGGGGGAAATTTCATGATAAATATGTGTTTTAGCAATAATTAAGTCGATACAAACTATTTTACAGGTTTCTATAACATAATTTTTTGTACCCCATGTCCTTAAACATTTTTTGAAAGTTATTCTTCATTAGAAAAAAAGAGAGAACATTTTATTGACTAGAACATGAAATCGTCAATTTAATTTCACTGCTAGCCGACACCAATATACAGAGAAATTCGTTGTGTGATTGTATATTCGTTAACCATTATTCTTTCTTATACACTTCTCAATTAATTAATTTTTTTAAAAGTAATATGTATATTGCACAACTACAGTTCACAACTTATAATTAACGTCAAATTATTTATTTATTGCAATTTTAAACTTAAATATACTGGTCCAACAAGTAAAAGCCTAAAACAGAGTGTTAATATAATTCTAAATAAATGTAATTAACTGTTTTTCATTTTCAGAGAAGAGTAAGTTTGGATACGTAACAGGAGAGACATATAGATTTACTTATGAAGGAGAAACAAAGACGAGTATAAACAGCGGCAGTAAAGACCAGGCCGGACTGAAGTTTACAGCTACAGTTCTCGTCGAAGTTCTCTCCAAATGTGAACTTTCACTCAAGGTACACGATTTGTCTCCTATCCCTACTCGGCGTATTTTGAATTGAAGGGAATGAACCAAAATGTAAAGTTTTTCTGTGTACAGTATTCTTTTTTAAAAGCATTTGCTATGATTTACTCCGCAACACCGAAAGTAGCAAACTGGGCTACAGTGTTATTTCAAGAGAAATAGAATGGGATGGCAGGGGGATCAACAACCTGTAACTGTATCGTATTTATTGTGTACGATATTTACATAAATACTGCATGTAGATGAGTGAAACACTGAAATTTTAGTTGAGTGTAACATTGAAATTTTTCACCCCAAGAAAACCATTGTCAACCGAGGCACCCCCAAGAAAACCATTATCAACCGAGGCGCAGCTTCGGTTGACAATGGTTTTCTTGGGGTGAAAAAAACCCATTGTCAACCGAGGCACCCCAAGAAAACCATTGTCAACCGAGGCGCAGCCTCGGTTGACAACGGTTTTCTTGGGGTGAAACATTTCAATGTTACACTCAACTAGATGCAGTATTTATTATATCATACTGAATGTAATATACAAATTACAATGAACCTTGTGCGCATAAATTCTGCGCAGTCAATACTTTTTCGAATATCACCCGTCCTCAAGCAATGTCTGGAGGACAGCTTCATTATTCAGCGGGTAATAGTGTTTTTTTAACAAATGTTTCTGGACGAATCAGAATCAACTTATTCACATGAAAAGTATAATATTAGCGGATATTGGTTTTTCTACCAATTAGTGTACTTTCGATTTAGGGTCTTCTGGGTGTGATATTTATAAGAATACATAAACAATACATTTAGCGATGTTTATGATTTAGCTGTGACGGATTTTTCCGCGAAAGGCGCTAAATAGAACACAAAGCTAAATGTAATACGTTTTATACAGTATACATTGTATATCATTTTAAAAAAAAATCACAGCACTGACAGTTTTTTTCCCCACTATAAATGTGCATACAGTGATTTATTATCATTCACAAAATTAACCCCCCCCCCTTCCAATGGACTTCATTTTTGGCAATACCTAAGATTATTGGCAGTTTATGCAATTTCATACCTCCTATTTGTTTTTGTGGTTGGAGGAGAAGGGGGGGGGGGGGTTACAAGCACCATTCATTTAAGCAAAAAAGGGCTGGTCAGTCTTGATGTAACTGTATCAATGATTTTTTTTTATGCAACCATAACTTGGAAATGTTTTGCACTATAGCTGGAAGACGTTGTTCTGTCTGGATCTGATCCTAACTACCCACAGAGACTGTTGACTGACACACAATCCAGGGACTTCAAAAAGGCTTTGGAAGACCATCCTCTTCGCTTCTCCTTCCAAGATGGCATCATGGAAGAGCTATGTCCTCTTCCAGAGGAAAGTGCATGGGTCCTTAACATCAAAAAGGGTATCTTATCCTCACTACAGAACACCATGGACTCCTTCAAATCTGAACAAGATCTTGTTGAGGTGAGTTCTACATATCTCCATACTGTATTAAAGAGTCCTAGTACAATTGCTTTATTTCTCTGTTATTTCCTGTAAGAACATTGCATGTACTATGTACTCTTGTTACTTGCTGATGCAAAAATTTTAAAGAAAATGTGATATTCTTTCTCATGATTTCTAATGGAAAAAAACTTTTTTATCAACAGACTGATGTTGCTGGGAAGTGTAGAACTCAGTACAAATTAAAACAGGAAGGCTGGAAGGCAGTGTCCATTGTTAAGTCCAAGGACATCAGTACATGCCTAGAACGTCATGGATTTGATACCTCAATGGGGTCCATCCTGTATGAGGTCCCCTCTGTAAGTATCAAACTGGTCTTCTCTTCCACATACAATCAGAAATGCCATCCTCTCTCCAACATACAATCATAAAAAGCAAGACTTCGATGACCCAGTTGGGGGTGTGAGAAAACAGACAATATACAATCTGATACTTTTCTTTCTTGCAGAGTCTTCAGTCACTTCCCATCATGAACAGTACCCATGAATGTGAGCAGAAGATCTCAACAGACGGTCACATGGAAAGTGTTCTGTGTCATGAAATCCACATGTTTAGACCTTTCTCCAAAGGAGACAGTGGAGCAATGACAGAAGTCACACAGTCACTCAAATTTGTCTCCCGGTCAACAGGAACTACATCTAGAATGGGTAAGAGCATTGCAATTTATTAATCAAAAGGTAGTGCAAGGTGGTAAAAAAGAGACTAATTAAAGGTAGTTCAAGGTGGTAAAAAAAGAATTATTAAATGCAGTGCAAGGTAGTAAAAAAAAACTAATTATCACCAGTAAAACTTGTTAAAGAAGAAAAAAGATCTCAAATTATCTTTTGAGTTTTTTTTTTCTCCAGCTGAGGTTAGCAGACGAGACACTCTCTTGTTCAGTCAGGTACATGGAGAAAAGTCCATAATCTCCACTAAGAAGCAGGTGCAGGACAAACTTAAGGAACTGTGTCTGTCTACAGAGAATGGAATCAGACCAGAGACCCCAGATCTGTTTGCTCAACTTGTCATGCTTATGAAAAGACTAGATGCCACATCAATGGCTGAAATCTTTGAAGAAATCAAAGCTACCTCTTTCTGCCCAAACAACATGGAGAGAACCAAGTAAGTTCAACAGATTCTCTGGTGGTGGTGGGGTGGGGTGGGGAGTGATCAATCTTGAATTTGGCATGACTACTTAGATCAAGAAAGTTTTACATGCATAAGACTTAAATGCACACAGAGAGAAAATGTAATTTGTTTACAGCCATTTGAAAAAAAAAAGCATTTCAATGTAAGAAAAGTTACTGAATTTTTCACAGTTGTTTCAAGCAATGGATTAATTATTCCAGGAAATTTTACATGGATGCCATCCCAATGGTTGGAACAGGAGCTGCAGTGAGGCAGATTACTCAGCTCATTATGAACAATGATGTAACTGGTGCTCTCACTGAATCTTGGCTGGTCTCCCTGTCCTTTATCCAGCATCCCACCAAAGACATGCTTACTGAAATTTCTGTAAGTCCAAATGTCATTGCCATTAAACCAGAAACAGACTTTGTGCAAAAAAAATAAAGAACCATGGAATATTTAATTTTAAAAAATATATATATATTTAAATTCCATTTCCCCCCAAAAACTTTATTTCTTCAGAAAATGATGAACACAGTCCATGGCACCAAAATACTGCTTCCCCTATCCACCCTTTTGAATACATACTGCCAAAAACAGTCTTGTGAACAGGACAAAGACATCGAAGATATCCTCACAAAACTTAAAGCTAACCTTGGTAGAGACTGCAGCAGCTCTAATGAGGAAAAGGTCAGTCACCCTCATTCATATTAAAAAAAAAAAAACCAAAAAACTTTTAAACAAAATAATAGATGAACATCAGAGTATCTGTGTAAGCTAACATTTGGATTTTTGTGTGACAGATTCTTGTGACTCTGAGAGCCATTGGAAACATTGAACAAACCCAGACATTTGTCCCCATCTTAGAGCAGTGCTTCTCCAGAAAACAGAACTCTATGGGAGTGAGAGTAGCAGCAGTCGAAGCCTACAGAAGGATGTCATGTGCTGCTGATGTAGGCCTCCAATTAATCTTTCATGATATTTTTCTGAGCTTTATCAGAATTTTCACATTTACAATATTTATTAATCCATATCTTTTTTAACACAGAGAAATAACTTGATTGCATTGTTCCGTAATGCTGATGAAGACTCTGAGTTGCGATTAGCTGCTTATCTTCAGGTTATGAAATGTCCTAATGACGTTGTCCTTCAACAAGTCAAACAAACACTCCTATCAGAGGAGGTTAACCAAGTAAGTTTTATACTGTTACATGTATTTTGACCAATAATATGACTGACTAATTCTATGTTTATTTGATACATTAATGATTATTAGAGAAAGACCAATTTAAATGACAATGGAAAATATTGTTTTAAAAAGGTCGGCAGCTTTGTCTGGACACACTTGATGAACTTAAGAGAATCCTCAAGCCCCTACAAGGAAACGGTCAGATCTATGTTGGAGAGTGAAGACCTCCCTAAAAAATTTGATCTCGATAAACGCAAGTTCTCCAGAAACTATGAATGGTCTCACTACTCACAAGACCTGAACATTGGAGGAATGTTGGACAGCAACCTCATCTGGTCACCCGATTCTTTCATCCCTCGGTCAGTGTCAGCTAATTTATCTGTTGAGATGTTTGGACATTCAGTGAATCTGCTTGAGATTGGAGGACGTGCTGAGGGCCTGGATTATCTTTTGGAATCCTATTTTGGACCAGCTGGATACTTCAAGGATGGAACCATCACTCCAGACGAGAAGGACCACCAGGACATCAAAATGAAGAAACTGCAAAAGATTGACAAAAATGTATGTCTAAATTAAAAATAAAAAATATTAATTTGCATTGATACAACTCTTATAACCCCATTTCAATCCCATCCTCTTAACAATGTATTTGATTTACTTCTTCTAGTTTGATAAGAAAGTCCAAGAACTGAAAGGAGCCATGTATGCAAGAGTGTTTGGAAATGAAGTTTTCTATAAGAGACTTGGACAGTCTGCACCAAAGGCTACAGGATCAAGTTTCAACTTCCTGGAAATGTTCCAGGAACTGGCTAAAGGAAATGAAATCTCTTACACCAAAAGTAGCATGTTTTTGGACAGCAGTATCATTGTACCCACCATTATTGGTCTTCCCCTCAATCTAACAGTGAATGGAACTGCCAGTGTGGATCTTAAAGGAAGAGCCACCATTGACATGACGAAGCCACATAAAAGCATTCTTATTGATGGAATTATTGAACCAAGGTATTAAAAATACAAGACAATTACCCCCCCCCCCCCTCCCCTTTTCTTTTTTGAAAATTGAAACATTTACTTCAGAATGGCTTCACATTAGGTCATATATAAGGAGCAGGGTTTTAAATTATAACATTTTATCCCTGTAGTGGAGCAGTTGAGTTTGCCTCCATGATGAGTGTGGATGCCTACTTTACCAAGAGTGGAATTAAGATGACCTCCACCCTCCACTCCAGCACTGGGGTCAGCACTAAGATCGAGATCAAGAATAAAGAGGAATACATCTTCAATGTTGATGTTCCAAAGACTAAGTCAGAAATCATCACTGTCAAGTAAGAAACAAGTATAGTGTATGAGAAAAAAACCCCCACAATGACTAGAACACATGGTGTCTTTTTACGATAATAAAGTATTGTTGAAATACAGTAAAACTGAATCAATTCTTTATTTGACTTTCAGGTCTGCCCTGTTCATGGTTTTCAAAGACCAGGAAAAGAAACAGGTGCCTGCTGCAGACGACATAGTCACCAAGAAATTCTGCTCAGGACACACAATTGTTAGATTGACTGGTTTGGAGGTCTGCGGAGACGTTGCTCATCCCCGTGCCAAGGACAACTCTCCCCTCTTCCCACTGAATGGCCCAGCACATGGTGTGCTCATTCTTCACAAGAGAGATACTCACAAAGGATATCAGTTGGAAATCAAAAAGATTAATGTAAATACACCAAAGTCTTACTTGCATCACCTCATTACTATTTGTACACATGTAAAACATTGCTACAAGTGATTATTTTATAAGCAATGTTTATTCTACATTTATTAAAAAAAATCATTAAAATGTAAATGCTTTAGAAGTATAGTTGTATGAAAGAAAATTATGTTCAAACATAAGATTTACTCTTCTGTAAAATTGTATCATATCTTCATTCTTTTAAAAAACTGTGTAAGGCCAATATTGCTATTTACATGAAAACTTTATTTACTTATAGAACAAGAAACTGCTGAACTTTAAAGTGTTTTATGACACACCTGGATCAAAGATGGAGAGAGCCACAGGATTTGAACTTGAAGTGAAGAAAGATTCGAAAATTCTGGAAATGAGTCTGACCTCTCCATGGAAGAAGGCCACATTCACAGGTTGGTAAAATCTTTTAATTCTCAGAGATCAATTTTCTTTCTCTCCGATTTTCACTTCACAACAGGCCTAGCCAAAATTAAGTTACACTTCTTCAAAGGAAAGCCTTTTTTTTACTCTTTTGTGTAGAATTTAAAAAGGCAACATTAGTTAAAGACAAAAAAAACAAAAGTCATTAATACAGTAAAACACACTTGTAGTGAACACACTTGTAATGAATTGATGCTTACAGTGAAGTGATTTTTATTCCCCCTGGCTTCAAAATGTATTGTTAAATTAATGGATAACAAATTATGTTTATAATGAAGCAAAATTGTCCATCCCTGGCATGTTTTACTGTACATTTTACTTTATACGTGTACAAAAGTTTGAAAAATTCAAACTTTGATGGATTCCATGATGCCCATGGTATGTTGAATTGTACAAGTGGGGTATTTTTTTTTTATCTTTCATCAACAGGAAGTTTAGTTGATGGAAAGAAAGAGAAGCAGCTGAATGGTCTGGCCACTGTTGATGGTACCCAGGAATACAGATTTGAATCTTCTATTGGAATTAATGCCAAAGGCTCTTTGACCAGGTATAAGCCTAAAATGACCATCTCCTACCCTAAAGCCAAACCAATTAATCTTGATGGAAGTGTGAATGTTGAATACTCAAAACAAAAACAGACATTGGATTCTACCATTGTCCTAAAGGGAATTCAGGATGATCCAATCACCATTGAAGGTATGCTTCGTGTCATCAAGGGTTCCAGAAGAAAATTGCTTTAGATATAAGTTATTGTGATTTACTTTTCATTAAAATGAAATTTCACTTGGAAAAATCCAATTGAAATATTATTGAAATAATGCTAAGTAAAAAAAATTTCTCCTCCAAGAAGGTTGTTAAGCCATATTTTGCCTTGATTGCCTCATTCCAAAATATATCTCTGTATTATGTATTTTTACTTTGTGCAGCTGACATAAAAAATACACCAAAAGCCAAAGGAATTTCTGCCAAGTTTAACTATGAGAAAAAGAAGGAGTATTCAGCAGAAATCATGGCAAAGATTAATGAACAGAAGAAGAAGACGATAATTTATCCAAAAGTCCTCATCAAGACCCCTACAAAGGACCTTATGAGTGTGCGTGGATCTCTTGTTGGAGAACCAGGAACCTTCGCAAAAGTTGACCTGACCTTGGACAAAGTGTTCAGTTCCGCTGTTATGGTTAAAGGTAATACACAAAATATCCTTTAAAAGGGGGGAGGCTTATAAATGGATAAAATTAATAGACGTCAGAAGCAAATTGAAAGGGAGGGGGGCAAAACCAACCAAAAAAAATGTTTGTGGACTAAGCCCCAATTTTCAATGCCTATATTTAGTCCATCTTTGCAAAAAAGGTGGGGGGAGTGGGTTGTAAGTAACATTAAAACAGAACCTATGGATCAGAGTAATATTTCATTCTGTGTTTGCATTAGGTTAGAATTTTAAAAAAATAATATTCAAGTGGAGGAACAAATTTTTTCCTGCACATTTTCCTTTTGTGACCCTGCTCCAGGTGTCATGCTTTGAACATACTTATAAACAAAATCTGATTTCACATCACCCAAGGATGCTATGTGGCAAGTTTGGTTGGAATTCACTGAGTGGTTCTGAAAAAGTTGTAAATTTGAAAAGTTTATGCACAACAGAAGAGAATTCTCACTACAATGCATGACAACACATAAAAACAATCCACATCAGACTTAAAACAGTAAAACATTAGAGACTCAGGTGTCCTATTGAGGAAGAAAAAAATTAAACCTAACAAGAAATGAATAAAAATAGGAAGGAAAAAACATTGTTCAGACAGCTATTTTTTTCAAACTAAAAAGCTGTAGTTAATTATTTTGTTTTAAGGTGATGTAAAGAAAATTGAAAAAGGAAAACGAGTTTTGTACAGAGCAAAAGCCAATTACAAAGGACCCAAGAAATCCAGCCTGAGAATGAGAGTGAATATTGATAAGAAGCCAGTGGCTTTCACCACAAGAGTTAAAGCTGACTACAACTTTGTCAGAATTTTCAAAGGGGCAAAGGATAGCTTCACCTACAACAGCAAGATTGTGAACAAGAGCACCAAGACACTGAACAATATTGTTGTCAATTCGTGAGTAACCAAAGCAACTTTAATGAAATGAAAACATTCAAACAGTCTTCCTCATGAAGCCTTCATTATTTTTCACTGTTACAAAAATATTTTTACTGCAATAGCATTTCCTTCCCTAGCACATTATTAAACACTGCCTGATTTTTTTTCAGGAATTTCAAGTCATCAAAATTTTCTGAATACAACAACCTCTTGGCAGTAAAATTTACCAATCGTTATAACAAGGTTGCAGACCTGAAGTCTTCTTTTGACTATGGCCGAACTTACACTAGCAAAGTGAACAAGCAGAGGGTGACTTTAAATGGTATTAGCAAATACAGCTTCAAGAAGAATGGTGCAACCATCAGCTACAATGTCTCTCTCTCACATAAACCTGCAGTAAGTCATATTTTAAGGTTGAACTTGTCTACATTTTGAAACATGAACTGAGCATATTTTCCCTAAAAATTCACCCATGCTTCAAAATTCTACCAAGTAGGAAACAGGCACTTTTAGAACTTCACAGAAGTTGAAAATCTATTGCAAAATTGATGTTGAAACACCCAAATTCTGGGTAATATATTAAAAGCAATGTATCCTTTGTTTTTATTCAACATCAAAAATATATTTTTACTAGGATCTAGATGCTGCCATTTCAGGCTCACACTCGCACACAAAAAAGACCATCAAATCAAATTTTGCCATTCGTTATGAGGACAAAAACACAGTTACTGCTTCACTGAAACTGGAAGATGCAACTAAGAAATTTCCAAAATATAGTGGAAAAGCAACTTTAACTTACCCTGGAAGAGATATTGTGGTAGAGGCTGCTGGTTCACGTAAAACAAACAAGGAAGGCAAAATAAAATTGATTATCCAACACCAAAAGGGTGCCAAATCCAGCATTGCAGGCGAGTACACTCAGAAATCCAATACCTCAATTGATGTTCAATCCAACTTCCAGATCTACAAGCAGAAGCCAATCTCCGTAAGTGCTTCTACAGACATCAGCTACACTACCCCAAAAATTGATCTAACAGTCGTCCATGGTAATGATCAGTACGCAGTTATGGCCTCAGGAGAGTATGAACCACATAAGTATGGCAAACTCATGTCCCATATTCAGTATCCTGCTCGTAAAGTAACTATGGAGCTTGAAGGAGGAAAAAAAGGAGGTCAGTGCATTGGTAAGGTGGATGTGAGCTGGGACGCAATCAGGGATGCAGACAAGAGAGTGTTGGTACAATGCATCTCAAGAGTGAACAGCTTGAAGGACTTTGATGTTTTCACCAACTTAGAGTATCCAGGTCAGAAAATTGCTGGTGAGCTCAAGAACCTCATTAAAGCCAATTATAATTATAAGACATCTGCTTCTGTCTCATGGAGTCCAAGGCAGAGAGTTTTTGCAGAAGTGGAGCTTCTTGACAATCGCAAGAGATACAGAGGAGTCTCAGAGGCAACAATATCTATTCAATCATCCTTTAAAAATTTTGAGGAATATAAACTAAGAGTTGGCAACAGTTACTCAAAAACTGAGTATAAGGTCATAGGTGGCATAACCTGGGCAAAAGGCAAAACAGTTTCCGCTACTGCCTCAACAAAGTATCCTCTACTGATTGATGATCTGAACTTAGATGTCAAGGTGAGCACTCCATTCAAAGATGTTGGTAATCCTCGTGTTATCCTACTCAACCAGATCTCCTCTTCCCAGAAGTCACAGAGTGGCATCTTGAAAGTTTCCTGGGGAAACAATCAGTTTGTTGACATTGAAACCAATGGGGAAACTACTGCATTTGAGCTTTACAGAAGAGAGTTTACAAGAAACATTGGCTTCTCATCCAGCATCCTAAATTATGAGAAAATCATTTTCAACATCACACATCAAGACAACTTTGAGAAAGTGAGCTCTCATGCTGTAGTCACTCATAACAATGATAAATACTTGTACAAGATAAATATGGACAACAAGCTGACTGGTTGGCAGTTGGAGAGCCGAGGAAGCTATGACATCAAGGGACCTTATGATACCATGTTTCTCCAATGGACACACAGAAACACTGACCGTGATATCAGAAGCACTGCTGACATCAAATGGGGAAAGAGTCAAACCTTCAATGCAGAACTTACAGGAAATATCCAAACCATCCCAAATCACAAGATCACTGGCAGATTCCAAATGAATGTCCCATCTAGCACATTGAGAAGAGTGGAAGCTGATTTTGAGCATGAAAATAAGATTGGATTTATCAAGACCTATGGCAGAATTACAGCTGACAGAGAAAACATTGGTACAGTTGATTTGAAGTATGGTAGGCAAGTAGGGGAAGCTAATGTGGATTTGACAGTGAGCAGTAGATACATGGAAGACTTTAAATTGAAGTCTTTTGCGAAAAGTGCTACCATGCCAATCAAATCTGGCTTGGAGATCCAGTGGAACCCTGCTCAGAAGATTGTTGCTGCTTTCACTCATTCTGATATTCTGAACAATCTAGAAAGCAAATTTACCTTGACTACTCCCTTCCCACGTGCCCAGAAAATTGAAGTAGATGCAAGCCATAAATTAAACGGCATTGACTGGGAAGCAAAAGGTAGCGTAGCATATGCTCCCATGCAAAAGATAACAGTTGGAGGCATCTATAACTTGGTCACAGAAAAGAAAGCCCGTGTATATCTCACTTCTCCATTCCCAACCTTCCAAAGGCTTGAAACAGGAATCTTCTTCAAAGGAGACTTGAAAAAGTTCACAACCAACTTTGATTTTGAAATCAACCCTCTTGTAAAGAAAATACAAGCCTCTTCTGATTGGAGTTATGACAAACTTTACACCAAGGGATCACTCAGATTGGACACACCTTTCCCACAATACCCTTACATGAGAGCTGAGCTCCTGAGCCAGTACAGCGTAGTAGCACGGCAGTCCAGCTTTATGGTGGAATACCTCCCTACCCAGAAAGTAGAAGTCAGTGGATCATATGTTGCTAAGCCTAAAAACCTTCAAGGAACATTCACTGTCAAAATTCCTGGAAAGGAACCAGCAACAATTAGCTATAGACAAAATGGAGATGTCAATGCTTTTGATAATCATGCTGAAATCAAATACGATGGAGGAAAGACAATGCTTGTAGACACTACATTTGGTCTTGAGCCTAAGGTGTATGGAACTTTCCATATGGAAAGTCCAATGAGAGGATACAAAACAGTGGACTTCCAATTCAACCATGAAGGCAAAACATGGAAAGACATAAGGACACAATTAATCTATGGCACAAATAAAGACAAAATTGAAATTGAGACCATTTTTGATATTGTTGGAGATATTGAAGCAAAAGCTATGATCAAGACTCCATTCCCAATTCTAAAAATTGCTGAGGCTAGCTTTTCTCATAGTGGCACCTTCCCTAACCTCAGAACCAACATCAGAGGAATTTTCAACCACACAAGCATCGAAAGCAATCTGGAAACCTCTCACTCTCTGAAACTTACTGGAGGAAAAATCAACTTATCCACTACCTTCCCTGCTGTTAAATTTGCAGAATTAGCATTTAATCATGAGGGATCATCTGATAATTTCCAAACACACGTGGAAACCACACACAACCTGAGGAAATATGAATCTGACACTGTTTTCAGCCATACTACTGATTTGACAGCATTTACCCAAACTTTCCAGACACCTATTCAAGGATGGGAAAAAACAACAATAACATTTAACAAAGATGGTCCTCACACCAACTTTAAATCAGTCGCAGAAGTTCAATACCAAGACCAAAAGATTTCAGCAAGCTATAATCACAATATACAGAAAGGTGACGTAGCAACCACAGCCACATTGAACACACCATATACTGAGGACATCTTATTCAAACTAGACCAGAACCAGAAAAAGAGAGGATTTACAACCAATGTAGAATTCTCCATGGGCTCTGATACTCAATGGAAGTCCACCACAAACTACAAACTAAAAAACAGCGAACTCATTTTCACTATTGATGAAACTGTTATCATGGCAGGTGAGAAGTATACTGGAAACTTCCAATTAGATCATGCTGGAGTTCCTCTAGCATTCTCCACTAAAGTTTCTGGAAAATACCAAACCCACAGCATAGGAACATCTGTTGATTTTAATGGACAGTCTCTAGATGACATTCATGCCTCTGTGAAAATTGACTCTTCATTCAAAGGATACACTGAAATGGATCTTGTTGCAACACACAAGAAAAATAACAATGAATATAAATCTGAAGTAAAAGCCAGCATGGAGAAGAAACACACAGTATCTTTAGCTAGCACAGTCACTGCAGAACTTCCAAAAATGGATATCAATGTTGGCCTAAAAACATCTTTCAAAGATTATGAATCAGCTTCCTTTGCACTTAAGACTGATAAACCCTCTGACCAATATACTGGAGAGATTGATATTACTTATCCTGATGGAAAGAAGATCACAGCTGATGGAAGATTCAAGGCAGACTTCCCTAAGATTGATGCCAATGTTGATGTAACCACTCCTTACAAAGATTTTGAAAGCTTTGGAGCTACTGTAAAATCCACTAAATCTACCTCTGATCTTAAAATCCGGTATGGAGACAACAAGAAGATTACAAGCTCTATGTCTCAAAGTATTGACTTCCCAACCATGAATGTAAACTGGGCCATAACAACACCAATGAACACTGTGTCTGCAGAATTTAATAACAGGAAAGTGGGTAACAGATACACAACCACCATCTCAACCAACATTGATGGAAAGAAAAGTTCTGCCAAATCAACAGTATCGGTGGATCTTCCATCAGTGAATATGGAAGTTAATATCAAGAACAATCCACTTAAAGAATACTATGATTCTGATTTCCCATCAGACTTGACACTTGTTCTGAAAAATATGGGTGAAACAGCTATCAAAACTGCAGATGTGTACTTGACTGTTGATGACATTGAAAAGGCCAGATTAAGATCAAGAATTAACACTGATGACATGGTAGGAGAAATAACTATTAACCTGCCTGAAGGAAAAATTATCTCCATTTCTCACCAAGCTCAAGATAAGTGGACACGCACTTTGGATGCCTCTTGGAAATTTGGATCAGAACATAACATGGCTACATCTTCAAGATGCCAGGTGAACCTCCCAGACATTGATTGTTCTATCAGCCTAGAATCAACTTACCATCAAGACATTCAGGTCACTGTGGTCAACACTGTAACTGATGATCTGATTTCCTCTTCAGTTTCTGCTTCCTATGGAAATGCAATGAGATATAGTGGAGAGATGACCCTCTCACACATTCCTTCTAACCTTCAATTCAGTGCTAAGTTGGTGACACCACATGAAGGATTCAAATACTCTGAGGCTTCATTCACTACAACTAAGAAACAGGAGACCTATTCTAGTAAACTAGTCATCACCTCTGACAAAATTTCCACCATAACCTGGGAAGTTAGACAAAAAATACTAGGAATTTTTGATATTGACTTCTTTAGCAAACTCACAAGTGATTTTGAAATTGCTCAACTATGGCAATTTAGTCTAACTAGCCAAAAACAAGGTGAAGAATATATCATGTTGGTGGAAACTTACATGGATCCAGTCAGAAAGATTAGTGCTGATGCTTCAGTTATCTTACGGGGACAAAATGGCAAGTCTAAGCTACATCTTACAATTGAAACACCATTTGAAGTCCTTAAGAGTTTCAAATATAAGGAAGACCAAACAACTTCCAAGTTGCGTGAAAAGCACATGAGAAACACTCGAGCTATCCTTGTACAGTACAATGGAGAGACATATTTGGAGGCAGATGAAGAATTTGAATTCTTGATTGAAGAAGACTGGCTGTATGATTATCAAATTATCTTCAGACATCCTAGACAGATGGAATACTCAGTCAATCTAAAGAAGGAGGTCAATCTTTTCACAGGAAAATCCACCATAAATTGGAACAGAGAGGAAATTAACAGCAATGTCCAGATCAGTGGTCAAGCAACCATTGCCAATAACAATGACCTTCATAATCAAATACAAATAGAGGCTGTTCATGCAACAAGAACAGTTGGCCTGGATGCAATTCTTCACAGAACAACCAACATGCAGAGAGCAAAGATGGTGGTGGCATGGGACAAAGATAATAACAAAAAAGCTGGATTTGACCTTCACCAAGATAAAAAGAAGTATTCCACAAAGGTTGTCATTCCATCAAGATCCATTGAAATGGTCAATGAGTATGATGATACAAATCCTGTTGTCTGGAGTGAGAACACTTTGTACTGGGATGCTGATTCTGACAGAGACCAAAAAGCTGGCATCCGTTTGACTAAATCTGGTAAACGAAACATTGATCACCAAATCGACATCAAATTGCCTACTTTCAACAAGGTATGTATCTGTGGTAAAGAATTCAATTTGCAATTATTAGCTTAAAAATATTTTTTATTCCACGGTTTCTAATCCAAATTATTTCTTTCATTATAGGAGTACTCAATTCACACAGTTACTCAGAAAAAGAAGAAGCTTTTTGAAAGCACTGTTGAGTTTTCTTATTCTCCTCAAAAGAGAAAGAACATTGTTATGTCTGTCCGAGTAGACGATATTTCTACAGGATCCCAATCTTCCAATTACACCTGGTCCTTAGGAATGTCCCAGCGATACAGTAACCTTGACATTACCCTGAGTGGACACACTGGACAGTCTGACATGAGTGATACATTTGGAGTTGGTGTGCAATACCTCACAAACCAAAGACAGAGGAAGAACATGAAGATGCTTATGGAAATCAAAAAAATACAGAAAGAGATTGCTCTTTATGTGAGTTTTGCAGTGAATTTTCTCTTCCTAGAAAACCTCAGCTAAATTCAGCTATAATTAAGCCTTGCTTCCTGTCCTTTCTCTGATTTGATTGATACCATTACTATAGTATATCATGTGTTAAATATTTCAGATGGATGTGCCTAGTGGCAAATCTTTGGGAGTTATTGGTCGTGTAGAATCCACATCTCCTTTATTAGTGTCTGTAGACAGTTTGGATAATGGCAGACAGTCTGAGAAACTCAGAGTCAAAGTTGATAAGAATAAACGAAGTATTGAACTCAAGGCCAAGTATGATACAGGTACTCTTCAAAACATTTCCAAATACACTGTACGTTATATTACATGAGCATGCTTGTTTTGGGTGAAAATAATTAATTTATGTACACATAGAGTATTCCCTTGTAACAAATTTTAATACAGTTCATTTTTTTAATCATAAGCTAATCCAAGATCAGCCCTGCACATGAAGGCAGAATTACCAACCAAGAAAGATCTTCAGGTTGAGATCTACAGAACTGGAAACTTTGAGCAGGTTACCGACTCCCTCATCAATGTTCAGCTTCAGGACTCCAGATTCCTTCACTCAAAGATCAACTGGAGGCCAGAAATGTTTGCTGATGCCATGGTAACATATATTTCTTTTTAAGCAACATTTATGTGTGTTCTTAAAATTTTTATGCATATTTTAAATCAATCATGCACTTTTATGTTGTGGACTTCCTGGTCTGATTATTTAAAAACATAATTAGTCATAGCAGATTCTTGAATATTCTTGTTTTATGGCAGTGATTCTAAAATAAGCTTGCAAACAACTATACAACAAGTACCAAAATATACGTACCTGATAGAATCTTATTTTCAAAACCTTAACTTTATTAGGAGTTCACCACACAGAGAATGATGAAAGATGCCACAGAGGCTAATGCTGCATTTTTGGAGGTGGGAACCGACATTGCTAGTGAACTAGCTGGTAAAGATTCCACACTCAGCAAGGAACTAATGGAAGAAATCAAACCTTTCACTGAAACTCTTGCCAAACAAGTGGAGGACTTCCAGGATGAACTGAAAGCCATCAAGCAGACAATTAAGGAGATGAAGAAAAATAATGATCTCTACCTGGGTGACCTTAACCAATTCTTTAACAACTCCATCCAGGAATTCATGTAAGTACAGCTGAGCATCTGTCTAGAATTTGGAACATGACTAAACGATATGAATATCTGAAAGCAATATGACTTTGATTTCTTGCAGTGTTGCATATGGCAGAGGTCTCCGACAAATGCAGACTTCATATAGTGAAATGAAGACCAAAATCACTGAACTATCAAATAAAGTCAAAACCTATCCATTTGCTGAGAAATACACCAAGATGGTTAATGATATGTCATCCAATTTTGAGGTAAGAATTAAATTTACAGTGGATGTCTACAACAGTAATAAAATTATGATGTTGATGTGAAAACCTTCTTATTTTTAAATTTTGTTACTTAGGAATACAAAAAAGAAGCTCATAGTTGGATGATGAAGGAGGTAAAGACCATGACATCCAACATCAAAGAAAACATCCGTCTCCTTCAACAGAAAATCCAAGAACTTCTTAAGAAGACAAAGACTATTGCATCACGTACGTTTCCATCAAAAATACAATACAGACACATTTCTCAGTAATCAATTGATTTAGCAGAAATACTTGCACAGAGGTAGTCTGTTAAAAAATATAAATATAATAAGCTCCTCTTTTTACAGAAAAACTGGACTTGATCCTGCAGCATCCAAATGTCCAAAGAATACAACAAGAAGTGTCTGCTCTCTCTCAAAGACTCCCAGACATGCCCGACATGCCAGACTACAGTGTCTATGTCAAAAAGGTCAAATCTGCTGTGAAGGGCATCGACATTAAGAAGCCCTACAATGATGTGGTTTCCAAGGTTACAGCTGTTGTGAACGCCAAGTACAATGAGCTCCAGAAGGACCAAGACTTTGTCAAGTTCCAAAAACTCATGAAGGAGATCTATGAGGAGGTACCTAAGACATATTTTATTGTACAATAAAAATTTCGAAGTTAATTTAATCACTTGCTACTCAACCTTGATTTTTTAAAAAAAATATTATCTGCTTATAACTGTGATTAAATAGTACTTAAACTAAGATGGCACTTAGAATGGTTTTTTTTTTGTTCCTTTAATTTAGTTGTCCAAGGAATTTGAATTTTTGTCCATCAGAAAACAACTTATGGATATTGCCACTCAGATGCATGGTGATATCAAGAAATTCATTGTTGAAGACATTATTGAAATGAAAATATTAGGTTTGGACAAATCCAGAGTCATCACCTTTGACCCTGAAAATGGCAACATTGAGGTAGAAATCTATCTCCCCACTAAGATGGAAACCCTTGACCGCCTACCCAAGATCCCAGTTACCAAATTCAGAAATGTAATGAAGGATGTTGCTGGAAGAGTTCAGACCATCATCCCTGACACTGATTTCTGCTTCTGGGACATCTACTACAGATTTAGACCTGCAAGCCTCAACCCCATTGACTGGATTCCTCCCTTCAAAGGCTACGCCTATGTTGCTGGTAACAGGCATTACATCACATTTGATGGAAAGAAATTTGACTTCACTGGTGACTGCAATTTCATCTTGACACGTGATCTTGTCAACCACAATTTCACTGTCATCATGAACTACAAGCCAAACAAGAACACCATGGAATCTCTCCTGGTTCTGGCTGAAGGAAAAACAATTGAAATCTTCCCCGACTTCACTGTAAGCTGCTGTTGTTGTTACTTTTTTAGCTTTTTATTCCTTAAAAAATTTAACAAAAATATCATACCACATGTAGTGTTAATTGATGATTAGATGAATTTTCATCTGTTTATTCTATTTACAGGTTAAGATAGACAACAAGCCCCATGAGTTCCCATACATTTCCCATAAACTGAGTCTTGAACGGGTAGGAAACTGGATAAAACTGGACACTGGGCGAGGTTTGGTCATCACTGGTGACCTTCCTAGCAATGTGTTTAAACTAGAGGTCAGCGGCTGGTACTTTGGCAAACTGGCAGGATTGCTAGGCACCTATAACAACGAACAGTATGATGAACTGACAACATCTGACAACAAGATTGTCAAGAATGAGGATTCCTTCTACAATAGCTGGGAGGTCAGCAAAAAATGCAGACCCAATGGAAACAATGCTGTGGACATCATCCAGGATTCTAATGATGCTAAATACATCAAATGCTCCAAAGTCCTCAAGTCCTCAGATTCTGTCCTCAGGCCCTGTTTCAGACAAGTAAGTTCTGACAATCGTTTGAGTTTACAAAAAAAGTTAGATATATGTTGGTCAGTATTTGCCATATTTACAAATTTACAAACATTTTTGCACTTTTCAGGTGAGTCCAGGCAAAGCCTTTGAGATGTGCTTGAACCAGGAAGATGCTTGTGCTGCTGCCAGATTCTATCTCCATCAGTGTCAACAGGAAGGTGTCCATCTTTCTCCTCCAAAGGAATGTGGTATGTACAAAAAAGTAAAAAAGCTGTAGCAATTCACCTTATGATTTACAGCACAACTTTCCATTCCTGCTAGTTTGATTCACTATTTCTGTTAATTACCCACAGTTCAGTGTGTTGCTCCCAATGAGGAGAGTTTTGTGGCTGGTGAGACCATCAGGATTTCCTCACTCACTGATGATTACAAGCCTGTTTCGTCTGCTGACACAGTCTTCATTGTGGAGGAGAAACCATGCAACAGAGAAACTACCAAACACCTTGGATCTCTGGTCTATGAGATTGAACAGGAACTCACCAAAACTGGTATGCCATTTTTTCCCCTAAAATATGACCTCTTCCTTTCTTTTAAATATAGTAACAACATAAGTAAGCCAAAAAATTACTATATTGATTTCATTCATGTTGTAGGCATCTCAAACAACAAGTATGGACTGCTAGGATTCAACAAGAAGGGCTCTCATGTTCACACAATGGAGGGTCAATTACTCAATGATCCCACCAAGTTTGTCATGGGGGTAGAAAGCCTCACTTTCACTAGTCACAAGACAGACACCCTGAGTGCAATCCTTGAGGCAGCCAATTATCCATTCCGTGCTGGTGCAGTCAAGAACATCATCCTTCTACAATGTGGAGTCTGTTCTGATATGAAAACCATGCAATACCACCAAATTAGACATATTCTCCAGTCTAGAAGTATCAGATTCCACATTCTGAGAGACCAAGAATTCATGCTCGGAAACAGAATTCCTAAACAGAAAATCTTAGGTATGCAGTCACTTTTAAACTTACTATTTTCATGATTAGAGCTTGTCAATTCTCTATCCAACAGATTAACATGTATATACATGCATTTTAAATCCTTAAACAAATTTTTTTTTTTTCAAAATTCAGTAAATCACATGAATGCAGTTTTATGATGACAATATCTTTTAACAGGTGTGGACAGTGACAGGAAATATGTCCTTCATAACTCTAATGACCAGAGTCTAGATAACATGGATACCCCCATGGACACATGCTCCCACCTTGCCCTTCTCTCCAATGGTTCCATCTTTGATTCCAGCTCAATGCTTCTGAAGAAGGTCCGACACCAGAAGATGGCCATTGACACCATCAGTAACCGTGTAGCCAAGTCTTCCATCCCCACTAAATGTCAGGTCTGTCAGTGTGAGACTGATAAAACAGGTGCTCCTAGATCAGTCTGCAGAAGTTGTTACTCAGAAATGAAAGATGTGAGTAAGATTTAATTAAAATTCAATTTTTAATTCTGAAAGTGTTTAGCTGTGCGACTTGCATATAAAATGATTTGCTGTGACAATTGAAGACCTTTAGACCTATATTATAGTTCTGTCATTTCCACTATTACAGTACCTCAGTCTTTGGTGGAGCCAACTTAGACACCCAATGACACTTGAACAAGAGATTAACAAACAATTTCAGGTAAAACATTCACCTATCTCTCAAAGGGAAAATCAGGACCTTTATGTGCTCCATGTAATGCACAGTAATAAACAAATTATTTAGTAGTACACCAGTTATAACACTACCAATGATAGGGAGCACTTTAGCCTGGTTCCCTGTTCCATTTTACTTTTGTGTACTCTGTGGTACTAGGGCCAGGTGGACTACAATCGATTCAGGGTGATTTGCCCTGAAGTGAATCTATGCCCATTTTGACATATATAGCGACACTGTTGATGTAGAATTTTGTGACGTATTTTCTATGCTATTAATGTAATACATCAATGTGACATTGTCTTAAGCCAACATTAATTCCAGTGGTTTATGGAAATGGCTCAAAAATCATGATTTTGCACAAATAGTGCTGACCAATCATATGAAGCATCGGACTGAACTCCACCTGGCTCTCCTGCCTTGGCATTGATGAGTCTGCGAATCAGGAATTGCATTATATTGGAATTCTAATTATGATTTTATCTTTTATAGGAGTTCCTGAATGCCAAGAAAGGTTGGGCAGTCCTAACAGCATAAATGTGATGACGTATACAAACATTACAATGATTTCACTGTGATTTTTGCAATGAACAATGCAAATGTTTTCACCCATCACCATGACAACAGTCCTCATTTCTCATCAACTCTTACTATACATTCCTGTGAATCATTTATTATTTTTATAATGAATTTACCAATGATAAACAAAGAATTCCAAATAAAAATCCTGTATATATTTGTGACATTATTTATTGTTTATTGTTAATAAAGAAAAGAATATTTTTGAAACATGATGATTTATATTTTGTTTGTAGCAATGACAAGTATTATAATCTGTATTGAAAAAAAAAATGTACACAATTGGTCAGAAAATGCCCTGTTTGTCAGTAACAAAAACTATGATATTTCAAGTTATATTCAATTCCAACAACAATTTTGATTAAAATTGCAATGAATTCAATCTTTACTGAAATATATATTGTATCTATATTTTTCATCTTCAGTATGATGTCAAGTATTTCTAAAAGAGAAAAAGATTTATCATCTGTTGGTAAACATTCCTGCCAAGGAATATTCAATAATATTCAATAACAAGAGGCCCACGGGCCTCAATGCTTACTGAGGAACTGGGCCCTTCTGTTCTTCATCAGAAAATTCTTTTCCCTATATATTTTTATGTACAACTTCGATCACATATTGGGGCCAAACCCTACACCCCCCATCACCCCCACTAGAGCTGTCACAAGTACCCGAAATAACCGAGAACCGCGGTCCAAGTTGTTCGGTTCGGTTCCGGTTTCATTTTTCCGGATTTCGGTTTGGGTCTGGTTTATATATCAGAGTCTGTTCAATACAAAAATTGGCGTTGAAATCAAAGGAATGATGACGATAACAGTGATAAATAAACATCACAACTGAAATCTACTTCATTCCATGACAAAACAATTGTCACGGAAGTATTAGATAATTATCAAAACGAGCAGGAATGGTCAGGTTGTGGCTAATAGTAGGCCAAGTCACCGATGTCTAGATGTTCGCATGGTTAAAACTTGTTTTCAATGTAAATTTAATGTAACAAATAAAGATTTTTCAAGTTAAATTCATGAAATTAAGGTTTAAAATAGATGTAAATACCCGACCCGAAAAACCCGTAACCGAACCGAAAATTTACAGAACCGACCCGACCCAAAAAATTTTGGAACCGTGACAGCCCTAACCCCCACCCCCCGGGGGTTATTATTTGAACAAACTTGAATCTACACTACCTGAGGATGCTTCCATATTAATATGACTTGTAACTGGTTTGCTGTTCTTCAGAAGGTTTTTTAAAATTTTTTTCCTGTATATATTTGATCCTCCATTGTGGCCCCACCCTACCCCTGGGGGTCATGATTCGAACAAACTTGAATCTACACTATGTTGTGAATATTTCACATAATTTTCAACTTTTGTGGTACATTGGTTCTTGAGAAGAAGATTTTTATAAGATGCCACCAAATTTTCACAAATTCTTTTTTATCTCCCCTTGAAAGAGGGCATGGCCCTTAATTCACTTGAACAAGATTTTTCCTACATAAAATTTTGATCAACCATAGTAGTTCCATCCTACCCCTGGGGTCAAGATTTGAACAAACTTGAATCTACAATACCTGAGGATGCTTCCATATAAATATGACTAATCATGGCTTTGCTGTTTTTGAGATGATTTTTCCTATGTAAAACTTTATTGTCCATTGCAGCCCCATCCAACCCCCGAGATCATGATTTGAGCAAACCTGAGTCTACACTACTTGAGGATGCTTCCTTTTAAATATGACTATTCATGGCTTTGCTGTTCTTGAGAAGATGATTTTAAAAGATTGTTCCTATGTATCCCTAAGTAAAACTTTGATTTCCCATAGTGGCCCCATCTTACACTCGATGGTCATGATTTGAACAAAACTGAATATATACACTACCTGAGGATTCCTCCTCAGGATATGACAAATCATGACTATGCTGTTCTTAATAACAACATTTTTAAAGATTTTCCCTGTGTATTCCATTATAAAATTTTGATCATCTCAGGGTTCAGGAAGTTTTCTCAAAATTTTTTTGATTCCTGGCCCAGTTGTTCTTAAGAATTTTTTTTAACATGTCTCCACTCAATTTTCACTACTTCTTAATTATCTCCCCTTTGAAGAGGTTGTAGCCCTTCATTTGAACAAACTTGAATCCCCTTTACCCAAGAATACTCTGTGCCAAGTGTGGTTTTTCCAGTGGTTCTGGGGATGAAGATGATATTTTAAAAAGTTTACGATGACCTGGACAACTACAGCAAAAACAGACAATGGACAAATTTTGATCAGGAAAGCTCACTTGAGCCTTCAGCTCAGGTGAGCTAAAAATGTGTGTTTATGTCTTACCATCTGATATCATTTAAATTCATAGAAGTCAATGTGTTGGTGACAAAGAACCTAAAACAGAAAGAAGTTAAATTGAAGCAAAAAAGCATAAGAAGTCTTTAAACACGTTGAAGGTCTTATAAAATATCAATTCCTGAATCTAAAAAAGCATTTATTTAAACATGATTTTCAGAAATTTTAATTCTAAATTTTGTGTACTAAATCACCTCATTTCCCCAGCTTGTCCAATGGGGCCATAAATTCCTTGCAAACAACTCCAAGCATCTTGGATTTTCTTTTAAGTACTTTTTGAGAACCTCTGAAATCAAAAGATCAGTTTATTGTTTCATAAATCTGAAATTTTCTTCACAGGAAAAATGCTTAAATGCATGTGCCAACAAAAACTACCTGTTATATGGAACTAATGTCAATACCATTTTGTTTGGGGATAACCCATTATAATAAAGTGAACATTATTTTATTTTTTAAAATTAATTACAGAATAGAAACACATGTACCTGTTACTGTAAAGAGGGTTATTTTTGTCACATGTTACTTTTGCGTTATCACACTTGCAAACTATTTTATCCTTTTTTATTTTCACCTATACATATCGGTAGTTGTGTTAAAAGAGAGATTACTCTGTCTCTGTTAAATTTGACCTATTTTGAATTCACTAAAGTGAAATGGGGAAAATTTCCCCATATACAGAATTTTCCATAATCAAATAATGACTCATTTAAAGTTTAGTTTCCATTTGCCATGTGCTAATGTTATTGAACAGATTACTCCTGGACCTTCTTGTGAAACTTTTCACTCACCAAACAGTGGAGGTTTGACAGAGTGTAGAGCACAAGGAATGCTGATTATAACTTGACTCTCAGGAAACATCTCCCTCTCTTTTTCATTCTTCCCGCATGCACTGAAGAATTCCTTTGATCCATCATTTTCTGGAATCCCCACCACTGAGGATCCACCACTATCAGTCACTATTACTTTCCCTTCATTATCAGTTTTCACACTTGTGCCCAACATTGAAGATTCAACATTGTCAGAATAAGTTCTTGCAATTTCTTCTTTCCTTTCCTTTGTAAAGTTTTCACTGGAAGTACTTTGGCCTGTGAAAAGCTTGGATGGTTGCAGTTCATTGTATTGTCCAATAAGTATTATTTCGTATGGTTTCTTGTGATCAGAGTTTATGTCATAAATCATTTCACCATACTTGGTAACCTAGGAAAAATAAATATACACAGTTCTGAAAACTGGATATACTTCAAGACATTACCGTACTGTGATTCACACTTAAGAACACACTTTATCATGGCATGGTTTACAAGGTTTTTATTTAAATACCATATAAATGTTAAACAACCTAGTAAAAATATTCTAATACCATCATAGTTTCATTTAGGATACACACTCATTTTACGTTTACCTTTAACCAATGCCATTCTGCCACATGTGTGACTGACCATTTTGGAAAAAGAGTTTCCTTGACAAACTCGAGGTGTTTCATTCTGTTGGTTACCCAGACAACCACCAAACAGCCTGGAGTTGCCAACTTCTGCATGCATATACTCAGCAGGTCCTCATCTCTCAGACTTCCATACCTAGTTCAGATTCAATTTAGATATAAATATACCAAATACTGTACTTCTTGTGGGAAAAAGATTAAGATTTTCTTTCCATCCCTACCCTTACTAAAATATAAGCCCTCTTGCACTTAACTTCTGCAAGTTTGCAGCAAATGTATGCAGCAAAGTTGCTGCAAGTGATTTTTAATGTAATTTGTAATCTGTTTATGTCATACAGTTTGTGCAAATTTGCAGCAAACTCTTTGCATATATCTGACTAGCTGCAGAACTGTAGCTCTCTCGTTGAGATAATAGGGACAGAGAGCTACAGATCAAAGCATTGTAAAAACCTTCGATTTATGGCAAAGCTTTTTGTCATTCACTTCAGGTATTATTTCTTGTATTTTATGCATTCCCCCGCTGTAAATCGAGGTTTTTACAATGCTTGGATCTGTAGCTCTCTGGTTTATCTGTCAAATTTTCTCAACCAGAGAGCTACAGTTTTGCAGCTACCAGTAATCTCTGACACAAGTGTGCCATAAGTGCAAAGTGTGCTGCAAACATGCAACACTCTTTTTACTTTTGTAAGGGTATTTCCCTCTCTCTCTCTAAAAACATACATTTTTTTCCTCTTTACTGACTTATTCTGCCATGGTGGGTCTATTACAATCAGATCATACTTATCTTCATCTGTAAATGACAATTTTCATGATTAAAATCTTCACTTGTGAAAACTTGTCCGAATTCATGTGGCCAATTTTTCTATGTGTTTACCTACCAGAAGTGGGGTAAATGTTTTTGAGGTAGTTGAAATCTGACAGGAGGAAAGAAGACTTGTGGGGTATGATGTAAGTCTCCGAGTCAAAACAACAAAGCCTTGGGATGCTCCAGTTATTGCTGACAACTCTGTTCACACAGGCTGACAACTTTACTTGGAACAAAAATACCTCAAGGTTAAATTGAATACAAAACTGAATTTTTTTTGTACAGGGAAAAAGACAACAACTTTCTTCATCCAAAATTGACAAATTACAAGTAATTTAATATTAAATTTAAAATGAAATTATCAACTATATATAATAATTCTGATGAATGAGAATGCTCATAATCTCAATGTTCATATTTACTGTGTTCAGTCATTTCTGTGACTGGTGGCTGGGAGTCTGTGGGAGGAGCCTCTGTTTGACAGACATCTATCAGAGAAGTGTCTCCTACCCTTATTCTAGCGGCACCTCTTGCTGCTATATTATTGTCCAACATGTTGGACTCTGATGCTTTATCACCCACCTCCAAATCCTCTTTATTCTGCATGTCTTTTCTTGCAAGAGAACTGACAAATTCCCTCTTATCTGGAATGATTCCCATCATTCTAGCTTTATCAATCAGTTTCTTGTGAACATCTGTTACCCTCTGGACAATTTGTGAATGGTACTTCTTAGCCTCCATCTCTCCTATGTTAAGCTCAGACTTTCTTTTTCTCTAATCATAAAATGGCAATAAATCTCTGACTGAATTGTACAAGAATAACAAAATCATATCATGATTTGCACTTAATTCTTAAGTTTTGATCATTTTTTCTAGGGATGTCAAATCGGTCAATTTTTGATAATCGGTTACTCGGACGTTTTTCCGATCGAGTACCCGGGTACTCGGTAAAAATGAAAATACAAGACAGTGTGTTAATTTTCTTGAGCCCAGTTAAGCTCTGTTAATTCCCAAAGCTGTTTTATCACGTTTATAAATGTATATAAACAACTGAGTCAAAGGGAAATGATTTTTTTGGTACCAAATTTATTTATCAAATAAATTCAAAAGACAATACACAAAAAAATAAAAATGGTTTACAGTTCTTGTTTAGGACCTATTTCATCAATGCAAAAGGACAATCTGTTACGCAGTTTTGTGATGTTAGACAAACGAAAGGGAATGAAAAGACGTTGTTGGGATCGCTAATCTAATATTATTTCATAATTTGGTTGTTTCCCACTAAACCTACTATGCAAACTGACTTTCAATTTTTTTTTTTAATCTTTAGTTATTTCTAAATATTTCTTCACTTTTGAAGTGGGTAGCGGTATTCCTATGCATGTCCGATTTCGCTACCGTATATTAATTAAATAATTTAAAAACGATTTGAATATAACAGACCATACTTAAACGATGTTTACCGAATACAATCATTGAAGCCATCAAAAAATTAAGTACCACAATAGGTGAGAACAGCTGTGTACCTGGTGATTGGTCACTAATTACTGTATATCGCAGCCAAAGGCGATAACGGGTGTTTTACAGGTGTAGATGACGACACGCTAATTACCGTATGAATATTTAAGTTATTTTTTGATAAGTTTTTGATAAAAATATGCACTTTGAAATAAGAAGAAATATACTTCCGAGTAACCGAGTACCATTTTTAGTATTCGATACTCGGACGTTCGATCGAGTACCCGGTTAACCGGGTACTCGTTGACATCCCTATTTTTTTCAATATAATGGATTGCATGTTTCATAGATCTGAAGAATACTCTTTTTTTAAATGTTCACTATCCCCCACCAAAAAAAACCAAAAACCTTGTTATCTCGAACTCGAAGGGGCCAAGAAAATACTTCAAGATAACTGAGGATTCGAGATATCCAGGGTAAAATACTTATTAAGGAATAAGTAGTTGGGATTTCAAAATGACTTCGACATATCTACGGTATTCGAGATATCCGTGTTCGAGATACCGAAGTTAAACTATATTAGACTTGACACATTCACGTTTAGCAAAGTTTCTTTCAAGCTAAGTGATATCTGATATATGTGTAATGCATTAGAAACAAAACTTCGAGATACTCCACACATTTATATTAACTGCATGCAGTCTCATGATTCATATATTTTGTGATTTTTGCTTTTGATGATAATCTGATGTCAACATGCATAAAAAAGTTCTTTTAATGCTGCAGCTGGATCTCCAATACCTTTCTCTTGCGTTGTGCTACACCCTTTTCTTTTGAGGTTTGTTCTGCCAAAACCTGGGAGTCCATTTTGTATGGTTCATGGATGTCAAACAGCTCTGAACTCAAACTACACGAACCAACAGTCTGTGTATTGATTTGGACTTTGGCATAGACTTTCTCAAGTGCTTTAGCATGATCGATGAATGCACCATCTGAGGTTTCTATTACAACTGCCATCCTGGCATGTATTGCATATACTTGGATTGCACACTATTAAACCTGACATAAGATTATACTAACACTCTGGATCTGTCAATTCAGGTTTAAAATTCTGGTCACTGAGACATTTTGAAATGAAAAGCATTCCTTAAGTATAATAATAAATAAAACTCCAAAAGATCAGACTGCAAACTTATCAATGCACAATCTGTGTATTCCTGAATAAAATGTAAACAAACTTCCATGTGCTACTGAAGAGTTCTAGTAAAGAAAGATAACTTAAGCAGGAAGGACAACTCTTCAAACTTTTTATATCTCAAAACCAACAGTACATCGATGAAAAATATTTTATTTATGGACGGATTTATTCATTACACATAAACAAACAAAATGTCATTGCTAGGACTTTTTATAATGTCTCTACATGCTTGTCTTTCCCGCCATCTGTCTTTGTAGAACTGTGTTAAACTCATCAATTGCAGAAGAAACACGTTTGGATATGGCCCTGTAGTCACATTCCATTGTCTTGGTGCTGATGACTGTAGTAATGGTTAAGGAAAATTTAAACACTAAGTTCGTGTTTAAATTTCTAATTGGGACCGTAGGGTGAGAGTATTTTTAAATGCAATAAATTTTTAAACACGGAAATTTCCAAGCAACAGAAAAGGATACATTCTTTCATTACAAAGTTGTTCTGCTCATGGTGCTGCCACTTCTTCTCCAAGTTACCAAGCTGTTGATTGTAAAAAATTGAATTTTAGGTAATCCAATTTATCTATCATTTGAGAAACATTTTGCTGAAGAGTTTTACAATTGAACATATTCTTACCTGAACAAATGTCTCATTCTCATTGAGTTGGGCCTTCATGCCCTCATATTGGCTGGTCAGTTGTTGCATGGTCTTCTTAAATGTATCCCTCCTTCTTTGCAAGATCACTCTGTCATCCATCAGTTTCTATAAAATATACTGACAGGTTACTTCTCAGTTTAAAGTACATGTAATTCTTAATAAAACAGAAGAATAAAATGCCTGAATCTATGAATCTATTTGAACATTGGTACGTGTAATTATTTGTGTTCTATGCAAACTCATACTCAGATCTCAGCTACTCTAAAGCACACTGTTTGAAGATAAATTACAAATCTTGCAATCTGTCTCAATATATACATGCACACTCATAATAAACATTGATGACTTACCCTCCTCTTTTTCTCTGCCTCTTCTTTCAGAGTGCTAAGGTCAGAGTAAACTTCCAGTTCTTTTTCCATGGTGGAAATCTTCTCCCTTAACATGACCAGTTCTGTATTGATTTTCTCCTCTAACTGCTCTACCTTCTGTAGATCAGACTGTAGTTTGTCACTCTCTGGAATCAAATACATTTATATATTCATGTGGATTACAAGTATATAGCAGTATTGTTTCAAATGCATGCACATGTACTCTCTTTTATGATTATGAAAGGGAAAAAAAAAATAATTCAAACTTCAAATTTGAGAAGGTTAGTATTTAAAAAAAAAAAAAAAGTAATGCTATTGAGATACTTGTATCATATATATTGTAATCAACAGCATCTTACACAGTAACCCATACTTAAAATTTTCTGTATCTACCACATCCATTAATGAACATTCTAGACAGAGAATCTGATAAGAGGATGTGATGTTATACACATTTATCATGCAAATAAATCCTACCCGCAGCTAATCCTACTGTTGTTTGTTCAGATTTCTTCATTTCACCAGTCTTAAACTCCAGATCTTCCTTCATTGTTCCTAGCTCTTGAGGAGTGGGCAATGCAGTGAAGCGACTCATATTCTAAAAGTCAAATAAATTTACATAATGTTCAATAATCTATATTCATTTTTATATTGGCATATCAACAATATAGTCCTAAATGTTGGCTATTTTCCCAGCAGAAAATCAATCTAGACAAAGAAAGAGAAGTAAACTCATTTAAGCTCCAGAACTTTTCTTTTTTTAGGTGATTTTCCGTAATTTTATTAGTATGATATACATAAAGTATTCTAAAATTTTTGATAATGCATTTCATAAAGAGCTCAGAACAGTGTAAATTTCATTATTATGACAAAACACATTTAAACATACTAACTTATTTTATAGGTAAAAAATATTCATATTCTAAAATGCTATATACTCATGTGCTCATGTATTCTATTTAGATTATTTTACCCACCCGACTTGTATGCTCCAGGAGTGACACAATATTCTGCTCTGTCTGTTTTAATTTTTCCTAGAAATAGAAATGGCAAGTGGCATCACTGTTTTACATACACTTTCAAAGTTATTGGGAATCTAAGGTTGAAAGTTCTCTTTATTTGGAAGGGGGGGGGGGGGGGGGTGTCATTTAGTACTGTATGGTTAAACAAGTAGTCAAAATAAAAAAAAAAATCATGTCACTAGAATTTCATTTCATAATATCAAAATAAACAATAGTTTGTCACTTCATTTTTAACACAATTCATTTTTACTCCAATCCACTATTGCTGTGCTTACCAGTTCTTGTGCTTTTGACTCTTCGAAGTTATTCAGGAATTCTAAACAATACAACAGTCAATTTTTCATCTTTTGTAAAGAATATTTTTTAAGCAATATTCATCAGTTCTCAAAAATTTAAACACCAAGCTTGTTATGTCTTTTTGATTTCTCACCATCTATAGTTTCCTCCCTTTTCTTTAATTCTTTGTATTTCTGATTTCTCTCTCCTGTAAAAAGTGAATGTTAATGTGTAAACCTACATTTTATCTCCATAAACACATTTTTTCTCCTTGCTTATTATCTCTCATTTTTTGGTATCCTCCATTCATCTGTATAATACCTTGATTCTCCTCTATGTCAAGGTCAAGTTGCCGAATCTCTTCTTCGATATTTTCAATTTTCTCCCTCAGCTCATTTGTCCTACAAGAGCATAAAAAATCATTATGAAATGCAAAATACAATTTTTGAGGGGATGCAAAAAAAAGAGATGTTTGTGAAACACTTACCCCCCCCCCCCCCCCCCCCCCCTCAAAATAATTGGAATTTTTCTATGTCCAAGGGGCATAACTCAAAAATTGCTAAATCATACTGTTGGTGGAATGACAGACAGACAGACAGCAGCAAAGCAATATACCCCCCCCCCCCTTCTTTGAAGGGGGGCATAAAAAAGAAGTTTGCAATGAGATACTCTAAATTCAGAAAATTAATGTATTGGATAAAATAACTGATATTATCTTCATATTAAGTGATCATTCTTAGTAAGAGTAATGACTGACTGTCTCTCTAAGCTGGCAATCTCTTGATTGTCATCCTTGACCTGTTTCAGCAGTCTCTCCCTCTCTTCAGCGGGGGACTGTTTATTCCTCGTTTCCTCTAAATAGTTATCCCTCTGGATCTCTAATTCATTAATCTGATCATACAGTCTCACTGAAAAGGAAAATCAATTCAAAATCATCCAAATTTATGATCATGTACACTATAACTAAAATTCTGCAAAATATATACATACCCGCCTCCTGTTTGACTTGGGACATTGATAATTCCTGCAAAGACAATCATACACTGTACATGTTAATGCACCCTACGTGTATGTGATTAATTTTTCCCTTCCTATCTTCTTTGTATTACTTGGGAAAAAATTCAAATGTAAGTTACATTTCATCAAATTTACACACACAAAAAAAATTCTTACTTTCAATGCCTTCAATTGTAAGGTATTTACCCTCTCGTGTCTTTGTGAACACATAACAAAATACCTCAGAACTTGTACTTCTACATGTATATGAAGATCGTACCTCTTGAAGGTTTGCTGTTTTAGAGTTGAGTACATCTAACTCTTGCTGTGACTTCTCCAACTGTTTTAACATGTGTTCATTCATGTCTTTGAGGGAGAAGTATCGTTGTTTCATGTCCGGTTCCTGAAAAAAAAAATGAAAGAAAATTAGCTCCTGGTTTTCAAGAAGCTCAGAAGTCTGTTCATTCATTAATCATTAATGCACATGCACAATCAGAGACAAAACATCCATACCATATCATTAACCAAGTTATCAGCCATGCGTTTTTCTTGGTCAAGTTCTGTTTCCAACTGTCTAATCCTCTCCTCTTTTCTACCATGATAAAGGTCAAAATTATGGAATACAAAGAAATAAATGGTAATATAGAAAAGTTAACATGTACAGATTTAAAGCAAAGTTGAATTAAACCGATTTAAACAAGGTAAATACAAATCATTTTGTATCAATAGGAAATATTGAAAGATACTTTATACTCACTCTTTTTTAACTTCAAATAAATCTTCAATTTTCTTTGCTTCTCTTTCATTGTTGGCTCTTAGCTGCAAAATATATGACCATAAAAAATTAATAAATTAAACATATAAAGTTCTAATTTTCTTCCTTTATTTGTATACATGTACACATATATGTAAAAGATTCAGAAAACAACAGTTTAGGACACAGAAAATAACAGCATAATTTATGTAGGAATAAGCATGCAGATTTAAAATTTTGTTTACAGGACAGATATTGAAGAGAGCAGAGGAAAGCAAATTCCAAGTAACACTTCACTCACATCATTTAAGTCAAATTCAACATCTTGAATATCTTCATCTGTAGTCAATTTGTCAACAAGCTGAAATACATATTATGAGTTACGAATACTTGCTACTATTTTTAAACTAGATCTGTCCATAGCCCACAGCATAAACAAAACCTTTTCAATTCTCTTACATTTATAAGAATACTCTTAACTTTACTTAAGTATCATTCATGAGCAATTACTAAGAAACAAAATGTCTATCTTTAAAAGAGAAATTGTGCCCTGAGACCCCAAAAAACATTTTCATGTGAGCTCTTCAACCCTACTGCTCATCTTAAGGCGGGCTAACAATAAAAAATGATTTGTTTGATGTACCCTGACCAACCTGTCAAAATAGCCCCTACCCAATCATTTTGTAATGTTTTTAAAGTTAAGGTTTATCATTTCTCTATGACACTTTTAGATTGAAAGCTTTTACAGCAATAAATACACAGTCAAGCTCTCAATCAGATTGTGCAAATGGAACATCCTAACTCAAACTACTCATTAGTTATTCCACTGAAACCAAAGTGTGATTGGACAGAAATGGAAAACCCTATAAACAATCTTTCTATAATTTAATGGCTGATTTTACAGGTAAATTTAAATTATTTCAAACAAAAAAAAAATTATAATAATTTCTTGACATAAATTACTTGCATTTTAATGAAAATCAGATTTCTTGATCTATTTTAACAAATACATGTAGAATAGAATTCTAATCTTACTGTCTTAACATCTGAAATCTAGCCAAATATTTATTTTTTCACTATTAAAGTAAATTTATCAATAACTTACTGTGTTGTAATCCCCTAGCTCTCCTTGTAAATCTCTTATTTCACTTGCAAGTGATTCAGCCCTGAAAAAAATCAAATTCATAATAACCACTGTGGAGAGAAATTGTTGGTTTCATGCAAGAAATTAACAGCTTTAAAACATGACACAAAGTTAGGCACAGCATTAAAATGTCCATAAGAAACTTTTTTCACAGTTATCCTACCTTTTTTCATAAGTAAGAAATGATGAATTTTCCTCTGAGGAGTTCTCAATCTCCTGCTTTAATCTGCCATTCTCAGCATTTAATTCATTTAACTTCCCTCTGTGGATATAAAATAATTTGATCAAAGTAATAAGTAAAATCTTTCAAGAACTGTGTTTTAATTAAAGTATTCAGGATATATCTTACCTAATAAGCCCTAGGAAATATGTTTTATCTTGGACCATTCTTTGTGAGCCTATATGAATGAATACACGTATTTAAAACAATATTAAAAGTAAGACATTTCAAAGATAGTCATTCATAAGTTTAATCACAAAACATGTTTTCTTTTATAATCATTCATTGAAAACATTCAGACCTCCTTTTATCCCTGTTTTCATTCCTCCCAATCCTTGTTGTGTCATGGGTCTGTCAACCACAGTAACCTGAGATGACAGTGCTGAAATATAAGATTTTTAAATTATATTTTAAAGTCCAAGAATGAATTTTAAAAAGACTGCATGTTTAACAAAAATATGAAAACAGAAAATTTTATACATAATTTTCTTTACAACAAGCATCACTCAGGATATATAATAATCTACAATGGCCTGAGATGGATCTGTCTGCATGAGATAAATTGTATACAAAAAAAAAACAATCACATACCAACACCTCCTCCAGTCTGCCCCCCTCTGGTTCCTGGACGGGCTGTCCCAGGATTCTGTACAAATAAAGCATACATGTCCTTGTAAATCAAAGTTATAAATCATGATCTTCATAAATCAAGAACAAATTGATGACATTTATTAATACTCAAATAAGCAAAACAGTTTCTCCTTCAGAAAAATGCATATGAAAACACACCATAGCTGTTGTTAATCGTGTGGCAGTACCAGGCTGAAGTCCAGGGGCTATAAGAGAATAAATGAATTAAATTGAACATATCTAAAATATGTTAAACATGTTTACAAATTTTATACAGAGAGTCTTGATCTTACTGTAATTCATTGTTAAATTTATTAACATCAGTGTTTGACTTTAAGGATACCTGCTGTACCCAGTCTGGCCCCAGTCCTTGGACGACTGCCACTTGCTGTTGGTACTCTTCCACTCCTTTAGAGAGTAAATAAATACATTACCAGCTTATTTGTGAGAGTGATTTGTATATAAATACACATCTTGAAATTCTGTTACAAAAAAGGCAAACATAACAAGGTCCAAGGGACATGTTATGAAACTGTCTATTAAATTAATACCACTGGCAATTTACTACTGTATCTGCTGAAAACTAAATCATCTCATTATCTTCTTATGACCATATACTGACATCACTAAACATGATAAACTTGGTTTTAACTAGATAGAATGTTCTATCGTTAAAATGATAAATGTCCTACGGACCCGGTTTGGTGAGGGTCATCCCGAGACACAGTTAGATTATTCTAACTAGGTTTTAACATGACCAAATGAAAAATTAATTTCTCATCCCTTTATGTTGCGCAAAATTTGAAATGAGTTCGTGTCATGTATCAAAAACATAACATAGATTAAAGGCAAATGAACTTAACTTCTTCAGATTAGAACATTCATTCTATGATTTCGCCAAAGTTGAAACAGAGAATTCAATGTTTTCTTTCCTTGTCCTTTTCAAGTATTACGAAGTCCTTTAGCATAAATATTATTTTCATCTCAACAAAAAATGACAACTATGCTAAAGAACTTGAAAACAATAATGTTACACACTGAAATTAGAAAACTAAAACATATTTACATGATGCTCGATGTTGTCTGTTGACAGGAAACGCAGTGGAATGTAACGCATGGGATTATGGGTAAATCAAGAAAGTAAGTTGAACTCGTACTTATTCGTGCCGATTTTCATTTCATCAATTTTCAGTTTTCTTGATCTAAAAAAAAAAAAAAAAAAAAAAAATTGAGTCTTTTCTCTGAGTAAATAAAATTTGCTTTATATTTGGATCTTGTTTAAAAAATATACATTGAGCCATTAAAGGAATTAGAACCAAATCAGAGAAATAAATATTAAAGACCCACCCCCCTTTCAAAAAGGAAAAATAACCCCTACATTTTAGGAGTTTAGCTTTGTTACCTCCCCCAAAACTGAGATGACATATATAGCATAAACTTATTGAAGTGAAACACAAGTAAAAATTATCGAATAGCAAATTGGCTACCTGGGTGACTTGTTTAAGCTGCACTATATAGAACAGTGATCTCCTTAAAAAGGGGAGGGGGGTGTGGCAGTTTCTTCCTTGGTTCACCCTTAACTATAGGTACCTTGTAGAAAGTATAGGTTCTGCTGAAAGTGGAGAAATTATAGGGTTTTTACTACATGAAAATTTGATCTTCAGCATCTTTAATATCAGCATGTTGACTAGCAAATCCACAGTTCCATGCTTATTATGAATTAGAATTTCAACTTTGATATCTTGAACACTCAGGTGTTTCAAGGTATAGCTGAACATGGATATCTCAAACAATTAATACTACAGATAATGTCAAATGTATGAAACACTTTTTTTTTTATTTAATATGTACTTTAACCTCAATATTGGGAATCCTTTGGTTTCTCTCTGATTTTTTTCCTCAAATGTTCCTGTATGAGAAAACAAGGTCTCCCATGTTCAATATATTGAAGTTTGACTGTATCTCCTATGAGGCAATTGTTATAAAGTACTTTAATAATCAACCAACACTATGCATTTATTTCTAGCAACAATATAGCCAAGTGATAAAGATATTCAGACATAATTTTCACTATATTTTATTGTGTAGAATAAAAAAAATAAAATAACAGTTATTTATATTAATTTGTGAAATATAAATTCAAATTCATATTTTTAAATGCAGTAATATGCATTCTTCTGGTACTTCTTTGTTGTAAATCTATTAACAAACTCATTAACATCAGAATGTTTTGCAAATCTAACAAACTCCACTAACAAAGAACACAAATAAAAGAAAATCTGCAACATCCGAGACATTTTCGATCAACTTCAGGTAGAACGTTGTTTTACAGAAATATTTCCCATCATGACTCTGACTATCTTCAAGAAATATCCCATGGCAGTACTGGCATAAAAATATGTAACAATTTGACAAGAACGTACTGGTAGACTAAGCATGTTTTACACATATACAAGATGAAATATACTGGAATTCCTGAAAATATCATCAATAATATGGACTGTACATACCCTTTCCAAACAATATAACATTACTACATTTACTATCTTGCTTTTAAACCAAGTTACATTTATCTTCATGTTTGGTAAACATTTGTAACTTTTATATAAGACACAATTAAGACAACACCATCTCAAGTATGTTTTCTATATTTTCTGTTGCACAAAAACACAAACTTCAATACTGCTCACACATGTTATTTGCTTTAAGGAAGCTCTAAACACTAATGAAAAATGCTTTTTGGACTTTGAGAAAAATATATCATACATAGGTGCACATATTCAGTGTATCTAGTTCATTTTCAACATAGGGTGCCTGCCTTATTTCTGCAGAAAAAATGTTCAAAGACAATGAACTATTTGTGAACAGAACTCACTGTCGTTTACTTGCATCGGGAAAATTAATGGAAATAATGTATTCAATTACTTAATCTTGGTCTAACATAACATTAAGAATACTTTAATTCACAGCATCCTCATACCATTTCAGTTTGAATTATTATTTTTTTTCACCTAAACACATTATCAAAGAAAACCAAATTACATGGTAACATCAGCTGTTGCCTAAATAGTATTGAAAAATTTTATAAATGTGAGGGTTAAACATAATTACTAAATCACAAAAGCAGGAAAAATACTTTAATACATATTTTTTCTCAATTCAAAAGTTTTTGAAGGAAGTTATATTGTTAATTCGATAGCAGATTGCAATTGCTTGAGTCAAAAATAAATTTCTGGTGCATTATCTCAGAAAAACATATATGATTTCTGAAGGAAAAAAAACACAGTTGAACTTCGGTATCTCAAGCATATCATATCATGAATACCATGGATATGTCAAAGGGATTTGAAAGTCCCAGGCACTTTTTCCCTTCAGTATTTTACCCTTAGTATCTCAATCCCTCGGACATCTCGAAATTTTTTCTCCGTCTCATCCAGTTCGAGATAACGAGGTTCAACTGTACTTCTTAAAAAGAATAAAAAAAAAAACAGAACTAAGAAACAAGTCCTCACCACTCATGATCCTACCTCAACAGCAAATAAAGAAAAAAAAAGAAACAAACAAAACATAGGACAAAAAACAAAACAACAACAATCAAACAAGCAAAATAAAACAAAACCAAAACAAACAACCTTCAGCTATTACACTTTCATACTTAAAACTTCTTCATGGAAATGTTATAACAAACAAAAATATATCTCTTCAACCTACTGGATTTTCTTCGGGGTTTCATTAGAGTTCTTATCAAAATTGACTTTTAACACTTTATGGACACCTTTTAACATTCTGTAAAACCAAAATAAATTGATGACATCAAGAACAACACAGGTAACTAAAAGGACATTTTGAATGTGACCTGTTCTTGTAAATGGCTCTGTCCCATATACATCAAATACTCTCATCCAATAAAAAGGCATTACAACAATCCGAACAGCGAAAAAAGATAAAGTCATTAGAATGCCATTAGTAAATCCAAGTGGGTCTGTTTTCTTTATTCCCAGCATGTCAAAAAAGTACCTGAAATATAGTGTGAAGTAAAACAGTTAACAGCAGATAAGGATTTTTTTATGCATCAGAATTCTTCAAATCAGGCAAAAGGTATTAGGATTAAAATATAATATGTATATCTTTAATCAATCAATACCATACTTTATGCATGGGAATGCATATAATGCGAGAAATAATATGCACAGCTTATGACAAATATGTGTCACCATAAATCTTTTCTTTTTTCAATGGGTGGATCTGCAGCTCTCTGGTTTGTCTGTCTGATTAATATTGTTTCCCAGAGAGCTACAGTTCTGAAGGTAGTCGTACATGTACCTGTTGTTTACAAATGGTGTTGAAATTTCAGCCAGCAGACGGTAATTGGCAAAATATGGCATGGCTCCAAATACCTAGAATATCAATGGATGACATTAGAGCAATTCTCATGCAAGATCACTTTCAACATGTCAATGGGTGTAAAAAATGGGTATTAAAACAATCTTACCATCACATGATAGTATGCATAAATTGAAGCTGCGTGATGAAACAAGAAGAAAACTTCCCCAATGTGCTTGTAGTAAATGGCCATGACTACTACATCTACAAAACATTTTGTTTATTGTCTACTCCTGCAAATTATTCTTTGCTCTCTCTCTCTCAACTACTGTGGAATCATTAGATTTCATGGTGGCTCAATTTTCGTGGAATTCCTTGGTACCTCTCATCTAAGAATTAACATCCTCTTCGAATTAATAAACTAGAGTTACAAAGTCATATATCCTTTTATAGGTAAAAGAGAATACACAAAATTACATCCCCATAAACCTGTAAAATTTAAGCAATCCAAGAAAAATTGGCCCACACAAATTTTAATGATTCCACAGCCTACATATTTTTTACTTCAAATTTTCAAACTAAAAAGAATTATGAATTTGTTGTATACAGAAATGCATTTAAGTATTCAAATTATATCAAATTATTGTGTTCATTTCCATATGATTCTGGTCTGTATACTATATGATGATAACAATCAGATTAATAAGAGTCTTCAGTTTAATATACTGTTATTTACCAGACATCATGTATCCTGCTACAACAGCACATTCTGTTCTTACAATTGGACTGTCATGCCTACAACATAACAGTAAACTCTTACTGTTATTTTTATTGTCCTAGCAATAGATTAATATAATGATTCAGCAAAAACAAGAGGCCCATCAGCCACAAAGCTCATCCGAGTCACCTATCTTCATCCTTAACCCTGGCTCTGAAGGCAATGATTTTACTTCGCAAATTAGAAATATTTGAAATAAAATTCACATTTATGATGTTCTGTACATTAACATACTAAAAGTTTTTCTTTTCAATCAAATCTTATGTAAATGTTTGACCCCACTGTGGCTCCACCACTCAACTCTCATGGGGCCATGATTTCAACAAAGTTGAACCTACACTATATAGGGATGTAGAGAAGAAGAATTCTATATACATGTATCTATTATATACAGACAACTCTTGATGGCTCGAACTCCGATGTCTCGAAGTTCTTGATTGCTCGAAGTGAGTCCTGATTTTTTGCCCTGTATAACTAAGCAAATTTACCCTGATCTCTTGAACTCTTAATCTCTCGAAACTCTATCAATTGGATCAATTGGAAAAAATTAAATTCCCCCATCATAAAAAAACAACAACTTTGTGTCAAGTTTGCTTGAAATTGCACCAGTGCTACTGCACTGTTGAAAATATGAAAAGGTTACACTCAAGGCAGGATGAAAAAAAGATAGCAATAGTGACTCTGATGACTTAAAATCTTTTTATCTTAGCTGAGATATTTCTTATACACTGTTTTTAAACTACAAAAGTGAACATGCATTGCTTACTTTCATGATTAGACTTGAATCATGGAAAATGCTTCAGTTTTAAGTACTCAAAAAATTACCAGATAGGATCTGAGCTGAGTTCTTCATCATACAAAAATGCATAAAGACACATTGAACTAACAATCACAGCATGAACACTTGAATTGACTCTGAAAAAAAATCATTATAAAATTTATATAACATTTATATGTGTTAAACTGCATTACATATATGTATCATAGCAAAAAACACATGCAATGCATATATTTGTATTAAAAGCGGTCACATTTTTTTTAATCAACATCAGTGTATATTTTTTGTTAGACCCACAACTAGAAATTTTGAATCTCCATAACCACACTACATATAGAAATATCCAAAGATACCAAGTGATCTTCAATTCTAGTTACTTTAAAACTTGCAAACATATTTTAAATCTCCATTACCACACAACATCTACCATGGTACTAGTAACTACATTGAAATATACCAACTGATCTCCAATTCTGGTGATTCTAAAATCTGCACAAGCAAACATATGGATATGTTACTACCATATACTGATTAGGTATAAAAACCCTCTGTAAAATATTTATGCCCATGCATACCTTGTGTCCCAGTCAATCTTGTTGGCAACAGGTAGGGTGTTGTACTTGGTGAAAATTTTCTTGGACAAGTTTGGGTTGACAAACTTGAACAAGAACAAAAAGAAGAAAAAACTGATACATGCTGCTGGCAGGTATTTACTATCAAATTCCATAGACTGGATGCTGGGCATGGTGAACACTGACTGACATTACAACCACAGCCTAAAATAGAGAAAAACATAAATAATCATAATGAACCTTTGATTGATGAGTGTATTTTACATAGAGTAAATTATCATATGATAACAAGTCAATGTTCTTACAATTTGATATCATGTGATAAAGAATCAGTCAGCAACCTAAGTACAATCTACATGAGAGGGTACAGAGATTAAATCTAAAGGTCAATGAGTGGAAATAATCTGTATTATATTAACTTATCTGAGGATCTAATCGTTTTAAGTTGAGATATTTAAATCATCAATGATAACTGACAACTTAACATCCACATTTAGGCCTAGTTATTATGTCCTCATCAGACTTATAATAGGCCCATGGGCCACAATGCTCACCAGAGTCACAGAGAGATTTTTCCCTATATACTCACTCCTATGTAACACTTTGTTTGCCCATTGTGGCCCCATCCTACCCCCAAGGATCATGATTTGTACTAGGGATGTGCGATTTTTTTGGTATACCGGTATATCTTGATTTTTTATTGTGTGATACGTATCATGATACAGAGATTGAAATACCGTTATTTAAGTACACAGTTATATAGTCCAGAAATTATTCATTTATTTCTTTAAACTTTCAAATTACCATTGCAGAAAGTGTTAAAAATGTAGAAATCGGTAAAAGAAAGGCATCCTTGCATCCAAACATTCTTTATATAATGTAAAAAAAAAATGAAAAAAAGTGAAGTTATGTTTTTCCAGTATATTTATAGGAATAATTATGGATATTTAATAATATCATTGTAAAAATTGCGTGTAAAAATATCATGATATGGTGATATTCTGGGGAAAAATCATGATATATCGCGATACGAAATTTTTAGCGATACCCATCCCTAATTTGTACAAACTTGAATCTAGACTACCTGAGAATGCTTCCATAAAAATATGACTGATCATGGATTTGCTGTTCTTGAGAAGAAGATTTTTAAAGATTTTTCTTATATATTCCTATGTAAAACTTTGATCTTTCATTGTGGCCCCACCCTACCCTTGGGGGGTCATGCTTTGAAAAAAATTGAATCTGTACTATGTCAGAAAGCTTACACGTAAGTTTCATCTTCTGTGGCCTGGTGGTACCTGAGAGGAAGATTTTTTAAATGACCCCATTCAATTTTCATTATTTCTTCATTTATTCCCCTTGGAAGAGGATGTGGCCCCTCATTTGAAAAACTTGAATCCACTTTGCCCAAGGATATTCTATTCTAGAAAAAAAGATGAAAATGCGAAAAGTTTAGAATAACAACAATGACAACGACAAATTTTGATCAGAAAAGCTCACTTGAGCCTTGGAGAGAAAGAAATATGCTCAAGAAAAGGATTTCACAGAGATCTGCTTTGACCAGAAACTTGGTTCAACATCACTTCAGACTTTCAACCCACAGGCACTCAATGGTTGAAAAAAAGAGCCCAATAGGGCCAAGAGGAAAAATATGCTCTGGACAAGGATTCATAAAAGAAGTGTTTATTTTTTATTGTGAACTTGACCTTGAAAATTGGTTTAAGGTTACTGCACATCCTTTACCCACAGGCACTATATGGATGAACCTTGAGCAAGATTGGGCAAAGGGGAAAGAAAATATTTTCTGGATAAGTGATATCAGATGGACAGAAAGACTGATCTCTATAGGGAAGATTGGGACCCTAATATATCATAATATATATATCATACCCATATTTCATAATTCTTAATATTATATCATAATATTATGATCATATCAAAAGGCCATATTATATTATTAGTATTACATCATAACCATTAACAATAATACATGTAGTGTGATAAGTTAATCATTTATTAACTTTTATCCTATTAAAATCACTCTGTGACTATTTACATACAGTTCAAAGTATTAGCATCAGTTCACTTTTTATTTCTCATGATACAATTTTAGAACCGAATAATTGCTCTAAACAATCATGCAGTTTTTTGTGCAAAATGCCAGGGATAAAGAAAATAAATTTCCCCACTACTCTGGTCAGATGTTCTATCAACTGTGCTATAGGCACTGATAAATAAGTATGTCTGATCACCATGTTCATTAATCCCTCTTACCTTTGCCCCTGAAGACACCAACCCTAGCTCTTCCCTTGCTGGAACAATATGCTAGTGTGAGATATCTGCACTGCTGAACTTTTCATAACTTATATTTACATTTTTGAAAGTTTTTTTTTTCATTTAAATTGACATACAAATTGAAAATTTGTATAGGATTTATTTCCTCATATAAGCTTGGTATATGTCCTGAAATGTTGTGTTTCCAGGTTTTAATCACTCTCTGTCTGCACGTATATAGAGAAGCATTGATCATGTAACCGTATTGTCAAAACTGTATGACACTTACTAGAAAAACATATTTCATCATGTTCATGCAGAAAAACATTTAATTTGCACTGAAATCCATAACAGCTGGTAATAAAGTCAAATTTTGTCTAGAGACAGTAGCACAAAACAGTAAAATTAGCATAATTGATGCATTGATGAAACATAACATCAGCTTTGTATCTCGATGGAGATTCAACATTACAGCATTTTCATGCATTATTAAAATCTTTAATTACCAGTATAAAACCAACATAATTTAATATGTAATATGTTCTCCTCTGAATCCATTAAGCCAAAATGACATTTTTGTATGCAATAAAATATATTCAACAGAGCAGAATAATATTTGTATTCCATCACATATTATACAGCCTTCATGTGCATTGGTCTTTGACAATGGAACTATTATATATTTTGTTAAATAATATTTCATAAACCAGTATCTGAACAATTAAGAGACACATTTGTAACAACAAAGGAAAAGAATGACACACTGTCATTGAACATTAAAACAACATTTACTTCAGTCACTAATGATTTGAAAACAACATTAAAATACTGATACATGGGTTACTTAAATTGTGACCATCAGTGACAATGCTGTATTCATTATAACAACATACAGATCAGACTACAGAGACCTTCTAGTCATAAGATCTGGACCAAGATTGTTCATGAAAGCTCACATGAAAGTATGTCCTCATTTAGCAATGCCTTCAGTACTAACTGCAACAGAGTTCAATCAATAGATGACACATAGCAGTCATTCAAAGATAGATGTCTTGGTGTGATGGAAAGACCATAAAAATGATTTCATAGTGCTTTAACCAGCCCTGGATTAATTACATGTAAACTTAAAATGTCTATGTAAGAGGAAGAAGTACAGCCATTCACACTGAACAGAACACCATATTTTCAACAAAAATCTGAAGAATGCAGTTCACATTCAGTGTAAGGAGCACTACAATCAGTAAGTTAAAGACATAATCATGGATGAATATCACAAGCTTCATAAAAAGCAAAAAGCAAATGAACTGATGTATCAGGTGTGGCTGACACTCAAGAGGGACATTGTTTACAGTATGTGACACCCAGACAAAAGCAGATATCTTAAACCAACAATTTACATCTTTCATCACTTTGGAGAACACTGCTGAACAACTGCCAGATACGGGATCAAGCCCTCACCAAAACATACCAAGCATTACTATCAACCAACAAGGAGTTGAAAAAGTACTCCACAACTTGAATCCCTGTAAGGCTACATGCCCAGATGAGTAATCAGCCACATTGCTCAAGGAAACTGTAATGCAGGTATCACCAGCTTTAACCCTACTCTTCTAAACATCCCTGCACCAGAACAAGGTTCCTCTGGACTGGAAGTCAGCAAATATAACACTGCTGTTTAAGAAAGGAGATTGGAGTGCACCAGTCAACTACAGACCCATTTCTCTTATTTCTATTTGCAGCAAAGTCATGGAACACATCATTCACCATGTTCAAAGTCATGTAAATGGACACCTCAACAAGGAAGGCACACTGACTGATTCTCAACATAGTTTCAGGAAGAGTCTTTGTTTACTGAAGTAAATCTTTAAAACTATATATTGATTTAATAAAAAGCAAACTGGGCAAATATATTAAACTTTAATATATTTGCCCAGTTTGCTTTTTATTAAATCAATATATAGTTTTGACAACTTTGAATCATTGACTCTTTAATTTAAAGAGTCAATGATTCAAAGTTGTCAAAATTGCTGTGATATATACCTGCCCACAAGTCATCTGTTGGGTAACGGGACGTTTCGCCCCTATTGATGTTTCGCGCCGAGACCATTCGCCCCAAAAGACCTTTCGCGCCGAGACGTTTCGCGCCGGATTTAATCTTCATTGTCTATAACGATATAAATACGATATGTTTTAAGATAAATATTTACATATAAGGTTAATACTGACTTTATTAAAAAAGTTCTAAAGTTACTAAAAAAAACTTTCATGACTGTTTAAATTGTTGAAAATAGGCTTATACCATAATTAAAGGTATAATTATCCATGTACAGATATAATTATGTTTATTCAGCAATCATAATTGTCTGATTCAGTTTCGTAATTAAGGTGTTATAATTATAATTTGGTTTTCAGTGTCCGAAGGGACTTATAGGTCCTTATAGGTCCTTGCGGTGTCAGGTGTTAAGTATAACCCATATAAATTGGTATTATTGATTGAACCAATGGATTGGATTAATATAACACAGTATAAAAGTTAAGAAGTTGATAATTGCTGTTAACAAGTGATAATTGCCACATAATTAATCGATTGATCTTCGTCGCGAACCATCTTGGGGGCGAAACGTCTCAGTGCGAATAGTCTTTCGGGGCGAACCGTCCCGCACTCATCTGTTGCAATTGCAAATATGAAAATATAATGTACATTCTAAACAGTTTGTTAATATAAATCAAAATGTTTTAATTACTTCGTTATCCTTGATGATTTTTTTTTTTAGATTTTTTTTCTATATAATGTATATTGTGTGAGATTTGAAAAAATTAAAGAATAGGTAGCGTGTGATCTTGCAAGATTTTGAACAGTTGCGAATCTCTGTTATCTCTGCTACTTTAAAGTGCTGGTACCATTTAAAAAGTATGTCTGCCCTTTCCCATACATTCTGTATAATAAAGTTAATTTAAAATTAAGAAATTACACTAACAATAAAGAGTAATTTTTAAGATAATGCTGGGACCGTCACATACTTTACACAATGATGTTAATCTGTTAATGACAGAGTAGCAAATCTCCGTTATTTATGTTTCTGTTAAAAGAAGAAGTTGCCAAACGTACATTGCAAATTTCGTAAGAGAGGAAATTCGAACCATGCTTTTCTTAACCATGTGAATTTGCAAACTTCCACAAGCAAGTGAATGAATGTAAAAATGATCAAAAAGCATTATTCATTGAAAAATGATATGAATTAACATAACTTTCTGTGTACATTTACCTGAAATAACCATACGAAGACACGTAATCTTGTAAATAATATCACAAAGTGGTTAGCAATGTCGTAATATGATGCTTTTTTACGTTGATACTTATCGAAGGATTGCATTGGGCTAGATAAAAGTTTGTATTATAGAATATTTTAAGAATTTCAACCAATATTCACTGAAAACGCTTTGGCAATTTTTTTTTAAAGATTATTCAGATATGTTTGGCTTGTGGCTCGGGTATTTACGACAGTCATAAAACAACTTTGGTAAACATGTTGATTCTGTTAGTTGCAATATGTATAATTTTCCTTGCTGTATGTTTTGTGTTTATTGTCACGAGGGCTGTTTATGACAGAAGGAAATCCACAGTTTCAGTACTTGCTGTAATGGGTTCAGGTAATTGATATATTCTTAGTTGTCTTAAAATAACGAATATATATATACATGAACCTTTGACCATGCCTGCATACTCAGCACTGGAAGTTAATGTAAATAACGTATCAAAAAGGAAGGCAAAGATACTCTTTTTGAGGCAAATTTGAACAAAAGTTTGTCACCCATCTTTACTGTTTGTAATTTAGCTTTGGATTTATCAAGTTGGACTGCTGTCTACTAGTACTAGTAATCCCTTTGTTTCATTGCACAATTCAAGGAGGACATACAAAAGAAATGCTGAGTCTACTGTCAGGTTTGGGTACTCATTATCATCCCAGATATTATGTCATTGCCAACACTGACACCATGAGTCAACAGAAAGTGAAACAGTTCGAAAAACAAAGAAATACCACTGAGAAAAATAAATCAGAAGTGAGTATTCCGTACAACTTTAAAATATGATGGCTGAAATACACCGGATTCTTGATCCATCTGTTTACTACTAGTCTTCAATGACTTGGTCTGTAAGTTCAAAATCTAAATGAGTACAGGATATTATATATGGCACAGATGGTGAAAAATCAAGTTTCATCCAGGACTCTGGCATACTGTACCAGCGCTCTAACCACTAAGCTATCGAGACCCAATATATTGACTGATATTCACACCTCTAAACCTGATTGCATATATTAAATCAATGTAGAATCTATTAGCCCTTTCACGATAACTGCGGTACTACTCTTTTGCAGGGCAAATTAATCACGTTTGGCGGAGTTTTTGATGACAGATAATTAAATGATGTATTTTAAACAATTGCTTTTACGTCATATTTCACCAAAATATATCATTTTGCCCTGCAAAAGAGCAGTACCGCAGTTATCGTGAAACAGTCAATTACCTAGAGTTCTTTCTTAATAATCTTGGCATCATTGAAAAGTTTTTTGACATTGAATGAACTGAATCATATTTGTTGCACACATTACTTTTTGCAAGAGATTTTTACATGGACATTTAAAATCATAGTTAAAATGTTACAGACCACATGTACCAGTACTGTGTCCAGTAACATTGTCAGGAACAAGAATATATTCTTGGAGCATTTAAGCACTGAAAATTGTTTTTAAATTGAGCTATAGTTCATAGATGATTAATTCATCCTGGCCATAAAAATCTTAACTCTGAGTAAAAGAGGGACTTCATTTCTGGTCAAATATGTTTATGATTTTATCATAACGACTAAGCTATCAAAACCCAATATATTGACTGATATTCACACATGTATGGTTATGATTGAGGTCAAGTAAGATTTGTTACCATAGGAATTTGTATCATGTTTGTTCTTAAATTCTTTGTTTATTCTGCACAGTATTCAATAATCCTGATTCCCAGAAGCAGAGAAGTTGCACAGTCTTGGACAAGCACGGTCTTATCAACATTAATTGCATTGTGGAAGTCATTTCCTGCAGTCTTCCAAAGTAATCCTGACCTTGTAAGTTAACAAAATTCAAAATCTTTGATCATAAAGGTAAAATATTTTTAAGTTTTTTTTTAAGTTAACATGGTTTTTATACAAATAAGTCTCCATTTCATTTAAAAAAAAAAAAAAAGCAAAAAAAGCACATTTTTTTCACAAATATTGATGTTTTCCAGATACTCTGTAATGGTCCAGGCACGTGTGTACCAGTATGTCTGGTAGGAATAATATTAAAGGTAATATTTTCCTCCTTTTTAAGATTTCAAATTTTCATCTTAACTCCAGCATTAACTTATTGTTTTGATTTTATTGTATTTTACAGATAGTCAGAATGGGTAAACCTAGGATAGTTTATGTGGAAAGTATATGTCGAGTTGAAACTCTTTCTTTGTCAGCCTGGATGCTTTATTACTTGGTGGATGAGATGTTAGTTCAATGGCCTTCTCTACAGACCAAATTTCCTAGAACACATTATATAGGAAAGCTTGTTTGATAGATGATGCTTATCATCAAAGAGGAGTACAATATTTTCTGCAAGTGTAAATGAAACATTGAAAGATGTTTGATGCATGTGTAAAACAGTGACTTGTGAATGTAAAATATAATTCAAGCTTTTTGACTTTCAAGGATACACAATTCTTTGTGAATAATACTCAGCTATGACTCATGCTTATTGTCAGTGCTACATATTACTTCATTCATTTCATTAAAAGTGAATTCATATGTAGTTAACAATTTATTTATTTTATTTCGATGAATGTAAACAATTGTTTAAACATTTGTACACTGTTTCCATAAAGTCTCTGATGTAGCCATATTTTGATTTTCTTAATATTTTTTCACCTTTGAATTAAAGAAGAGGCCAATGGCATTGACAGTCACTTAAGTACTGTATACAGGGTTATTTTTTGCCCCGTGCAATTTTCACCCTATCACACTAATGCAAACGATTTTACCCCTTTTGCCTATACACAGTTGTAAAAGAGAGATAACTGTGTCTTTGTTGAATTTGCCCCAGTCTGAATTTGCCAACAGATGGGAAGAGTGATAGCTGGGTTAAAATTAAATGATGATGAAATTTTCCTTCTATACAGTGCAACTTTTTCTAGACTTGTATGCTTAGCTACCTTTATGTCTAACTTTTTGATTTTCAATTTTACTAAAAAAATTAGCTTCATATATTCAAACAATTTGTCTGCTAGAAGTCAAGCCACAAGAAAATTTAAGATTTAAAGATATTTTGAAACTTAATCTGACTTTTCTCATAATTAAACAGGAGACACAAAATTAACAATCATAGAAGAGGGCTCATTGCAAATTACCAGGTACATGTATATATTTATGCAAATAAAAGACTGTATTCTAGATGTTCAAGAATGAAAAAAAGCTTTTAATAATTTACAAGCTGTGCCTCAATTTAGCACAGGATATCAGAGCCCAAGGTGTCATGGATTTCACAGTTTTAGAAGCAGGTTGAATGCTCCATACATTTGTATGAGATTTTTCAGCTAAATTAATGCATGTCTAGTTGTACTGAAGGAGATATGGAAACTAGATTCGAGATATTAATACGTGTATTGCCAACTTAGCTCCACCTTAGGGCTTGAAACCACAACCCAAAGACAAGAAAAAAAACCCACAATTTTATTATCATTACTACTTTATTCACTGATAAAGAAAACATAAATTCTTGAACATCAAGTAGGCAAAAAATATCCTCTGACTATATAGAAACATCATGTACAATACACAACTGAAAGAGTATTTATTAATTAAGGTGTATGCATTTGTGTAGGTTCTTCACATACACATACGTTCAAAGCAATCAACAAGGCACATGTACTTTTCTGTTTTTATATTTAAGGATAAATATCACAGAAATGTGATGCATGGATTGATATATATTTTTATGGCTGATTTTGAATAGAAATGATATAAATAATAAATTCCAAAAATTGAAAGAAATTGTATGTTTTCCTTGGTTATCAAATATAGGTATGTGACTTTGTGCCATTTTCTGTATAAATCTTTACAAAGTTTTGCACACATTTTATGACAAATATTACAAAATTGTACAAATTTTCTACATTTACTCTGGCTAACTTTATTCAAATTATCTGTATGAATATAAATTAAATGATTTGACTTTGTGTTATTTATCCTTAAATGCTGAATAAGTTAAATATTTATGGATTTCAGAAAATTAAGTACCGGTAAGGATTTCAGACAGGTAGTATTCAACTGAGTTATAATAAATACTTCTTTTAGTCTATAACAAGAGAAACATTTTACACATGTATAGTTAACCTACGCAGTACAAAGGAGGAAAATTTTATATAAATAGTTGACCTACAGATAATTACAAAGGCAAGTTAACATTTAGTAAGAGATAGTGACAATAGTAAATGGCACATTGTTGAAAATTATGGAATTTGTGAAAATGAGATCAAGAAAAATGCATTGCACAACAACATTGCTCATATTTCAATTTTCAGTCAAAAGAAATGTCTCTTTCAAAACATTCCTTTACAGTGGCCCAGCTTGGTGTGCCAGTCACCTACATAACAGAGAGACCAGGTCAAGAGGGGAATAAAGGTCAAGGTCACAGTTATCAGCAGCAAAGCATTCATCATCTGTTTGTTACTGGCATGAACTGGTCTGAAATCAGATGACAAGGCATTCATTTTTTTTCTACAGGTTTGCTTTACATGCATGAAGAGAAATGGAATACTGATTTGAATAATGCAATGATCTGGCTACTCATGTTAATTCATTCATCATAAAATTCAGGTTTGTACATGTATTTCTATGTTCATCACTTACCAAGTACATGATCAGTATTATAGATAACAGGCATGACATCTTATGATCACATACATACAGTTTTATTCCATATAAACCATTGATTACCTTCCGATAGTAGTGAATCTGGCAATAGAAGTCCATGCAATTATGATCAACAATCCTCCAGTTTCTCTAAAAATAAAAAAAAAAATCATCCTCATTTATATCGCATGTTAAAATACGTTCTCTTGTAATTTAAGAAACCTAGAAGCAGTTGAACTTCACTATTTCAAACTCTGATATCTTAAATACTATCTTGAATACTTGGATATGTCAGAGTTTTTAGCTCACCTGAGCCGAAGGCTCAAGTGAGCTTTTCTGATCAAAATTTGTCCGTTGTCTGTCGTCATTGTTGTCGTAAACTTTTCACATTTTCATCTTCTTCTCCAGAACTACTGGGCCAATTTCAACCAAACACGGCATAAAAAATCCTTGGGTAAAGGGGATTCAAGTTTGTTCAAATAAAGGGTCACACCCTCTTCCAAGGGGAGATAATTACAAATTAGTGAAAAATTAATGGCATCTTTAAAAAATCTTCTTCTCCAGAACCACTGGGCCAGGAAAGATGAAACTCATGTGGAATCATCCTCAGGTAGTGCAGATTCAATTTTGTTCAAATCATGACACCCTGGGGTAGGGTGGGGCCACAATGGACAATCAAAGTTTTACATAGGAGTATATAGGAAAAAATTTTAAAAATCTTTTTCTCAAGAACAGCAAAGCCATGATTGGTCATATTTATATGGAACCATCCTCAGGTGGTGTAGATTCAAGTTTGTTCAAATCATGACCCCTGGGGTAGGGTGGGGCCACAATGGACAATCAAAGTTTTACATAGGAGTATATAGGAAAAAATTTTAAAAATCTTTTTCTCAAGAACAGCAAAGCCATGATTGGTCATATTTATATGGAACCATCCTCAGGTGGTGTAGATTAAAGTTTGTTCAAATCATGACCCCTGGGGTAGGGTGGGGCCACAATGGACAATCAAAGTTTTACATAGGAGTATGTAGGAAAAATTTTTAAAAATCTTCTTCTCAAGAACAGCAAAGCCATGATTGGTCATATTTATATGGAACCATCCTCAGGTGGTGTAGATTAAAGTTTGTTCAAATCATGACCCCCTGGGGTAGGGTGGGGCCACAATGGATAATCAAAGTTTTACATAGGAGTATATAGAATTTTTTTTCTCTAAAATCGTCTTCTCAAGAACAGCAAAGCCATGATTAGTCATATTTACACTGTATGTGGAAGCATACTCAGGTTGTGTAGATTCAAATTTGTTCAAATCATGACCCCCTGGGGAAGGGTGGGACCACAATGGACAATCAAAGTTTTACATAGGAGTATATAGGAAATTTTTTTTAAAAATCTCCTTCTCAAGAACAGCAAAGCCATGATTAGTCATATTTATATGGAACCATCCTCAGGTGGTGTAGATTCAAGTTTGTTCAAATCATGACCCCCTGGGGTAGGTTGGGGCCACAATGGACAATCAAAGTTTTACAAAGGAGCATATAGGAAAATTTTTTTAAAATCTTCTTCTCAAGAACAGCAAAGCCATGATTGGTCATATTTATATGGAACCATCCTCAGGTGGTGTAGGGACCACTTATGCATTAAAGCTTTTCAATACTGAACTGATTTTTGCTTTTTTCCTAGCCAAGTGCTCAGGTGAGCGATGTGGCCCTTGGGCCTCTTGTTTCTTTGTCCCATTGAGTACGAGATAACAAAGTTTGACGTACTATATATATACACATGTATATAATTATCCACTTTATCTATTTATTCATGCCTCATCAAAAAAAAAAAATCAAAATAAATATGAAATTTCAACCAAACTATAACTTAACATTGTCATTAAACAAAACCTCTTAGAAATCTAACCGGTATAATAGTAGGTCTGGTTCTATGAATTATATTTGGTTTGATTGCATTTTAATGACTCTCAATTCTTTTCTTACCTGCCTTCCTCGTGCTCTAGAGGGTTGTGCCTTTCCCCTTTGATGGCCTCAAACAACAGTACAACTTGATACACTGCATAGGCCACACAAAAAGTGAAGTGAATTGTCACCACAGTGTTCCACACCTTACTAACTAAGTAAAAAAAACAAGATGTATTTGTGAAACACTGTTGCCCTGTATGGCAGCTCATGGCAAAGGTTAAAGTCTTTTAAAAGTGGGCTAAACTCAAAGGTCAAGGTCATTAAGTCAATACTGTTGCTTCCTAAAGAAAGGTCTTGTCCTAAGGAATACACCTGTGAAATATGAAAGCCCTAGCACCAACGATTTAGAAGTTATGGCTAAAATTAAAGTTTTCAATGGTAGGTCAAACCCAAAGGTCATGAGGTCAAAAATGTAAGTACCCAAAGAAAGGTCTTGCCACAAGGAATACAGCTGTGAAATATGAAAGCCCCAGAACCAATTAACTGTACAAAAGTTATAGCCAAGGTTAAAGAATGTTTCCACTTAAGCATATTGCCGCAGCCCTTTTTCGGACCCCTCCAACATCATCTAATTAACTCAAATCTTAATTATTTTACACCTAACCCATATTTTGTTATCTGTGTGGTACATTACTTGCAAAAAATTACATTGAAAACGGCGCTTTAGTTTTATTAAAGGTAATTAAAAATGTCCACTAGTGGGTGTTAATTCTGGAATGTTGCGCTTGTCCGAGCTGGGTTTTAACTGTGTCTCATTAATATTCGGAGAAGGCGGGGCATTTCATCGATCGATTGAAAACATGTTATCGCCAGTTATATAATGGCTTCTGGGAACTACTCAGCATGATTTGATTAAAAAAATATGCACAAAAGTAAACACAAAGAACATGCTTAAACTTCTCAAGGATTTCGCCATTTTTTTTTGTTTTTTTTTGGAAAGAGGGGTGGGGGGGGGGGGAGGATCTTGAAGATATACATTTACTCCCTCCCTAAATTCAGTTGGATGGTTGATCCTTGCATGTCATATAGTAAATAAACAAAATCTAGAAGCTTACTTAAAAAGCAACAGGTGAATGACAAGTTACTTTTGTTTCTAAATTATTTTTATTTTAAATAGGGTAATTAAGTTGCGATCGCAAATTACGTGGCGTTTACGTGGAAAATCAACACTAAACTAGAACTGTCCAAAGGGACAAATACCCCCCGCTGGGTTTTTCAGAGAAGGTACCAAATAACTAATGTTTTCTAGATGTGAGAGGTGTTCACAATTTGCTAAAACATTTAGAGTGAAAATTTAATTACTCATTATATTTTTTTAAATGAATGAAACTAAGGTGCAGCCTAATAAAACATCAATACTAGTAATTACAGTGTTTTTTATTACACTGAAAATATAGTTTGCAACTATCTGTCATCTTTGTGAGACATGACACTCTGCAAATTGATTGTTGAAAAAAAAAAATATCATAATTAATTATACAAAATCAAATTGATCTTAATACCTTTATATCAAACTCATTTTAAAAATAAAAGGCTGGTTCCAGTAACTATGTATTTTGACAGACATAAATTACAATTAAGAGACTTAGACAACAGAGATCTTTATTTCTTTCTGCCCAATTCCCAGGAGATATAGATAAGACCTGCTTGATCAGAGATGCTCTAACAGCTTCCCACACTGAACTCATTAATTAATCTTTAACTGGATGCATGTCCACTCATTACTCCCAAGGGACAAATGGATTTACACTATCTGCTGTGTAACGTAAAAACTGTTTTTAATACTTTGTGATTTTTTTTTAGTTCTATTGAGTAGTTTTAAACTGTAGTTCACATTTTTGTTCAGATGTTCTAGATTCTATGTCTCAAACCTTAGACATGAACCCGAAATGACTAAGTCAATAAAAATGAAAAAAAAACACCTGTAAAATGCAGAAAAATTATCAAATAATGTTGAAAATACCAGGTGCACATCTTCATATGGTAAATAATAAGTGTACAAATTTTCATACAAATCTATGCAATAGTCTCTCTGGGAACAGATCCAGACAAAACAACATAATAACAAGAGGCCCATGGGCCACATCACTCACCTGAGCACATTGGCTAAGCAAAAGCACAAATCAGTCAATTAAACAAATGGCTTTGTTGTACTTGAGAAGATTTTTAAAAAAAATTTCCCATATATTCCTTTGTAAAAATTTGATCCCCCATATCCCAGGGGTCATCATTTGAACAAACTTGAATCTACACTACCTGAGGATGCTTCCATATCAATATGACTAATCATGGCTTTGCAGTTCTTCAGAAGAAAATATTTTCCTATATATTTCTATTTAAGACTTTGATCCTCCATTGTGGCCCCACCCTATCCCCGGGGGTCATGATTTGAAGAAAATAAAATCTACACTACTTGAGGATGCTTCCACATAAATATGACCAATCAGGGCTTTGCTGTTCCTGAGAAGAAGATTTTTAAAATTTTTCCTATATATTTCTATGTAAAACTTTGATCCTCCATTGTGGCCCCAACCTACCCCCAGGGGCCATGATTTGACTAAACTTGAATCTACACTACCTGAGGATGCTTCCATATAAATATGACCAATCAGGGCTTTGCTGTTCTTGAGAAGAAGATTTTTAAAGATATTTCCTATATATTTCTATGTAAAACTTTGATCCTTCATTGTGGCCCTGCCCTACCCCTGGGGGGTCATGATTTGAAAAACTTGAATCTACACTATCTGAGGATGCTTCCATATAAATATAACTCATCATGGCTTTGCTGTTCTTGCGAAGAAGATTTTTAAAGATTTTTCCTTTATATTTCTACGTAAAACTTTGATCCTCCATTGTGGCCCCGTACTACCCCCGGGGGTCATGATTTGAACAAACTTGAATCTACACTATCTGAGGATGTTTCCTTATGAGTTCATCTTTCCTGGCCCTGTGGTTCTTGAGAAGAAGATTTTTAAAAGATGCTATTAATTTTTCACTAATTCATAATTATCTCCCCTTGAAAGAGGGTGTGGCCCTTCATTTGAACAAACTTGAATCCTCTTCACCCAAGGATGCTTTGTGGCAAGTTTGGTTGAAATTGGCCCAGGGGTTCTGGAGAAGAAGTCGAAAATGTAAAAAGTTTACAGACAGACGGATGGACAGACAGACAGACGGACTACAGACAAAATGTGATCAGAAAAGCTCACTTGAGCTTTCAGCTCAGGTGAGCTAAAAATGAAAAAAAAAAAAACACCTGTAAAATGCAAAAAAATTATCCAATCATGATGAAAATACCAGGTGCACACCTTCATATGGCAAAGAATAAGTAAACAAATTTTCAGACAAATCCTTGCAACAGTTTCCAAGAAATGGTCCGGACAAAATCTTGTCTACAGACAGACAGACAGACGGACAAGCTGATTCCAATATACCCCCTCCCCCTAAACTTCGTTTGCGGGGGGTATAATAAACCAGGCCTACTTGTACATGTAAACACGTATTGAATTTTTAAAATAATATTAAACTCTCTTTCTCTCTCTCTCTCTCCGTACTTAAGTACAATAAATACTGGTGTACGGAATAACAAAACAAACATTTTTTGCGATGCTGTTGTGATATTTAATAACTAAAACAATTTTATTAATTATATGTGTGCTTTTTTGTTTTTCGACCCAGTAAGCTTTCCAGTGTTAAACAATCTATATACGTACTTCTACCCCGTGTACCTATATTTTTACAGTCAAAAACATTTTGAGGAATGATGCTATTGCTAAGACGTAGACTATGGCTTGGAAACTCATTTAGCCCCCAAGCAAACCTCTAAATCCAAGGACTAAAACTAAAATATCATTACATTTTGCCCGATTTAAAATTCCATTACCCTCATCTGTCAAATATTTCTTATGAATGGTAGCATCATTATTTTTCTGTCTTCAAATATGGATCTAATACCTAAACAATATTAATATCCGTCGGATGCCACTATTATCATCGGTTTCATGGCCGTAGGAACCGGGGGGGGGGGGGGGGGGGGGGGGGAAGGGGGGCACTTTACGTCTGATGCCCCCCCCCTTTTTTTTGTCAAGGAATTTTTGGTAGTTGGTAGTGCTCCCAACTGAAAATGTATGGCTGTGCCCCAAAACTGAAATTGCTTCCTACGGGCCTGGGTTTTACCAAAAGAGGAATTTTATACATACCTAAAGAAGTCCTTTGAAAAGTATATAATTGAACTCTTTTGAAATCAATATAGATGTATGTTTTAATCTAAAGAATATTTTGTTAAGAAAAGTAAATGGAATTGAGTAGAAGGGTCAGCCTATTTTAGCCCTCTCCCTACATCAAGGTCAACGTAAATACATAATTGATATAAAATAAACAAAGCAAAAATGTAGAAAAAATGTACCAAAAAGAAGGGGTGGGGAGGAAAATAAAAAAAGAAAAATACTAGTAAGCAAAATTACAGAAAAAAATACCGGTTTGGGAGTATTCAAAAATATTAAATTTACTTACAAAATAATGAATATTTTAGCAATATTTGGCACTACTAAAAATACTGGGCAGAAAAAAATAATTCGATGTTGATCAATTGAAAATGTAACGGTCTGAATTCCTTATCGGAGCTAAAGCCACGTGATTTATTGATTTTTTTTGTATTCACAAAGTTAACCGAGTCTAAAAATCACGTGATAAATTGGAATATTTAACAGGTCATTATGAGGTCAATGACATGTAAATACCCGTGAATAGTGAAGGAAACGGTCGCTGTTTTGTACCTTTTTCAAAAAGTTTACCCCGAGCGCAGGCTTGCCCAAAATTCTCCTTTAAATATGATGAATTTCCAACAGTTTTACACCTGTCCTTTTGAGAAATTTGGGCAACAATGCGCTCACCATGTATTACGGCTTTAAAAATCGGAATAACTTTGAATATCAATGGAGATTCATGAATTGCAGTGACCCCTTTTACAAAACACAGCTTCGTTCTTTGTTTTTATGGACTTTTAATTCCTGTAATTTCGCAAAGTTGCAATTTAGACATAGAAGAATCGCATTATTCATCTCATGGGGCTATTTTCTATACTTTATTTTTGCGCAATTTACCGGGGGCCACGTTTTGTACACTAAGTGCAATCATTCTTTGGTTAAAGTTTTCAAAAGAAGGTCAAACTTTAAGGTCAAGGTCAAGAGGTCAAAAATATTGGTACCCAAAGAAAGGTCTTGTCACAAGAATTACACATGAAAAATAAAAGCTCTCAGCACCAACCGAGTCTCTGATTACTGGGAAAATATATACAGTAAAACTCGTTTAGTACGAACAGGGATATAGCAAATTCACGGATATAGCGAATTTTTTTGGATCCCCAGCTATATAAATTTAACAAATTTCTTATACGGATATAACGAATTACGGATATAGTGAAGTAATTTCACAGCTCCCAGTGACTTCGTTATAACCGAGTTTTACTGTATGAGAAAATATCATACTCGTTTACATAATACACTGTACTTGGTGAGAAAAAAGTATGTCTACTCTCTCCTTCTCTCTTTCTCCCTAGTTTTACATACCTGACCACTGTGGTTTAATTACTAATGGCAAACACAACAGGGCAGAAACTCCATAAATTGGCTGAAAAACAAAAAGAATACCAGTAATTAATTTCCAAAGTTTTGTGTAATTCATAATATCTAGTCAACCACTGATCTAAAGTACTTCATAGTAAAGCAAAATTACTAGGATTCATTTCTATGCCCCCGTAATTGAAGATTCAGGGCTATATAGTTTTTTTCCTGTCTGTCCATCTGTCTAGCTGTTTGTCCTCAAAAACTTTAACTTAACCCATAACTTTTGATTGGTTGAAGCTATGGCTTTTATATTTCACATGTGTATTCCTTGTGACAAGACTTTGGGTACCAAAATATATGACCTCTTGACCTTGACTTTTGACCCACTTATGCAAAAATTTACCCAACTTAAATCTTGGCCATAACTTTTGAACAGTTGGTGCTAGGGCTTTTATATTTCACATACCCGGTATGTATTCAATATGTAATCATCGTGACAAGACCTTTCCATGGGTGTAAATATTTTTGAACTTTTGACCTTAGAGTTTGACCTACTTTTGAAAAACTTTAACCTTCACCACAACTCTTGAACAGTTGGTGCTAAGGGTTTATATTTTGCATGTGTATTTCTGATGACAAGGTCTTCCCCTGCATTCCATTAATTTGATTGACCTTGGAGTTTGACCCCCTTATAGAAAACATTAACCTTGACTAAACTGTTGAATGGTTGGTGCTTGGGTTTTCATATTTACCAGTATATCCATTGACACATTTCTTTTCTTTGGGTAACAACTTTTTTTGATCTCTTGACCTTAGAAGTTTGACTTGCATTTGAGAAACTTTGACCTTGCCATAAGCTGTCATATGGGGGCATCAGTATTTCACAAACACATCTTGTTTTTTATTGTAATATCTTATTTCTAAATGTGTGTTTAGCGATTTGGTAATTACGCATGTTTGTTTTGCTTCATTATTTCAAGAGATTTCTTTCATTGGCTTCTACACATTATTCAAACAAGAGACCCAGGGGCCACATTGCTCACCTGAGCACTATGGCTAGGAAACAGCAGAAATCAATCAGTTCAGTCTTGAAAGGTTGAAAAGTTTAAATATGAAAGTGGTTCGGGGGGATTTGAACTTACTTGAATCTATATTTCATAGGGATGTTTTTGAATTAATGTGACAAATAATGGCTTTGCTGTTCTTATGAAGAAAATTTTTTATTGATATATCCTTTGTATTCCTTTGTATAACTATGATCCCCTGTTATGGCCCCTTTATTCTCCTGGGGGGTCATGAATTGAACAAATTTGAATGTACATTACCTGAGGATGCTTCCATTTAAATATGACCAATAATGGCTTTGCTGTTCTTGAGAAGAAGATTTTTAAAGATTTTTCCTATATATTCCTCTGTAAAACTTTGATCGCCCGTTGTGGCCCCATCCTACGCCCAGGGGTCATGATTTGAATTAACTTAAATATACACTACCTGAGGATGCTTCCATAAAAATATGATCAATCATGGCTTTGCTGTTCTTGAGAAGAAGATTTTTATTGATATATCCTTTGTATTCCTTTGTATAACTATGATCCCCTGTTATGGCCCCTTTATTCTCCTGGGGGGTCATGAATTGAACAAATTTGAATCTACATTACCTGAGGATGCTTCCATTTAAAAATGACCAATAATGGCTTTGCTGTTCTTGAGAAGAAGATTTTTAAAGATTTTTCCTATATATTCCTCTGTAAAACTTTGATCGCCCATTGTGGCCCCACCCTACCCCAGGGGTCATGATTTGAAAAACTTGAATCTTCACTACCTGAGAATGTTTCCACATAAGTTTCATATTTCCAAGCACAGTGGTTCTTGAGAAGAAGAGTTTTTAATGATGCCATTAATTTTTCACGAATTCAATCAATTCATAATTATCTCCCCTTGGAAGAAGGCATGGCCCTTCATTTGAACAAACTTGAATCCCCTTTATCCAAGGATACTTTGTGGCAAGTTTGGTTGAAATTGGCCCAGTGGTTCTGGAGAAGAAGTCGAAATGTGAAAAGTTTAAAGACAGACGGACAGACAGACGACTACAGACAAAATGTGATCAGAAAAGCTCACTTGAGCCTTCAGCTCAAGTGAGCTAAAAATTAAAATGTGTACTTACCACCCACAGGTACCAGTCACCATCATTGAGCTAAAAAAAAGTCAAACATTATGTATTGATTGGAATTATATTTTACTTTATAGATAAGCATTGATTATAATGCAAGACATTTAAATTTTTCCACTGAAGAGCTGGAAATAAATAAATCATAAAATTTGAATTTTGCAATTTAATTGTACTATTCCGATTGTGCCTTTGAATGATATATCATAGTTAGTTATAAGTGTATAGGAATAATGCAAAATAATGTAAAAATTATAGGTTTAATCAACTATGGTAAATATTAATTGCAATTCTTTATTCTCTCTCTCTCTCTTTCTCTCTCTCTGAAGCAAACTTCCTACATTTACAAGAGCAGCTAAGGTGAAGAACACCCCCAGGACCAGATTGATAATCCTCCACACTTTCCATCCACCACTTGACTTCTGGACAGGTTCCTGAGGTTCCATCTCTGCAGAAAGTTTTGTTATAAAACAATTTCAAGATTTGTCTAAGAAGCTACAGAATTTTTTAATAATACCACTGCTCAATTGAGGGCTCCGTTCAAAATTTCTCAAGAGGAGTAAAATATTTTTTCACCACTCTCATCTTATTTTGAGACGAAAATTTGAGTTCTAAGATCACCTACGTTTTATATATTTACATGACAGCTCAGACGCGGGGGGTGGGGGAGGGTGAACAATATGATTAATACCTTTTCTTTAAAACCCTTCCCGTTTGTTTTTAACAGGAAAACTCAATAGTTTTTTGTGTTTTTTTTTTTGCATGCGAATAAGAAGTCAGTGAAAAATAATAATAAAAAAAGCAACAGAAAATCACCGATCCCTGAAAGATTAATAAAGTAAATTATTTACCTAATAATTGCATGGTGTTCAACAAAAAGCATGTGTTATCTAAAATACTAGATGATTTTGGCTTATCATATAATTCAAAAACCTTATCACTATCGTACTGATAATATTACCGACACATGGAAACAGCTGTTCAGCCTGTTGGCATTTATAATTTTATCAACATTGTACTTTCACTTTATCTCCGAAAATGAAAGTTGAGGCGCGCTCTCGCAGACCGAACAAAAGAAGAAACATACTTTACATACGTTGCATTAATGGTCAAACAGTACCATTAGCCAGTCTCTGTCATCAGAACTTAGTTGACTTTAGTTATGACAAGAGGCCCATGGGCCACATCGCTCACCTAAGTTACTACACTATGGGCCGTGCTGTTCATTCCTTCGCAAAACTTTGATCACATATTACGACCCTTTCCTACCCCTATCGGACATGAATTGAATAAATTTGAATCTACACTACCTGAGGATGCTTTCATATATAAAAACGACTAATCTTGGCTTTTCTATGCTCTCTAGAGATTTTTTGAAAAAATTACAGTCCACCTTAAATTCCCTGATTTAAAAAAAAGGGGGGGGGTGACTTTTTCTTTCTTTCTGGCTTGCAATTAACATTGAAAACGGCGCATGTGCCTGCACTGTTCCCCTGTAACTGAGAGTCTTTTGCCTTTGCATGTGACCGAAACTTAATTTGCTTACCAAGTATGTTATGCTATTACATCTGATCCAAATGTGATATACTTTTCACTTTCCCTTAATCTTTCTCTACGACTGAATGTGATATTGTAAACTCCATCCGTGTCTGGCTGTCTTGATTTTATCCATGACCTTTTTAATCTACCGACTTGCTTGCATGCTTGTGTATCTGAAATCGCTCTTTTATTTTGTATCTATATATACCTCTTCTTAATCAGTAATAGCCTCATCGGTCAGTGTCTGCGTATGTCATGATTCTGGAGGTGTGTTAAAGCAGAGCGAGCGCTCGCTCTGCTGAACACACCTCTAGTGTTTTTCTTCTTCTTCTTTTGGAATCGGTTTACTTTATGATTCCTCTATTAAGTCCATGAATTTGTTCCTTACTACATGCCTTGCGTTAGCTAGATCTAGTTTTGTTTTTGCATCTGTGTTTGATTTTTAATTATGTTCATTTGTAATCAGTAACGCAGGTTACATCAGCCTGTGAATGAGTAACATTTTTTTATCGACTGGATTACAATGGTAACAGCAGTTACAGTGGTTTCAAACTGAACATTTCATGCAAGTATTCAGTGTCATACATTGTCTTGTGTTTTTAATGGTTCTGATTGATTTTTGCAACTGCATATTTATTCAGCTTTCATTAAGCAAAGTTCATAATTGTTGATACTTTTGTCCACATTTAATTGATTACTGAAGGGGTAATAAATTTCAATAGATAATAAATTACATATTTAGTACTAATCTCTCTTTCTCTCTCTCTCTCTCCAAATCATTACTGTTAGAAAATACATTCAAGAAAAAATATATTTAATTTTAAGTTATTTCAAGTTATTTTTACTTATCAGCTGATCAGGTCAAAATATTTACAACAGATTTTACTTTCAAAATATGTTAACCGTATTAACTTTTATACACACTTCCGGTACTGTGAACAGTATTCTCGGTATATAATGGCACAGTCCTTTTCATTGATTCTAAATATTCAAGCTACGAATTACTTATGAAGAGGAGAAATAGGTTCCTCTGAGTAATTATTATATATATAATATAAATATGTGTTTTTGCATGCGAAATCCTTTGTAAAAGGGGAAACCTAGTGGGTTTAACGATAAAGTAAAACGAACAATCAGAACGGTGCACAGTGGCCAATGGAAATTGAAGAAATAATAATAAACTAATAAACTCCGTATCTGTGTAAATGATTTAGTAAAGGTAAAGTAAGAACCGAGATTTGTCCAGAGTTTCTAACCAACACTGTGATGGAATAGCTTTGCTGGCACGTAGGACGTATCGGGGAGGGGGCTACTTGCTCTTTCCAATTTATGAATTTTTATGACTCTTTCTCACATGATATGAATTGTTAGTGTTCCTCCTTCATGTCTTGGTTTTTAGTTCACCTGAGTCGAACGCTCAAGTGAGCTTTCCTGATCAAAGAGTGTCCGGCGTCCGTCTGTCGTCCGGCGTCTGTTGTTTGTAAACTGTTAACATTTTCGACTTCTTCTCAAGAACCACTGGGCCAATTTCAATCAAACTTGTAACAAAGCATCCTTGGGTGAAGGCGATTTAATTTTGTTCACAGGAATTGCCACGCCCTAATAATTAAGAATTCGTGAAAATTTGGTGGCATCTTTTCAAAATCTTCTTCTCAAGAACCACTGGGCAAGAAAAGATGAAACTTATGTTAAGCTTCATTACATACTCTAGATTCAATTTTTTTTTTCGTATCATAATCCCAAGGAATAAAGCGGACCACAAAAGGGGTAGAAGTTTTACATAGGAATATATAGGATATGTCTTTAAAAATCTTCTCGAGAACAGCAAAACCATGATTAGTCATATCATTATAGAAGTATCCTCAGGTAGCGTAGATTCAGGTTTGTTCAAATCATGTCCCCTGGGGATAGGGCCACAACAGTAGGTCAAAGTTTTACATAGGAATATAAAGGTGTGATGGTTAATGGGCATTGAAGACTTAAAATAGTGGAATGACCTGACAACTTTTGGAATGGATTAGCCAAAGGGTATAGAAGGCAAAGCTTTGGGAAAGTCAGGCACTGAGAAGCTAGCTGAAGAAGTTGTCTGTCCAATCCGCAATAAAAAACTTAAGGGTAAGAGCAAAATAAAAGTATAAAAGTTATAAGCACCAATGGCAAGTATCCTATGGAACTGACGTTAAGTTCTGGGTGTAGTAAATCTGAAGAAGATTGAGATACCTGGTTCTTATCTATCAGTAGGAACCTAGGGGAGAAACAAGGTGCAAGTAGTACCTTGCCCAGTCCCCATCCCTTAGAGATAAGAGAAAAAATTTAGTACTGTGTGATTTACCCTCAGACAGAGCAGTCTTAATAATCATTCCAATCATTAACTCAGAGTGAGTAAAAGGAAAGTGAATATGGCTGGTGAGGATCCCGTAGTGAAGAAGAGTCCCTCTCCCATTCAACTGCAGCCATTTACAGAAAGCACGGTAAGATTCAGACCATATTTCTTGCACCTTTGCCTGACCGTTTGCTTGTCAATTGATGTTGACTGTATCAGGCCTTGACCTCTTGACTTCCTATTGACAGGATGCCAAGATGCTGAACAATTCAAAAGGAACATCAGCAAGAGCCACTTCAACAGCCATGGAACCTCATATGGAAGTATTTTTGATTTATTCCTTTCTGTCTTTTTTGTATCCCCTATCCCTTCCTTAATCTAACATAACTAATCATCCACCCCCTCTCCCCCCTCACCCCTGATGACGCTTTCCAACTTTATTGTCTTTGCTTGCTAACTTATTTTTCAACTAATTTTGTTGTAATGATTATTACTTGAATTTCTGTAATTTGTTGCATTGTTTTGAATCGTTACTAATCTTGTGTCAGTTGTATATTTTCAGGGGATCGGACGAAGGACCACACAGGCGGAGCAGGGTCGACCAACAGACGAAGAGAAGTCCATTGCCCAGCTATGTCCAGCAGCCAACATTGGCCAAAGCAGTAACATCTGCTTTTCTTATGACTGTTTGTCACTTCATAGGAAGTGTTAGTGTCCCTTCTTTGATGTCTTGTTTTTGCATTGTTAACAGATGATGGTTTAGGCTGACCAGGGAAGTCCGCTTTTTTAAGTACACATACAGTATTTACAGTGATTAATTCATATTGGTAAATAGCAAAGGGGAATAACTTCTCTCAGTAGTGTACAAATTTCACTACAAGATCAATAGAGCCCTCCTAGCACCAAAACACTTGACCCAGTGGTTCAAAATTTCACAAATCTAGTAAAAATACCCTTGCTAATTACAAGTTTTGTTCTCCGTTTGCCTCTTATATGCCCAGGAGCAGACAGGATTTTCAAAGCATCAATACATTTTCACTATATGATCAATAGAGTCCTGTCCTAGCAATAGAACCCTTGCTCATTATAACCATGCAGTAAATTTGTTTGCGTAATACCCAGGAGCAGAGAAGACAATTTTAAGAGAATGAATGCATTTTCACTACTTGAACAATAGAGCTCTGCTCTAACACCAGAACACCTGACCCCATAATTTAGGAAGAGGCATCCTTGCTCATCATAACCATGCAGTAAGTTTGTTTGCTTAATACCCTGGAGCAGAAAAAAAGATTTTCAAAGAAATGCATTTTCACTATATAATCAATAGAGATCCACCCTAACTCCAGAACCCCTGGAGCCATGAAATTCAAAATTTTGGTTCAAGAATAATTCCTTGATCATGCTCACAGTTTGACTGCTTGATGTCCAGGAATAAAGAAAAGATTTTTGAAAAGTGCATTAATTTTGATGGTTTTGGCCCCATGGGGGAAAGGATCATGAAATTCATAATTTCTGTACCCTTTGCCCACAGATGCTCTTTACCAGAAGTGGTTGAAATTGGCTTGGGGGTTTATGAGAAAAAGCTGAAAATGTTCAAAAGTTTACAATTGGAGGACGAGAAACAACAACGGACAAAAACAGACAGCAATAGGTCACCTGATTGACTGGGTGACCTAAATATACATAAGCATAGTCATATGAAAATTCACCTTTGTTTTAAAGCGTGGCCCCATGTATAGAGCGGGGCCTCTTTTGGGAGGCTGTACTATTTCAAAGAGGAAAGAAAAACATTGCTCAGAATTAATTTATTGCAAAGAGGCAATATTAGTGTCAAATACATTCTACAAAGCCTTCAACTCAGCTTTTTATTCTGTAGAAGAAAAAAATACTCAGAAACAAATGTACTACATTCATATGCAACTAAAAAAATGTAAAAATTAAAATCTCATAAAAAGTATGAACTTCACTGTTAATTCTAGATCTGATGGCAGCATTTGGAGAAAATGGAACATAAATGTAATATGTTAACTGTCTTGTGTAGCAGAAACTTTCCTGGGAAGAGAAATTAACTGACTTGACTAGGATCAATGCTAAGTCAGTGTTTCAATCTTATTTGTGTTTCTGGAAGAATTTTTGGCTGTCTTTGACATTGGGCTTCATTGTATCAGCTCCTGGCTTCCAACCAGCAGGGCATACTGAAAATCATAAAAAGTTTACTTAAATTCGCCATTATGATAGTCTTAGGCTTAGTATTTCAAACAAAGCTAGACAAGTTATTTTTAAGGAGCAGTTGAATTTTGGTAGTGTATACAGGGTTATTTTCACTCCATGTTATTTTCGCCCTTTCATACTTGCAAATAATTCTGCCCTGTTTTAAATTTGCCCATGCAGTCACAGTTCTGTTTAAGAAATTATACTGTGTTCTTTGAATTCACCCTGTTTTAAATTCACCCAATTGTGAGTAGGGTGAAGGGGCGAAAATAAAATGGGAAGGGGTGTGTGTGTGTGAAATTTTCCCTGTATACAGTATCTCAAACACTGATCTACTGACTGGAGTTGAAGACAATGTACTTTATTATGCATATGTCAAAATTATGCATATTTTACTTCAAAATTCTTATTATTCAAACACTTTTAATAAAAATTGTGCAATTTCATAAAATGAAGGTAAATATTCCAATCGTGAGGCATTTTGAGCCTGTATACCTTCTCCATGTTTGTCAGTGAACTGGAAGGCTTGTACAAGTCTCAACGTTTCATCAACAGATCTACCGACGGGAAAATCATTCATCGTGTACTGACGTAAGATTCCTTTACCATCAATAATGAATAATCCCCTGAAAAAAAAAAAATGTTCAAGTTTATGAATGTAACTCCTTTCTGCAAATTTAAGTTCTAATTCTCTAGAACTGGTTCCATTTTGTTATGTAATTTGTACTGTGGAAGCATTTTAATTGTGGGGGGGTCAATGTTTGTGGGCAAGCAAAATTTCACTTGTTGGTGGTGACTTAATTTCATGATTACTCACTAATATGGTAGATTCAATGATCAATATACATGTATTTACAAAATAAATGTTCATGGGGATGAAAATTCATGGGTATAAGGGTGACCCACGAAGTCCACAAACATTGGTCCCCCACGAACAATGATGAATCCACAGTATTTGATGAAGCATGGCTTTAAATGTCTAGACATATGATGGTCTGATTAGCAACACATCAAATACGTTAATTCACTTCATCATGCAATTTGTTGTTGATCAGATTAACAGAAAAGATTTTTTGTTTAAATACTTTTATAAAGTCAGTGTCATGGATAACTATGAAAGTGTGTGCCATATTCAGATGTGGTTGATGGTCTCTCTAGAATGGGTGTGCATGTTGGAAATGTTTTCTTTTGTGATAAGGTAGAGTGATGGAACTTTCATGTACATGCATAAATTTTATTACGTACATCAAGGTTTGTTATACTACAGTTTTTACTGGAACATCTACTCTTTGAAATACATGTATATTTTATTCTTGAGTTTTCATTGTTATCAAACATTTTATTTGTAGTTATACTATATATAAGCATTTGATTCATTACCTATTCACTCAAGTAAATCTGTTGAAAACAAAAAAGATACATGTAGATGCATCCAGAATAAGTGACATTGACTATAAAAGACGGCAACTTCCTCAGAGTTACTAGATTGAAGACACTGGATACACCTATAAACACTTGTGAATAGTGATTTATAGACTGGACAAGATGAGTTATAGACATATATTCACAACAGAAGCATTTACAGAAAATACAAGTTGGAAGTGGACAACTAATAAAATTATAGTGTCTCGGGGACTTAAGGAAGCTCTAAACAATAAAGAAAAATATTTTTTGGACTTTGAGAAAATTTTATCATGTAAAAGTGTACATACTGAGCTTTAGTTAGTTCATTTTCAACATAGGATACCTGACATTTTTTTTCCAGGGAGAAACATTCAAAATCAGTGAAGTATTAGTGAATAGAAATCACAGTGTTTGTACTAGCATTCCAAAATTACATACAAATAATGTATCTTAAGGGATGAATTTAACAGCTACCCATGTTATATTTTAATACCTATGCTTTATAAATCCTGAGGCAGACCATAAAAAAGTGTAATATGTTCCAACCCAGGTCATACAAGTATAACTTGGGTAGCTATTAAATTTATTCCTGATAATTGAATTTTTCTTTATTAGGTAAGACAATTTTTCATTCAAAAATGCCTTCAAATAGTGCAAATTTTAAATGAAATGTCAAGTGGATTGATATGTCTTTGACAAAAGTGATTGTGAAGTAAGCAAAAAGATTATATACAGTATCATATTTTTCTTAATCCAATCAAATGGTGCATTAAAACCAGAATTATATTATTTTATCTTGGTCTAATATAATGTTAAGAATACTCTAAAATATTTCAAATTGTGTCATTATTTATTCCATCTTACATTAAAGGGCAGATTACTGGTAATCTCACTGCATGGAGTGATACCATGGAATTGCAAATCTTCGGTGTGCAGTATTTAGAGCTTCCTTAAGAAAATCCTACATTTACACAGGTGTCATAATGTTAGCATGGGTAACCCACCTAAATGCAACTCCTTCATCCTCCTTTAGCACACCATACGCTTTGCTAATCTCCATATTTTTGTCAGATAGTAATGGAATCTTCATGTCTCCTAATCCACCCTGCTTTCTTGGAGTATTAATCCTACAAAATAATAATGAATGGATTTAAATGAATTTAAGAACTAAATATGCAACACACATAGTACATGTATAACTAATAGCACTGATATTGTATACGCACTGAATTTGACACTTTATTAAAAAATATTTGGAGTTAAGATTTATAAAGTCAAATTTAATTTTGTTAAAACTATTTCACAAATATAAAGTCTTAATTCATATATTAATTAATAATTATTCTGAATTTGTCCAACTTGCAATAAAAATAGTAATAATGAATATTAGGTAAATCATTAATAACTTCTTAAAGATCCCTACACCTTACAAAATCTTACTGAATAATGCACAACTTTTAAAGTATTAATATAAAAACTGATCCTATCAGGATTTTTTTTTTTGGGCTAATTACCTGTTGTAGAGAATATTTCATCTCGTAAAGAACACAGAAGATAGCAAGTATAGTAATATACAAGAAGTGTAGCAAAAATAGAAAAAAAATTGTCGTAATGGCACACAGCATTGGCACTGTATAAATGTGAAAGACTAATAACATGTACACTTGAATAAAGCATTGAATAAAGAGAAAGTGATGATGATACACATACTTATAAATGTATATTCTAAATAATACTACCTATTTTCTCTAATAATTCTGCATTGTCAAAAACAGATACTAAGTAAAATATTTACAGAAAATATTTAGTCACAGTACAATATTACAATCATGAAATCAACTTTCTTGACACTTTGCATCAACTTTTACATTTAAATGAAAATTGAACTGAAAAAAGTCATACAGGACCCACACAACGGTAATCCTGACCTTTTGACCTTAAACCAAGTCTGTAGATGATTCTTTTTGAATGAATTTAAATTAAGTTTAAAATTATTTTACCATTGAAGAAAAAATTTCTAGAACTTAAAGACCCAATTTTTTTTACCGTATGGTTACCTGAGGAGGGGGAGTGGTCTTGGTAGAACTGGTGTTGTTTACCTGGAGACCCCCAATACTCAAGATGTCAAAAATCCCTATACATGGTGCATTACACAGGAAGTCTGGCTTTTGGTAATCAGGGTCAACATCAAGCATTTTGTGCATAATTTTGAGTGAAAATATTTAAAATAAATTATGTACTGAAATATAAAATTTATAGACTTAGCGTTTTTTGTCGATATCTTTTGAAGAAAAAAAAAAAAAAAATAAAATAAAGACATATCTTTTTTAAAAATCGTAAAATTAAAAAAAAACAAGAGGCCCATGGGCCACATCGCTCACCTGAGTAACTTTGGCCATGCTGTTCATTACCAGACTCCCCCCTTGTAATACCTATTGTGGCCCCACCCTCCCCCCAGGGGCCATGATTTGAACAATTTAGAATCTACACTACCCCAGGGTGCTTCCACATAAGTTTCAGTTTTTCTGGTCCAGTGGTTCTTGAGAAGATTTTTAAAGATTTTTCCTATATATTTCAATGTAAAACTTGGGATTCCCCCTATTGTGGCCCCGCCCTATCCCCTGGGTCATGATTTGAACAATTTAGAGTGTACACTACTTGAGGATGCTTCCACATAAGTTTCAGCTTTTCTGGTCCAGTGGTTCTTGAGAAGAAGATTTTTAAAGATTTTTCCTATATATTTCAATGTAAAACTTGTATTTCCTATTGTGGCCCCGCCCTACCCCCGGGGGTCATGATTTGAACAATTTAGAATCTACACTACCCCAGGATGCTTCCACATAAGTTTCAGCTTTTCTGGCCCAGTGGTTCTTGAGAAGAAGATTTTTAAAGATTTTTCCTATATATTTCAAAGTAAAACTTGTATTTCCTATTGTGGCCCCGCCCTACCCCCGGGGGTCATGATTTGAACAATTTAGAATCTACACTACCCCAGGATGCTTCCACATAAGTTTCAGCTTTTCTGGCCCAGTGGTTCTTGAGAAGAAGTTTTTTCCTATATATTTCAATGTAAAACTTGTATATCCTATTGTGGCCCCGCCCTACCCCCGGGGGTCATGATTTGAACAATTTAGAATCTACACTACCCCAGGATGCTTCCACATAAGTTTCAGCTTTTCTGGTCCAGTGGTTCTTGAGAAGAAGATTTTTAAAGATTTTTCCTATATATTTCAATGTAAAACTTGTATTTCCTATTGTGGCCCCGCCCTACCCCCGGGGGTCATGATTTGAACAATTTAGAATCTACACTACCCCAGGATGCTTCCACATAAGTTTCAGCTTTTCTGGCCCAGTGGTTCTTGAGAAGAAGATTTTTAAAGATTTTTCCTATATATTTCAATGTAAAACTTGTATTTCCTATTGTGGCCCCGCCCTACCCCCGGGGGTCATGATTTGAACAATTTAGAATCTACACTACCCCAGGATGCTTCCACATAAGTTTCAGCTTTTCTGGCCCAGTGGTTCTTGAGAAGAAGATTTTTAAAGATTTTTCCTATATATTTCAATGTTAAACTTGGATTCCCTATTGTGGCCCCGCCCTACCCCTGGGGGTCATGATTTGAACAATTTAGAATCTACACTACCCCAGGATGCTTCCACATAAGTTTCAGCTTTTCTGGTCCGGTGGTTCTTGAGAAGAAGATTTTTAAAGATTTTTCCTATATATTTCAATGTAAAACTTGGATTCCCTATTATGGCCCCGCCCTACCCCCGGGGGTCATGATTTGAACAATTTAGAATCTACACTACCCCAGGATGCTTCCACATAAGTTTCAGCTTTTCTGGTCCAGTGGTTCTTGAGAAGAAGATTTTTAAAGATTTTTCCTATATATTTCAATGTAAAACTTGGATTCCCTATTATGGCCCTGCCCTACCCCCCGGGGTCATGATTTTTACAATTTAGAATCTACACTATCCCAGGATGCTTCCACATAAGTTTCAGCTTTACTGGCCCTGTGGTTCTTGAGAAGAAGATTTTTTAATGACCCCACCCTATTTTTGTCTTCTCTTGATTATCTCCCCTTGTGAGGGGACTTGGCCCTTCATTTTAACAATTTAAATTTCCCTTCACCCAAGGATGCTTTGTACCAAGTTTAGTCAAAATTGGCCCAGTGGTTCTTGAGAAGAAGTCAAAAATGTGAAAAGTTTACAGACGGACGGACAGACAGACGGACGGACGGACGATGGACAAAATGTGATCAGAAAAGCTCACTTGAGCCTTCGGCTCAGGTGAGCTAAAAAGACAAGAAAAAGGTGAAAACTACAAAGCAATCATATCAATATTTTAATCGCCAATAAAAGAAATTATCTTAAAAAATTAAGTATGATATTGAAATAAAAAGATTCCACTTATTGTGTGGACATTCACCACGATCGGAATATTATTTACTTTTCTGGCGAACAATGGTGTCCAAATATTCGCTATTTCCAAGGGTCCGTGTTCTTATGCCGCTGTTTACAAGATTTGCATATATGAAAAGAATCTTTCGCAAATCAAGATACAAGATACTTTACAATATTAGTATAAATATCTTTTCTTATTTAATCCATTGCACATTTTATTATAATTTTCAAATGGTGGGGGAGGGGGTCGATCGTTTCCAATTACGGCGAATTGAGTTTCTGTGTACCCAAGTGCAATTAAGGTCGACAAGGGCATTACGTACATTCTTAAAATCAAGGCACAGGTTGAATAAGAGGCTCGGAAGAATTATCGGTCTGTGCTGCTACAGAAACTTATCTCAGTTATTGAAGGAGGAGAGAGCTTGAATATCTGCTAATTTTTCTTCGAAAAGTTTTATAGTTATCTTGGACGTCATAATGCTAACAAGTATAAAACAGCAGTGGAAATTGAACAAGAGGCCCAAGGGCCTTAACGGTTACCTGAGTATAATACAACAATTTAGAAGTTAAATACACTGATAGATGAAGCATTGTTGCCCTAGCCCCCCCCCCCCCCCCCCCCCCTCCTCAAGAACCCCAAAAACTGAGGCCGTATATTTAAAAATTTTGGAAGAGGCATCTTTGTCTATCATAATCATGCACTTAGTTTGTTTAAATAATCTCCAGTAGCAGAGAAGTTTTTCAAAGAATCAATGCATTTTCACTATATAATCAATAGAGCCCCGCCCTAACACCAGAACCCCTGACCCTGGGGCCATGAAATTCACAATTTTTGAAAAGGCATCCTTATGCATCATAACCATGCACTTAGTTTGTTTAAATAATACCCAGGAGCAGAGAAGAAGATTTTCAAAAAATTAAAGCATTTTTACTATATAATCAATAGAGCCCCGCCCTAACACCAGAACCCCTGACCCAGGGGCCATGGCTTTCACAATTCTGGAAGAGGCCCACCTCCTCATCATAACTACGTACTTAGTTACTTTATTAAATACCCAGGAGCAAAGAAGAAGATTTTCGAAGAATTAATGCATTTTCACTATATAATTTATAGAGCCCTGCCCTAACACCAGAACCCCTGACCCTGGGGCCATGAATTTCACAATTTTGGAAGAGGCACTCTTGCTCATCATAACTATGTACTTAGTTCCTTTATTTAATACCCAGGAGCAGAGAAGAAGATTTTCAAAGAATTAATGCATTTTCACTATATAATCAATACAGCCCCACCCTAACACCAGAACCCCTGACCCTGGGGCCATGAATTTCACAATTTTGGAAGAGGCACTCTTGCTCATCATAACTATGTACTTGGTAACTTTATTTAATACCCAGGAGCAGAGAAGAAGATTTTCAAAGAATTAATGCACTTTCACTATATGATCTATATAGCCCCACCCTGGGGCCAGAACCCCTGACCCTGGGGCAATAAATTTCACAATTTTGGAAGAGGCACTCTTGCTCATCATAACTATGTACTTAGTTCCTTTATTTAATACCCAGGAGCAGAGAAGAAGATTTTCAAAGAATTAATGCACTTTCACTATATGATCTATATAGCCCCACCCTGGGGCCAGAACCCCTGACCCTGGGGCCATGAATTTCACAATTTTGGAAGAGGCACTCTTGCTCATCATAACTATGTACTTAGTTCCTTTATTTAATACCCAGGAGCAGAGAAGAAGATTTTCAAAGAATTAATGCATTTTCACTATATAATCAATACAGCCCCGCCCTAACACCAGAACCCCTGACCCTGGGGCCATGAATTTCACAATTTTGGAAGAGACAGTCTTGCTCATCATAACTATGTACTTAGTTCCTTTATTTAATACCCAGGAGCAGAGAAGAAGATTTTCAAAGAATTAATGCACTTTCACTATATGATCTATATAGCCCCACCCTGGGGCCAGAACCCCTGATCCTGGGGCCATGAATTTCACAATTTTGGAAGAGGCACTCTTGCTCATCATAACTATGTACTTAATTCCTTTATTTAATACCCAGGAGCAGAGAAGAAGATTTTCAAAGAATTAATGCATTTTCACTATATAATCAATACAGCCCCGCCCTAACACCAGAACCCCTGACCCTGGGGCCATGAATTTTACAATTTTGGAAGAGACAGTCTTGCTCATCATAACTATGTACTTAGTAACTTTATTTAATACCCAGGAGCAGAGAAGAAGATTTTCAAAGAATTTATGCACTTTCACTATATGATCTATATAGCCCCACCCTGGGGCCAGAACCCCTAACCCTGGGGCCATGAATTTCACAATTTTGGTAGAGGGCTCAATGCTTATTACAATGATGCCAACAGTTTGACTGCTTCATGTCCGGGAGTAAAGAAGAAGATTTTTAAAGATTGCATTATTTTTTGTGGTTTTAGCCCCACCCCTCAGGCCCCGGGGGGGGCAGGGACCATGAAATTCACAATTTTTGTTCCCCTTCACCCATAGATGCTATATACCAAATTTGGTTGAAATTGGTTGAGCGGTTCTAGAGAAGAAGTTAAAAATGTTCAAAAGTTAACGCACGACGGACGACGCACGACGACGGACAAAAACAGATAGCAATAGGTCACCTGAGTGACTCAGGTGACCTAAAAATAAAATCACGAAGTCACCGTTTAATTATCTACTCTCAATTATTTTTTAAAGATAGAATTATCAACCAATAGAACAGAGGCATTATTTTTTTTTTAACCAGAGTGTATACAGAACAACCATTCACGCGGTACATGAAAGTGTTTGACACGTGACCAGGTAACTGTTTTCAAAACATGCAAATTCAGATTATCAGGTAGCCCAAGTACTGGCCCGTCAATCAAATCAGGAGCTATAGTTTTTTTAATGATTGACAGGCGGTATACTATTGATCTTGAATTAGATAGATTTTGGGGGCGTTAACATAAAATTGGGTGTTTAAACACATGTATTAATATCCTTCATTGACAAAGATGTGGAGTAAATGGGTTCATTAGTATAGGAATATATGGTGAGAACCATCGTCCAATACCCACTGGTCTTTTATTGATGAGTAAAAAAGACGAGATCACCCTTGGGTATCCAATGAAGGGCGAGAACCCACATTTACAAATTGGAGACTACCACACCCCCTCATGTACAACCCCACTCAATCTGAAGATCAAATCTGAGGTGTACTACCTGAATCCCACACTGCTTAGGGGTCCTTAATTTATTGTGCCATATCAGTCTCAACTGACAAGGAGACAGACAGACAGGGTGATTACTACAAGCCTCCACAACTTAATGTGGGGCCTCAATAAATTTCTTCTTTGATATTTGACTTTGATTGTCATCACAATTATTTCCAATTGCATGGGACTATTTTCTGTAGTCTGCAGGAAGTGAACTCACCATGCTAAGTGTGAGAATACACTATCTGTAGAACAGGCCACCACTTCACAGTTGATTGATCGGAATTCTTCTACCCTATCACTGAAAGCGATGATTTCTGTAGGGCATACAAATGTGCTAGAAAAAAAAATCAAAGCTTAATTATTTCTTTAGTCATTTGCTGCAAAATGTTTTTTTTATTGTAAATAATTCAATGTCGGGTTTATAATGATACGTGCTTAAGGCAATTTTTAACAAGGAATGCCAAAATTGGCACCTCAATAAGACAATGCAATTCTCAAGCAACAATTAATTAAGGCAATTCGTTTATTAAACATTAATGTTTACTACAATATACATTTTAAACAACTGAATAACTGCGATGAAAATAGGTTAAACTTGACATCATCGTAAAGGTGACCATCTCAACAGGCCATAGTTTTTAGAAAAGGACAATAGGATGAAAGGGAAATTTGTCAAGTACAGTACTGGAGAGGACCATGTTGTAATCAGAAAAGATTTTCAAACAGAGATTTTTTTCCATTGACCTTTGACCTAAAAAAATTGGTTCAAGGGCACTGCACATTCTTAACAGATGGGCACTCTATGGGTGAAGTTTAAGCAAGATTGGACCAAAGGAATAAAAAATGTATGAGACTGGACAAGTGATGCTGGAGAGATGGACAGACAGATCACTACAGGGCATCAGCAGAGCTGGGCCCTCATACTAACATCTTAACAGTTACTGGTCAAAGTGTAAGGTGTTTTTACAAATACCCATATAGTAATCTGGTAATCAGTCAGCACACACTCAGTTAACAATTTAGTAAAAGAAGAATTAATTTTAAGGAGGCTGGGGGGTCAACAAATTAACCATCAGATATAACTTAATTTTTTAGATATGATATCTTAAGCTGTCAACTATTATTTGGCAAAGAAAAAAATTCATACATTTTTGTTTTAAAATTTGATCATTTTTGTATATCTTTATATGGAGCCTTCTTCTAAAGGAGATCAATGTAGTCTGAAAATGGCCACAACCCCCCAGCCCTCTTAATCAATATTTTATTATGCAAAGTCAAATCACAGTAAAAGAAGAAGATACTGTAATTAACTGATGAACATACTGTATTTAATTACCTGAAGAACATAATGTAATTAAGTTATTAATAACTTAAGAACATACTGTATTGGTAATTAACTGAAGAATATACTAAGTGATCATTTGTTCCAAGGGCTAAGAATCAATAATTTAGATAACAAAAAAAATCATTTATCATGTTAATGGGAAATTTTCATTTCTGCATCTAATGGAGTTTAATACAGTATACTGAACAACTTACAAATCTAGAGGATAGAAGAATAACACTAGGTATTTGCCCTTGTAGTTTGACAGAGAAATATCCTGAAACTCTCCATCCACCACAGCTTGACCTTTGAACTCTGGTGCTGGCTTTGTCAATCTCAGTTCTGCCATGTTATTGCTTGGAATCTGTCATAAGGAGAATGTGCTAATTAATATTTGAGGTATTGATTGTCTCCAGAAAACTTAAACAAATCAATAGATACACTGGGAAATGACTGCTGTAATATTGTGTGTACACTGTAACACCTGTTTAATGTCTTATAAACACAGTCTCATATAAAGCTATGCCAATTTAATAGCTTTATAATTGATCACTAAACCAAAATCCTTCCAAAAATATACATCAACATATCAATTCCTAATTTTCTAACATTTATAACTAATCTATACAATTTTAAAAATCACCCAATAACTGACAACATACATGCTTATTTTCTCTAACTCCTTGATAAAACTTGGAACCAATAGAAGTAGGCATCACTGATGTATATATAGCAAAAATACATTACACTAATGTAAGCATTCTCCACAAAGTGGTCATAATTCAACAAGATCACTTCAACCATAAACAATTCCTTTTAATTAAAAACCTTCCAAGTTCACATAAACACCTAGGGGTATTTTGACATTGTTTACCTGTCTAGTTCCTACCTTGTGTACTGCTTGCTCTTGCCTCTGCCTGAAAGCTCGGTACATCTTATATAAATGTCAAAGTAAAGCCTCTAATGCTGATATATTGAGTTTCCATGGCACTAGAAGCAACATCCTTGTTTATTGCAATTTATAGCCAAATACAAATGAGAACAGTATTGTTTTGATAGCGAGATTGGAAAATAATGAATCTGTACCATTAACCAACACTGAGACTGCAGATCTGTATTCTCTAATTAGCTTTAAACTATATGTAGTATAACTGTGTTCTTTGTTTCGTTAATCAGAATTCTGTGAAAAGGAAGTGTTTTGAAAGAATTGCAGTAATTTCTATTATTAGTAATAATGGCAACACTACTTGATGAAATAGAAACAAATAATTAGAATTATGATTCTTAGTGCATATAGTCTTCTTGTGCACTCTTTTAAAACCAGATCAAAACTGTAGAATTAGAAGCATTTTGAAAGAATTTCACAAAAATTTCTATTTTTAATTGCCATGGCAACACTATTTGTTTATATAAAAGAAACCCCAATATCATAAAGAGAATTATTCTACCCTAATCTACTTATCTTCCAAGTCTTATTGAAATCAGACCAAAATGGTAGGAAGTATAGCTTTTTTATTGTTAACAGACAAACATACAGACAAATGGTGGACACGGTCACCTTACTATTGCACAAGCTCTTCTGTTCTTTGACCAGCAGAGCTAAAACCCTACATATATATAATTTTGATGAATTTCTACAGTAAAAAACTTTTGCAATCAATAAAAGATCAGGGCTTTTTCAAAAGACAAATAATTATATGGAAGTTGAAAAACTGAAGGCATCAACTTTAAAAATCATTTAATGACAAAAGCTCTTTTAAATTTTTCATTTGTTCATATTTACTTCTCTGACATTTACACAAAAATTCATACTTTAAATTTATTTAGGGATGGTCCACACTGGGTCTCATTTTTCTGCATGGTGTTAATGATCAACTTAATCTGGTTTAACTTAACCCCATTTTCTTATATATTCCTTATATCATATTTGAAACAAATAAATGACATCACGATTGACCATTAACTTTTATTTCATTTTGTGTGTGTGTGTGTGTGTGTGTGTGTGTGTAGATGCCATGGATTTGCAATTTATACATGTATTACATCATAATACTAAGTGTCCTTATCCATAAACAACAGAAATGATCGAATCTATTCTGAATTTTCCATGCAGTACAATTCTGCATATATTTTAGTTCTTACCATCAATTTAAATTCTTCATGCAGTGCCATCTTCAGTATGTATTCCATAAGGAAGCTTTATGCAATCTAATTCTGTTTAATTTGCAATTTGAAACATCTTATTTTGAAGATTCAAATCTTTTCTAATAATTTGCCATAATAAGCATGAATTCATAATGTTTTGTAAACTTTTAACAGCTACTTCACAGATGCTGTGTAACTTACCAACTTTATAGAATTTGTAATCTAAAGACTCATTATAACAAGAGTGCTAATTCAAATTCCAATGATTGATAACTGGAAAGAGAGAGCATATAGAATCTACAAATGTAATATGAAACTCAATATACACTTCAGAGACCCAAAACAACAGAGGAATGAAATAAATTTATATCAGCCAAGTGCAGGTTGCACAAATACAATGAATTTGAATATATACAGAAAATACTTCCTTATGTAATAGTCAAACACTATAGATACCAAAGTTCACAAAGTGATTCAGATGTGTCCTCATGCAATGATTGAAAAAATTGAGTTTTTTAATTTTTAATTCCAATCATATAATTTTCTAGCTCCAGTTATCATGAATATTTAGAAATATATTGTTTCATTAAAATGCAATTTGAATTTAAGTAATTTAAAATACTGCAATAATTAGTCTAAAATACATGTTTTATTTTTTCATGATTTCTCATATATGCATTTCACGTACATGTTAACATGGCCAAGGCAAAATAGTTCCTGACCCATATCAAAAAATAATACATAAAAGTATATTTTTAATATATTTTTAATACAATTATTTTCGTATTGTTTAAAATTAATACAGAAAAAATATATTATTTTTGTATCACCAACAAATAGGTAGATTATTTTTGTATTAAAATCTGACTTTGATTTTTTATAGGGTATTATTTTTGTATTTTTTGGGACTTAGATTATTTTCAGTATATCATTTTTGTATTTTTGTGGACTTAGTTTTTTTCAAGTGTATTTTTTCTGTATTAAAATTGAACTTAGTAATTTTACAGAAAATTACATACAGTTAATCTGTATTATTTTTGTATTAAAATTGAACTTAGTAATTTTACAGAAAATTACATACAGTTAGTCTGTATTATTTTTGTATTAAATTTGGACTTAATAATTTTTCAAAAAATACTATACAGTCAGTATGTATTTTTTTTATATTTATTTTGGACTTAGTGTTTTCTTTTACTGAAATTTGTATTTCTTTGAACTTAGGAAAATTTACAGAATGTCCTTGCAATAAGTCTGTTGGAATTAATATTTTTTCTCAGATTTTATTAATTAAGACCACTGCTATAAAGGTTGCTTTTATACTATTTACATTTAATTGCTATTTAGAACAGAAAACTTCAGTAGTTTAAATTTGTTAACTAAACAATTTCATTTTTAAAACATGTCTTTACTAGGTGTGAAATTGTCATTTGGAAAGAGATAGATACGTCTAAGGGGACACCTGTGCTGTACATGATACTTGTAAACACGCGGTAAATTTTGAAGTTTCAGAGTTTCAGACTTTCTTTTGTGTTGAAAATTTTACAGCGTGTTTACAACCGAGTGTTTACAACTATCACAGCGGAAATGATGACCGGAAATAACAATGTTTCGTAATCGGTAAATTCCGTAAGGAATAAAAAAGTGATTCTGATAATTAAATTGAACATCGTTTTTTTCTAACATAATTTTAGGTTTGTTCAATTGATTCAAGATATTTAAAACCATGTAAATATGTTTTCTCTAACTGTACCGATCTCAACATCGGTAATTTTCGTATATATGACACAATATGATTGGTCAGATTTTAAAACTCTTCCGTACTGTTCTCTGATTGGTCAACAATATTTCACCCACGCCATTTTGAAAATTCTTCCCGGGACGTGTTGAGAAAGCTGGAGGTGATTTTGAATAAACTCTCATTTGTTCGCGAGTAAAATGGATTGAAAAACAGAAGTTCAGCATAATCATGGTACACAGGATCATATATATGAACCAAGGAAAGCAAATACATAAGGAGACTGACGTTTTTTAGGCATCATATCTGGACTTTTCTGGTGTAAACAACGACAGTTGCGGTAAGATTATGTATATTTTAGCACATTTAAGTTTCAGTTTTTTAAATAATAACTTAGTACAAAGATAGAGGAACAAAGAATGCCTTTTTTTTTACCCATTTTGTAGTATTGTAGAAAGATAAAATAGTACGTTATTGGCCATGTGGGGAACAAGGGTTTTTGTGATAAATTCTGATTGGGGAGAGAGGGGTGGAAGATGGGGGTAATTTTCAAGCCTTTGGCTTCCTAGTTCTATTTCATTCCAATTTTTTTCAAGTTTACCATAGATGAATTATTTATTTTCCCTTCAAAAACAATTCTGTAATTTGTATTAACTCAGTTTTTTTCGGGGGGGGGGGGGGGGGGGGGGGAGGTTGGGTTTGGGGGGGGCAGTTTATTTAAATAACATTGGGGCACACATTTTGTTTACTCTTCCAACATTTTCAAGGACAGATAGTTTATTACAAATATTTTTTTAAAAATATTTTATAAATCAGTCCCCCCCCCCCCCTTTTTCTTCTCCAGATTGTCAAATCAAATGGTTGTCCCCTAAGAAACCCCAGATTAAAGAAAAGTAATTTCAATGGTACAATTGTACGGAATTTGGTGGACTCCGCTGGATCTTTTGGAATTTCAATTTATAATTATTGTTAATTTTAGTCAGCAGAACATTGAAGAAAAGCTGATTAGTCATGGAGGAAGAAGTCTGAAGATCCCTCTCAAGAAAGTATTGCAGGTGTGTGAGCTAAACAAAATCTATATAGAATTATTTTGGATGTGAAAATGTGTGTTTTGTTGAGGTAATGATTCATTAAATTTTATTATTATATCATTCTGTTCTATATTTCACAGTGATGAAGTCAGATGAGATGACAGGTTGTGTGATTTGAAGATGGACTTCTGCACAAAGTAAACACTCCTCCACCTTTTCCATACAAAAGAAACAGCAAAGCAGAGAGATCGAAACATTTGGTAAAAGTACAAAGAAAACAGGATTAGTTAAACTTGTGAAAAAGATCAAGACTATTGTAGAGCAGATTATATGTAAGAAGAAAGATCAAGACTACAATTGGTAGCTGAATCAGTAGCCTGGCCACATTAATTACTTTTTAATTAGCTATTTGTACATTTAAGGTAATCTGACTGAGTTACTAAAATTGTTATTTAACAAATATTTCAAATAAATAAAAGATTTTTGAATAACAATCAATAGATGCTATTAAGAACCTCAATCTCCAACCCCTTTTCTTCAAATAACAATTTTTGCCCATGATCATTTTTGTAGTTTTTAAAACTCTGTTTTGTATTATTTTAAGCATTTAAATGTATTTTTTGTCTATCATTATTGTACTTTTTTGATATTTTTGAAATACAATCCTTCATGCTGATAAAAATACAAAAACAATACATATTAATACAAAATTAATACATTCTATATTTTTTTCATACTTTTTTGTGTACTGTATTATTTTCATATTTTATATCTTTTTTGTACTTTTAATTGTTCCAGATGAAAAAATACAAAAATAATATATGTGATACAAAATTAATATATTCTATATTTTTTTTTGTATTTTAATTCTTAAAGGTGAAAAAATACAAAAATAATATATGCTAATACAAAATTAATACATTCTGTATTTTTTCTATACTTTTCTATGGACTGTATTATTTTTATACTTTGGAGAGAAAAATAGAGAAATAATACAAAAGTACAAAAACAATACGCTTTTACAGGTCATGTGTATCATTTCTGTATTATTTCAAAAAATAAAGTATATTAAAAATATATTTTTCTGTGTTTGGCTTTTAAAAAGTCTATTATTTTTTACCTAAATTGGAACCAAGATTTAGAGGGTTCCAAATTTGGTCATTAAAAATATACTTTTTTTGTATTATTTTAGTATTTTTTTCTTGTATTATTTTTGTATTTATTTTCGATATGGGTGAATCTTACCTCCCAGTCGGCATTTCTGCTCTAGACGGGGATTGATTTTATTGTTTGAGATTAAAACTTTATGTAAACTTCCTGATGTCACCAGATTATTAAAATTTACATCATGCTGAATTTTTATTGTGTTGTATTTGAGGGGGGGGGGGGTGATTATGCACTGTACTTGATTTTCAAGCGCCTGTTTGACTCCAATAGAAACAAACTTGTGTGCTTTGTTGAATGGCAATGTATTTTTTGGTACTCAATTGTATATTACGGATTGCTTTAAAAGTTATGAAAAGGAATACTCTCAAACTTTTGCAATGAATTAACATACCACCCACACAATTGTACTCAAAGGTGCATTTTTAGTAAGACCAGAGGTACAATGTATTATAAGACTAAGAGTTATGTACATTTGATACACATCAGATTTGCCTTATGAAATCATTACTGTTTTCAGAATGATTTTTATTCAGTATTGAGTAAATCTCTATCTTGTACGCAAATTCTCATTAATGCTTCATCCTTTAAAGTTTTCTTCCACCTAAAACAATCAATAAAACATTCCTCTTATTTTGACGAGAGCAAGTTGTGTAACAGAATTGTTGCCCTTTGCGTTACTATGCACTGGGACACATGTCTTCCTCTACCTAAAAACAGTAAATAAGCAAAAGATTGCTAAACGTTTATCCTGTTAAAAAAATAATAAATTACCTTTACTTTAGTTCTGTACTTGAGATTCTTAAAGTTAGGCGGATAAAAAGTACAACGCCGCTCCTGATCACGCCGGTAGATAAGAATACCGTACCCGATCAAAATGAAACTCTCTCACAAAAACCAAAGTCTCGCGTCACAGAATTAATGTTATATATCAACAATTAATGAAGTAATTTGTAATTATAAATTAATTCAGAATTGAAAATTATCTTGAATACTTGAAGATATCTCTAATTGAATTGTTGTGTAATGCATCAAATAATTTGATATCTTTTCAAAGGACTAATTTGAAAAAAAAGATATATGTATCTTAATTAATTAATTCAATTAATTGGCTACAATAGAAAGGAGGGGAAATTAAAGGAAGGAAAAAACCTCAATTTCATTTACCAGTACTGCACAAAGTAAAGATTAACAGTATATGTCAGTGTCAAGTTTGATCGATAACTATATAGATTTCCCAAAGTCATTGCAAAATACTCTCTCGGATCGCTGCAATACAGAGAAAAAAACCCTGGATTTATGTTAGTTACTGTTTATTTGTTATCACATCATGAACATGAAGAATTATAGCAGTTATGTTTTATATTTGATAAGTATATAAAGTTCCAATAACATTTCACTACAAAACTCTCCAAGATGGCTGCAATGAAAAAAAGTACTCAGATTTACATGTTATTCAGTGTTGTTTATTTGTTGTCATAATTTGTGAAGATTTACATTACATGAATATTAAATTTACATGTTATTACATGTACATGTGCTTTGAAAAGAATATTTGAAAATAATGGCTACTGTTATACATATAACTCTGAAAAGATTTTAGGAAGCAGATGTCACTCATCATACATTGTATATGAATTGAAATGTCAAAACAAATAGACATAAAACACACACATATGATGAATTAAGATGACCAGTCTCTTCACTACACTTGATGCCTACATAAACGGTTATTAGAAACCCTTAAATTGCATTACAGAGCACCATGCAGGTTTAGGCCAGGTTTATTTTCCAAAGAAATTAACATGCAAACAAAGCAGTTTTCATACAACATTGCATATTCATAACAAAATGCACATTAAAATGCACCCAAAAATAAAATAAGCCTCCTCTGCCGCCCAGGAAAAACCATATATTAAAAACAAAATATTTCAAAATTTGAAAAAAAATGATGGAAACCTGTGAACCGCGGCAAAATGCAGAGTAAGCAAAAATTTGAGTGGCGGAACCTCACTCTATTTATTTATGAGACAATATTTTCAAGGATTATGGATTTTTCAATATAGACATAAATTTATATTGATAAAAAAACTGGACATCCTCAGGATAGTGTGCACTAGAAAGTGACCATTTGATAATACCCCTTTAATAATCGAATGTTTGCCCATGCGATATATTCTGAAATATTTTTGGCTGTAGCCTAAATAACTAAAACTTAGTAACAAGACATTTCCGTAACATTGTTTACATGTTGTTTGGGCAATTAATTTTTCCTAATACTATGTAACACAAAAAAAAATTGTTATACTGCACTCATCCTAAACTTTCCAATCAGTATTAATCATCAAAGGTTAGAGTATAATCACTGATATTAAAAACTTCCCAGAGAGAACATGGATAAAAATTCACACGTGTCCAAGGCAAAAAATTAATGCAAGTCTAAGGGTGAATGCAAAACATACATTCATTTGATGGATTTATAAACTGGTCAATACTACACTGGCGTAACAAGGAAATTTACTGCTGGGGGTGATGACTGATGATAGTACACAAGATTTTTGGTTCAAAACATCAACACAAGAAAGGAAAGAACAAAGGCTGGAAAATGCAATATCCTTCTCACAAGGTCACAGATCCTTCACATAAGGTCACAGATCCTCAAGGTCAAGAATCCTTCACACAAGTCACAGATCCTTCACACAAGGTCACAGATCCTTCACATAAGATCACAGATCCTTCACATAACATCACAGATCCTTCACACAAGGTAAAAGATCCTTCACATAATATCACAGATCCTTCACATAATATCACAGATCCTTCACAATTGATCACTAATCTTTCACATAAGGTAACAGATCTTTCACAAAAGGTCACAGATCCTTCACACAAGGTTACAGATCCTTAATACAAGGCAACAGAACCTTTTCATAAGGTCACAGATATACTTCACAAAAGGTCAAAGTCCTTCACAAGGTCACAGATCTTTCATACAAGGTCACCAATTTTCACACTACATGTGGGTAACAGATCCTTCACATAAGGTCACAGATCCATAATACAAGGTCACAAATCCTTCACACTTGTTCAGAATAGAGTTCTATATCTCCATCAACAACAAATGTCTCTCCTTTAATTTCTAATGATCCATAACTTGAATTTATTTTGATGTGTTGCCCAACTTTCTTTCTTCCACAGATATCAAGACAGCTCAGATGATTCATAGGATGTGTTCTATCAAATAAAAAAATGTCGGTTTAACAAATGAAAAGTAAAAAAGTGATATTGTATAGACTTCAGTACCTATGAAAATAAAAACAAGTAAGGTACTGTGTTTCAACAATATAAAATCAACCAATGCATTTGAGAAAACAATGCCAAATTTAGAGGTCCAAAGGCTTTTACAATCACATGAATGTCATTGAAATTTTTTTCTGAGCCAAAGTTTGTTCTTTTTTTCTAAACTACTTTTTTCACAAAACTGGAGTCAGCTTCATCAAGATTTAAAGGGCAAAGATTTACACAAATTTCAATTTAAACTATACTTGAGGGCATTTTTGTAGTAATTTGACAACTCCTAATATTTCGTGGAGAGATTTCCATGAAATTTCTATACGTTCTCGAGAAAAGATGAAATTGTAAAAAGTTTACAGAGAAAAGACTGATGACAACGCTGACAACAACAGACAAATTTTGATCAGAAAAACTTGGCTCAGGTGAGCTAAAAAAAAAGTCAGACAGTCCAAGATGTGTCATTGTGTCTTACATCATGTCTTGAATTGGAAGAGAAGGACCAAAGCCAAGAGGCAATAGAGATTGGCCCATCCTAAGGAGCAAAAGAGAAGGACCCAACCCGAGGAGCAGAGGAGAAGGACCCATCCTAAGGAACAGAAGAGGTGGACCAATTCCCATGAGCAGAAGAGAAGGACCCATTTTAAGGATTAGAAGAGAAGGAATCATCCTAAGGACCAGAAGAGAGTGACTCATCCCAAGGGAAGAAGAGAGGACCTCTCAAAGAGCAGAAGAGAAGGACCCATCCAGAGAAGCAGAAGAGAAGGACCCATCCCAAGGAGCAGAAGAGGACCAGTTCATTAGCTGCGGTGGGTTAGAAGTAGGGAATTTTGTTTGGCAGATAATAGACTAAAGGGTGAGATTCATATCAGAATAGTTGTATTGTCATAGGAAATTAAAAGGGGTGGAGGGGTGGGGGCTGGGTTTGCTTTTGTGACAAGAATGTAAATCGTATTGAGCTATACTGCAAATTGTTTGTTATAGTATTCCTTTGACCCTTTGTTTGAAGTATTCATGAATCATTTGACCCTTGGTTTATTTTCTTTGCTAGCAGAAGGAACCTTGGCTGACCTAGATCACTTATTGAGAAGAAGTATGTCTTAACTCAACTGCAGCAATCATTGGAAGATGCAGAAGATTTAGGCTGGGATATTGCTCATAGAGGTACCAAGTCCAGTCAACAGAAGATGGAGAGTCCATTGCCCAGCTATGACCAGCAGAAAATATTGGCCAATGTGGTAAGTAACAAGTTGCTCTTTTGAATCCCTCGCTTTAATTGTAATTTGACCAATGCAGCAAGTAATAGTATTACTCCGTTCTTACTTTTTGTGTTAGGAGGAGAATGGTTTGGCAAGCTTCAATCCCAGTGTAAGATACGATTCCGTTATTTGTCAGCAGGAGCTTTAAGATAAGGGATCGATTGTGGGAAACCATGGACAAAAGGGTAAGATTCATGTCATAATGCCAGTACTCTCTAGATTTTTTGTGGGCTCATCCATACAATATTGAGTTTGTTTCTCTACTTTTATTGAGCAGTTTAAGATAAACCTCTATCCAGAATCCTTAAGAGAAGAATCTCACCTGAAAGCAAGAGTGCTGAGCGTTTTGGGATAGACTGCTGTAAACCTTAGGATGATGGTAAGATGTGATATGCCAATCCAGTATTCTATTCTAGGATGATTCCTTCTCTTCTAATCCTTAAGATGGGTCCTTCTCTTCTGCTCATGGGAATTAGTCCACCTCTTCTGTTCCTTAGGATGGGTCCTTCTCCTCTGCTCCTCGGGTTGGGTCCTTCTCTTTTGCTCCTTAGGATGGGCCGATCTCTATTGCCTCTTGGCTTAGGTCCTTCTCTTCCGCTCCTTGGGATTGATCCTTCCCTTCTGCATCCTGTCAGTGGAAGTCAAGAGGTCAAGGGATCCAGGCATCCTCCTATTAACATAGAGAGTCAGAATGTTAAAGAAATACCCTAAATGTTTTGATCAACTTAGAATAAAAACAACAGGGAATCAAAATAGCAACAAATGCAGTATGTTCTTACCACTCTGGCCAATGTTGGTCTCTGCTCATAGCTGGACAATGCAGTCCTCTTCTTCTTTTGGCCGCCCAAAGTCCTCTTCTGTCGTCGTCCCTCATCTGAACCCCTGAAAATATACAACTGACAAAAGATTAGTAAAAAATCAAAACAATTACACAAATGAAATAGAAATTCACAAATCAATTGCAAAAATTCTCAAAATTATAAACAAAAATTTCAAAATTACTTGAAAAATAAGTTAGCAAAAGGGGACTGTTACTTTGGGAAAGGACATAAGAGAGATGAGAGTAGAGGAGGGGAAGGGAGATAGTTAGTCATGTTAGAGTAAGAAGGATACAGGGATAAATGAAAAAAGCTTCTCTATCAGGCTCTCTGGCTGATGAACTGGGTCCTCTTCTTCTCCTTGGGATGGGTCCTTCTCTTCTGCATCCTGTCAGTGGAAGTCAAGAGGTCAAGGCCAAACCAGGTCTACATCAATTGACAAGTAAAAGATGGGGAAAGTCTGCAGCGAGCAGATCTCAAATCTT